AATATGACTGGGCTATGACTGCTATGATTTGGGGGATTTGCCGTACCTTCTCAGAAATTAATGATATCTCCATGTTCTCTTCTTATGTTTTTGTTCACATAATTACTTCCACTATAGAAAAAAAACGATCCAAACGGTGAAATTACCATGTTCGTAAAGCAATAGTAAACCATCCCAATGTTACTATCAATGGATGGCATGGGCCATCAATTTTATATGGCTGGTTTACCATATTGCTTTCCTAAGATTAATCAGAAACAAATCCATGGGAAAATCCATGAATTTTTCGGTGAATCCAATTCCCTCGGATTTTCCCATGGATTTTCCCATGGATTTTCCCATGGCTCATCCCATGTTGACCCCGCCATTCCCCCCTTTGTGAGGTCCTGCCGTGGTGATGGAGATCCAGCACCTGCATGAGCACCACCACCGGCACCTGGTGGCGCTGGGAAATCCTCGAACTGACTTGAACTAAATGATACTGGGAAACTCCTCTATAAATATTGAGGGAGGCTATATCCACTAAATAATTATTTAATAATTCATATTTCACTTTGACGTATTTTTCCAAACTGTTGGTTCTTTTTTTTGAATTATTTTTCATATTTCTTCCAGGCATTCTGTTGGTGTTTTCTTTTTGTTTCCTTGTCCCATTCACAAGTGACGTATCCATCGCACTTCAGCTGATATGGCTAATAGGATACGCTATATCTGAAGTCTGAATAGGTTAATAGACCACCCTTTGTAGCAACAAAGACAACGTTTCACTAAGGTTCAATCAATAGTGGATCCTTATATTCATACAATCTATGTTTAACACAAACTAATAAACACAAAGACTTACAGTATGGTAACAAACTTAGTATACACATACCATGCCATGTTGTAGAAAACAAAATGGTAACCAATTATACAGAACTATATAGAACTAGACTACATAATGTATACTATATAATTCTATATGGAACTATACTACTATACTATAGAACAACCTAGTAGAAACATACGATACCATGCCATGTTATAGAAACAATACAACCAAGTACTATATCTGGTTGGTGGTTGACCTACCCCTCTGAAAATGATGGAGTTCGTCAGTTGGGATGATTATTACATTCCCTATTAATATGGAAAGTCATAATCCAGCCATGTTCCAAAGCACCAGCCAGTTTTCCATCATTTATCCATGGTTCTTCTCCCAGTTTCCTCACATTTTCCCATTGAAATCCCATATTTTTCAACCGCTGGATCACTAAAAATGTTCCAGTCACCACCAGTGTTTGTTGGTTTATAAACCATTATAATCCCCATTAATTATAGCTATATCTACCATAAACCATAGTTAATCAATGGTTCCAGTCACCACCAGCCAGATATAAATCTATGGCATAAAATGCTATAGTTCTGCCATGGCCATCGCGGCCATGGCCTCACCTCGTCCTCGTCGGCTCAACTCATTGGCCACACCACGCCTGGGTGTAGTGATGTACTTTATCACTAACCAATATGATAAAATGGATCATTGGGGAATTAATCATTGGGGAATTAATCATGGTTATAAGAATTATAAGAATTGGGAGATTATTGTGGAGATAAAAATCTATCATGGAGATAACTGATATATTAATCTAGCATATTATGGAATAATCACTGATTCTAACAAACAATATGGGAGATGAATAGGATATTCATGGATGATGACTGATCACTGCTTGGTGGGGGCCAACCTACCCCTCTGAAAAAAATGATGGACAACTCGTCACTTGGGATGATGAAATTCCCAATATATGGAAACAATAAAGTTCATATTCCAAACCACTAACCAGTTATCAATTAGATTGAGTGATGTTGATGTATTGTTGATTGAACTTTGTACATTATATATATATATATATTTATTTACATTCTATATCATGATATTATTATGCAATATTTATATATACCACATATGTGTGTTATTTACCAGAAGAAAACATATACTGTGACAAAATCGCATGATTCAGGATGGAGCCTACACGCACAGTGAAACTGACCATGGGTTCCATGGAAAGCTAAACAACAAAAAGGTGAGGATAAACCTGTTTTTGAAAAGGGATACATAATATAAACCAAACATAAACGTCAAAATGATATGTGTTTCAGGGTTAAAAAAAAAAACGAATCCCCACCTTGATTCACATGTTTGAAAAGGCACTCACAAAGACACCATGGTGGGACGAGGCGTAATTTCCCATCTGAAAGACTGGTTGATTGTTAGGTACCCGTAGTAATCCCTCTTATCCCAAGCCCATTTTCAACAAACTCACCCAAGCCCATTTTTAACAAACTCACACTTATGTATATATGACATTTGAGAATGCATTGGTTGCAAAAAATCATATCCTTTGATGCAAACGAATCATCCCTTGCCATCTGAAATGAGTCCTCCCCAGACCCCCCAGGCTTCGCGTTAGATCACAAACCAGTTGGGGAGTCATCGTGATCATCCAATGGATCAAAGGGATCGCAGGGATGGTGTTTGTTAGGTATATAATATATGGAGGTTTCCATAAATGTGGGTATACCAAATGGATTGCTTGTAATGGAAAATCCTACTAAAATGGATGATTTGGGGTGTAGATCCGTCTCAACTGAGGCTGCTTTGAGACATCTTAATTTGGCTGAAAAAAGTGCCTGATGTAAAACCTCAAGGATCTAGACCCTAAAACGAGATCAGTGAGTATAGGTATACCCAATTTCCGAAAATGCAATTTGGGATGATCTATGGCGTTGGGTTTTTCTCATGATATCCCTTCATTGGATGACAATATCCTGGAATCATGCAGCATCATGGTTTTGGGGTATGGCTTTTAACATCCCACAAATGGCAAAGGAAGGGTGTATTGAATAACATTGGGGGATGGTTATCATTGGTATTACCGCATCATATCAAGTCATTTTATCAGGGTTTCACCGGGGATATAACACGGTCCAATGACACATGTCCCTCCCTTGTGGCTATCATTGACCTACAGTGTTGCCAAGATACCCCGCTCAAACCCACAAATTATAAACAACATGTTATGTTGAATATGCTTGTGGGATGATTGAATGTGTGCTCATTGGATTTACCGCGAATCATATTAGAAAAAGGCCAGGCGCTGTGTGTTGCCCGGAAAATTCAAATGGCGTTCAAGCATTATCCTTCAACATGCTCAAACACCTGCGCAGGGCCAGTGTCTGGAGATTTCCCAGACGACGAACCCTAAGCCCTAAAACCCTAAAACCTAAAACCCTAAAACCTTAAACCCTAAACCTCAAAACCTAAACCATCCAAACTAAACCCTGAAAACGCTGAATCCTAAACCAGAAAACACTGCGTATATGCAGTGTTTTCTTCAATCTCTCCTATGATATTCGACAACGCGACATCCTCAATGTTAATGTCTGGGCAACACACGGCGTCTGTGGGTATTGTTACTGTATTAGTATTAGTATTATTAGTATTATTATTTTGATTATTATTATTAATATTAATATATAGTAGTATCACTTCTAGTATGGGTATGTATTGCTATGTATTGGTTCTATCCCAATCCATGCGGGTATGAGGCAAGTCATTGGGTACCCCAATCATTGGGTACGGCGCCAAGACACACTTGCTGCACTGCCGTGCGCAACGGCGCACCGGCGGCCTCAACCATGGATTTTTCCCCAAACAAAACAGAGCTTAGATCGAAGGAAAACAACACATAATATGTGCATCTTCTAGTGCTAAGTTGGTTGATTTTTCTTTGTGTTTAATTATTATTCATGAAGTTCTAACTTGGTTTCGAGGGGTTAATTTTAGACACATTACCACCATACCCTCAAAAAAGAACATCAAATCTATGGGAAATGGATGGGAACCCCATGAAAACCGTCAAGCACTGTTTTTTTTTTTACTTTATCAACACACATTGAATCTGCAAGCAGGAGAAAATAGGCATTTGACATGATTTGAACATCAAATCATCAGCAGTTGGGATTTGACTGGTTGTAGCCACTGGTAAACAAATCTGGCACCGGACAGTCGACATTTCTGATCTAAAATCCATCCACAACTGGACACATTGAACTATTTTCAGATGCCAGCCTTGCTCACAAGAAGACGCAAGGGATTTGACTAGTTCTCATCTACGGAGTACAGTAACTGAAGTGGATTGAGATTATATATATATACACCCATTTTGGCTATAGTGACCTTCTGTTTTTGGGCATGAAAGTAGCCGCTTGTTTAAAGTCAGCAGCCAGTCTTCATCATCCCGTATCTGGGAATGTAAATAACGTACACCATGATTATATTTGAAACCAGACACCCTCCGGTAATCAAACGTGACAATTCGAACATCCCCCTATAAATTGAAGAGTTCTAATGGGAATTTGATTAAAAAAAAACATCTATAATTTATAGCTGGGATATTTATGGATATTTGTACAATTTGAACATCCCCCAATAAATTGAGGGATTTTACTGGGAACATCATCTATAAATGTTGGATAATGATCCCCGATGGGAACATCATTTTTATGACACTGTTACCATTCTAGGTGAATTTGGATTAATTTACCATTAAATGTATAATCCAATGTATAATTCATTTACCATTAATTTAAAATTAACCATAATTTACCATCATTAAATGGATTGCCAAGCAAAAAATGGAATAATTATGTGTCATTGCCATGTTGAATTACCTCTGGTAACGTGGGATAGCCATGAAGATCTGTCTCAGCTTCCCGACCGGCATCCTGACATCACGTGGCCGGGATCACGTGGTTTGGTGCTTAGTGGTGCTTGGTTGCGGTGAGATTGCTGCACCGCATCCGATATGTTCGGCAGTTGGGATCAGCAGCTCAAGCGCTATTGAACACGTTGAAACATCCTTGAGCTTATATTTCAAAGTACATACTGCTTAGATTTGCATATTTATATATATACATATACATATATATATATATATATATATATTTATCGTTGCTTACCCGACGTCGCTTACTCCGTCTCCGCCGACCGTAGAAGGCCTGGGAGAACGAAGTTGGCTGCCACAAGCCTCGGACTGAAACATCTTAACAGAAGAAACATCAGTGATCCATATACATATATCGCTTCTATTGATTTTAAGTATAAAAACCCAAACAGTGATCCAGTTTTGGGGGGTTACCATTTTGTTTGGAAACCACTCCTACGGCCATTCTGGGCCTTACCTTGCTGTTGGGTGTCCATCTGTTGCTGAGTGCGATGTTTATATATATATATATATCCACTGTAAAAATGATAGATAAATGGGCATTAACCCACCAATGATGATCAATTTATTGATATTTTTCATGCATCGATTTTCTGAATGAATGTTGTCACTTCTTCAGAAACACTCAGTCACTTGTCATGTGTAGAATTCTTTTTGGAGATACCGATTCCTGCTGCTTAAATCCCAGTTATCCCCCCACTGGGATGTCATGATCCTCCAATAAAAATGCCAACCTTACCTTGCGAAAGAACAAACTGTTAGTTAGTATATTTCCCCCTAAAATATTAAAAATCTGGATAAACTAAAGCAAGTCACCATACCTACTGTCAGGCTATTTTGGGAAAAAATACCGCAATCATTCCAGAATTCCGTCGCGTCGTGAAGTCGATAAATTCCAACTATAATCAATCTTATTTAGGTCTAAGGATGTTTTAGCTATAATATTGAAATAACCATGTATGTATATATATATATACATAGAAATTGGTATAAAAAATCGATATAGATACAGTATTCAAATATGTGAGATATATACATATAGATAGATAGATAGATATCGATTACTTAGATACCACATCTAAAGATATACTAACCCAATGAATACATCTATATCTCACCACATCCGGTCACGTGGCTTGGGCGTTCCGGGCCACTCCGGCCACGGCGTCCCACAGCGGCGACACTTCCGCGACCGGCTCAACCTCTGCCGGGGCCGGTGCTAAACGCAGGGAATTTTCGGGAATGATCCCAGTCATCACTAGTAATCATCCCATTCCCCCATTCCCCCATGGCCATCCATTCCCTGCTAAGCACCAGTAAGAATATATATATATATACATATATAATGCATCAATATATGATAATTATATTATAATGGATCAACAGCAAACGTAGAGATGAATCAGTCCGAAAGTATCCTTGAACTTGGGCCATCCATCTTAAGTACGGATGAACACAGATGAAATTCAGGGCAGAAATTACCAGCAAAGCAGATAAAGAGTGGATAATGATGCATAATATTAATGGATTATATATTCGATAATAAGCAATGGATCACGAATAATAGTAGCGATATAGTTAATCATGGTTACTGGTTCAAACTGTTGAAAAATAATTCAAAGAAAACAATTATGGATATATTGCGGGAAACACAACAAAAATATTAATTCTTAATAATGGATAATGATGGCATATGTTTATTAGCCATTTATTTGAAACAGTAGTAAATATATATATATACATATATATATACATATATATATATACATATATATATACATATATATTTATATACATATATATACATATATATATATACATATATATATATATACATATATATATATATACATATGTATATACATATATATGTATACATATATATATACATATATATATACATATACATATATAAACATTTATGTCTATATATAAATATATATATATACATACACATATGAATCAGAGATAGTAATGGTACATTTGGGGATAATGGCATATATGTAATATTATGGATGGTATATTTGGGTCACTTCTCCAGAAACCAAACAACGTAGATATGGAAAACCCATTGGGAAGCCCATGAAGCATTATCTACAAATCTTGTGCTTTTCCACATCTATGTCAGCTTACCGAATCATATGTAAGGATTTTTGTATGAAATCATTATCACAATGGGAAGATACCATCAAAAACCTAGCGATTTTCTGGAAAACATATTCTGGCTGGTGGTTTTAACCATCTTGAAAAATATTAGTCAGATTGGATCATCATCCCACCTTTTGGGCAAAATAAAAGCCACGTTCCAAACCACCAACCAGTATTGCTGTGTCTGAAAACGGCAGGAGTACTCCTAGTTGTTGAGGTCCAAGAAAATCGGACGATGATAATCCATTAAGATTGGGGTAGCCTATTTTCAGAGACACCTATATGGATTGATGATAGGTTAAGTGTAGCGCTTTCAATGGCTACAATAGGTGTGTTTCTTGATTTTTTGCACCAGGGCACTTTGGCATTGAGAGTTGGGAAATTCATAATATAAAGCACATATGTGCACGTACAACTGTAGATAAGAAACTATATATGGTGTATATATATATGATATATGATATATGATATATGATATATATATATATATATACATCTGACATATATATATGACACATAATATATATATATATATGACACATAATATGTATATATGTGTGTGTATGACATATATATATACATGATATATATATACATAATATGTAAACAAATAATTATATTGATAAATCAAACATCTTATGATTCTTGCTAACGGGAAATCAATCAGACTATTGGATAAGTGTGGATTGCTAGTAGTGAGGTATCAATCTAGTTTATCACAATCTATCCGTAACAGTGACGATATCAATCGAATAATATTAGTCAATGGGAAGGACTATCCCATACATTATGGAAAATAAAAAATGTTTGAAACCACCAACCAGATATACTTGGGGTAAATGACGTCAACTGATGTCAACTGTGAATACCACAGTGATACATCAGGAGTTCTCTTGAAAGTGTTCCTCCCTTCATATCAGCAAGAGCTTGTTCATGGCGCTGTATTCAAAACACACGTTCGATGAAATGCGACCGCCCCGTTATTTATAAATTGGTTTATAAACCCATATAAGCAGATATATCTATTTGTCCAATATACCAACTTGTGTATCGTGCTCACATTGCAGAAAAAAAAATGATACCGATTTCTTAAATGTATGTCTAAGCACTTCCTGGACCATTCTAATGGCCCAGTTAGGAAGTGGTTAGTAACCCACATTAGATAGGTAGATAGATAGATCGATACATAGATATACATAATTCATATGTACATATATATATATTAACTGCGGACATATTCCATACGTATACTGTAACTGGCGACACACACACACATATATATATATAAATATAAAATGGTTTTTGCCTACCTACCTACTGCCTGGGATTCTCATGCAAGCAGTAGTCCCATCCCTCCTAAAGACACCCTTAGAAACCACGGTTTTGTATAGCATCTGGTCATTTTCAGGGCCCAAATGGAGGGGTTCTTAGTTCTTAGCGATATATCTCCAGGGCTTGATGGTAAAACCTGCATTTTTTGATGTTGACACTTCAATTTATGGTCAATCATCACCTTGTTTTTGATGGTGAAACCTTGGATTTGCTGAAGGACGCCTCTCATCTGAGCCATTCACTGGGCCATCTGCCACCGCCGCGGGTCTCGGAGACGTCTTGACAGTGGCGGCCTAGGCTCTAGTTATCCCATGGGATTTATCAACCAACAAAGGGTGTGTATATATATATATTATACCCATTTACATACATATATTATGTATGCTATCATAGAATAAATATATATATATATATATCACTGTCATATAGAAAAATGATATAATATGTATATATATGATTCATATGATTATAAAATATATGACAGGCTACTATAGATACAGCTTCTTTGTTGCAATCATGTTTTTTGGCTAATTGTCACTATTGTCACCATTCTTAACAATGGGGCATGAGTTCATATGACTTCTACACCCCATGCAATCAACATGTGGATCTTACCAGCCAAAATACCAACAAGTCATCACCTAGGGTCAAGATTGCATGTCAAAAGCCTCCGTGGAGGTCTATGTTGAGCCTAAGTCTGGGCTAGAAGCATAATGAAGTATATATGACAGTATATGGTATAATTACTTTCCTTGCTATCACAAGATGTTCAGCAAAGAAGTCCAGTGGCGCGGAACATGGGTACCAGTGGCAGTGCCAAACAAACCCGACCAATTTGATAAATTTTCTGCATCCCAAATGACCCAAATCTGGTTGGATATATTGGATATATCCCCGCTGCCGAAAAACACATCCCCTTCTTGTTCATTAACACATTAACCTCCATATTGATCCATATTTTACCCATCGTTTTACGCCACGTTTTTTGGTGCTGAAAAACACGTGGCTCAACGAAGCCCCGCTGTCATCCTGGTTGTCATCCAGGGTCAACTCATCAATAAACCAAATACTGTAGGTCCATAACCCAGAAAAACTCACCAAGCAGTCAAAGGACTAGTATTTATCAAGACTATATCATCATGTAATATCATTTTTGCACATGATATATCCATACTTGGGGGTCAATTTGCACTAGTAAGTGGTTATATAATAAGTAGAACCATGCTTACAGGATATATATCCCAACTTATACAGCAGCTTGCATAGTTATACTAGAATCCTACTTATTGTAGAGAACCTGCTATCCTGCTATATTGAAGTTCCCTAACAGCACTATGCCAGTCATAACTGGAATTTAAACCTACAAGCACTTCCCACTAAAAGCCAGCAGCTCTAGAACGGCCCAGCCACGGCCGCCACGGCATCCCACATGGCAGAGCTGGCGCCATCTCCAACCTGTCTAATGGTTTCAAACAAAATAGGACTTGGGAATCTAACTTTGATTTAATTTTTCAACCGATCTATGATTTGAGAGTTTTTGAGGTTGATTTAATTCATGAGTTGAGCATGTTTAATGATTTGATCCTTGTTCAATAGTCAGGCTTTAAATCAAGGTTAAATCCCAACTTTTTCGAGACATTTGCTCGTACCAAAAGTTTTGAGGGTGTGCCGCACTGGAAGAAATTTTCCAAAGGCGACGATGCATTGACCGAACTACTAGGACCCATGCTTGGTCATGTTTTTCCAGGCAAGGGGAAGCATCATAGGTTGGTATATTACCCCCGTCAAACTATGGCTATACGGCTGTACGTTACATCTCCTATAAATCATGGTAAGCCTAGTCTTCAACCAACTTCTGCATCAATCTAAGGGGGGCCCCACTGTAGGTTGTTTGAGGGCCGTGTCGAATTCCGTTGCATGGCACATTTAACAATATGTCCTGTGTGTTTTGATTGTGTTTTGATGTGTCTGGCTTACACATTGACAATGATTGACATATGCTGACTGAGCAGGGGATACAGCCAAAGAGCATGAGAAATATCTGACATCAACTAGAATGCATGATAGAACAGTAAAAATCCAGCAGGATGTGTTCAAATGTCTTCAGTGTAAAGATGAACGTGTCATATTGACAGATAATAAGGTAACAAAGCTACTGATAGTTATAGGGCTCTTATGTTTCAATGCTATGTTAGATGGTACTGCAGTGGCTACATTAACATGTTCTAACCCCCCTGGGCGCCGACCATCCCGATGCAAAACTCAACCGACTGGTGCTTCTCGTGATCCTCTGCGGATCCGGCCACTTGCAGCCACCGAAGCAAGTCCAGCGCCAAGTGGTCCCTTCAATGTGCGCCCAAGCATTTTTCTGCTTGGTGGTTTCAACCCCTCTGAAAAATGATGGAGTTCGTCAGATTGGATCATCATCCCAAAATAAAAGGGGAAAATCAAACATGTTTGAAACCACCAACCAGTTTTTGCTCCTGGCTTTGTAGTTGCAATCTCTGCAGCCATGCTATCGGCCTCAGCTTGAAGTGGCTTGAAGTTCGTTTCCCCGTGGACGGTGACATCAGAGCAACACCTGATGCTACATGTACGTACATGTTCTATTTACTTGGGCTCTCCAAGGCCTACTTTATCAGTGGTCTTTGTATCTCAGTCTATTTTGATTTTGTAGAAGTGACCTTTGAAACCGAAACCTCCGGAAAAAAAAAACTGTGGACGCCTTTTGTATCTACAAATTTGAGCTGCGGAAAGCAACCACCGGAATCGCCTGGAATGAAAAAAAGAGCCTCTGTTGGCCAAAATGGTCTTATTTTCACCAATGCAAATACATGCAGGATATATGGTCTGCAGCTGCTTACCTAGATACTTCCATACATTATTCCTCGCTGACCTTGGCAGCGTTTGAACCATTTTGAACCAATCCAACAAATCAAGGCCAGCCGAGCTGCACCGGATTGACAAGGGGATGCTTGCAGACACAGATTTTCAAGAACTCATGGTCCAATAGTACTGCAAGGCTGATGCCATCATACTGTTTAGGAATGCCCCGGACTAGGCCATTATGAATTTACTATCTATCTGCCTGTCGATGGCTCTATCCATATATTTTTTGATGGGTTTCTCCACCAACTCGGAAAAGGGAATACTGGGAAGGGATCTGCATGCTCTTTTTATCCCAGCAGTTTCTGAGTTGACCCACACGCAACCCAGTTACTAATCTATAGAGGTCCGACAAAAGATAGAAAATTTCCAGGCTTCCAACTGATCAATTTTTGGATTACCATACCCAAAAAGCAACCCCCAACAAAATAAATACGGCGATCCTACAAAACTAGTTGCAATTCTCACGTGTTCTAAGTTTTTTTAGAACAGGGCACTTTTTTGGAGTGCGTGTTTGACTCAGTATTCACCTTTTTATCTGACTATGATTATCAGTTATTATATCCCAAAATAAATACTATGATTACCTATGATTACCTATGATCATTTGTAACTATGATTACCTATGATTTACCTTAATTGTATGGACTATCCATTACTCTTTTGTGGGGTCCAAAAGAAACAACCACTGAATCGGGGGCGCCTTCGCCAAATGTTGCCTGGCAAATGGATGGAACCAGGGTATCTTGACCACACAGTTTCAGGGAACCTTCCTGGTAAACTAACATAGCTATGGAAAATCACTATTTTTAATGGGAAAACTCCCTATAAATGGCCATTTTCAATAGCTATGTTAGTTTACCAGAGGGTAAGTCTGCAGATGCTTTGTAACCATTTAATTAAACTGGCATGCAATTTGGTTTTCGCATCTCGGTTACATGTCTGAATCCATGCAAGTGCAATGCATTGGCATCACGTATCAACCCAAAGATTTGTCGGAACATGTGAGCAAGCATCCTCAGCAAAAAAAAACGTGAGCAGGGTCCTTCCTACTATATAAAGCTGCCACTTAGGGCTATACCGCATTTTCAGACATACCCAAATGAAGACAGATAGTGTGGAACAACAACACAGCCATATCCACCTTTTCGAACATGCAAAAACACATAGAACTGATTGTTATTTTGGGGAATCGCATCGTCCTCGAGTGGTTCAGGACCAACATCAACATGTTGCTTGAAGTGCAACCCACCGGTCAGCTGCTGTGACTGTGGGTTCAAGTGGTACTCAAGAGATGTGGTACGATGATGATGATGATGATGAGGATGACGATGACGATGACGATGACGACGACGACACTTAGACGACATATAATTAAGCAAATCGCATCTTTACTACGAGATCCACCATTAAGTACTATAGCAAGTTAATTCAGATGCCCGCAGACAATCTGAGACCTGCACACAATTTGGATATTATTTGAACAATGCTATTCACTTTATATTCACCTCCCAAAGTTGTCCAACTCCGGTTCATTTCAGCCTCTCCCAGTGCGGAATGGCTGGCACATTCACACGTCGAACGCCTCAGACCATTTCCATGGCATCTGCAGATTGGATTCCCCAAGTGGATGAAGACCCGCCCTACCTATTTACTGGTTGGTGGTTTTAACCATCTTGAAAAATATTAGTCCATAGGAAGGATGACATCCCATATATGAAATGGAAAATAACAAATGTTTGAAACCACTAACCAGTTTAGTAGTGTTCATGAATTCAAAACACCATACAGGTCGTTTCGCCCAAATCCATCGAAACAATCGAATCATTGGTTACAAAAATGGTCCCAAAACACTTCAGAATAGGGGAATGGCCCGAAATAACTTGAGCGACCACCCTCACATTCGGGCCGTAGAAAATTCAACCGATCGCCCAGAAGTTGGGGGTGCAGTTGGGGTTGGGATATGTTTTCTTTGGGAAGGCACAACCGCACTTAAATGTCAGGTACCCTCTGGTTATGTCAAAATAGCTCTTGAAAATGGCCATTTATAGTGAGTTTTCCCATTAAAAATAGTGATTTTCCATAGCTATGTTGGTTTACCAGAGGGTAGTCCATATTTTTGAGCCATCCATACTGCCTGATTTTGTGTCTAGGGGTAGATGATGAAACCTCCAGATACGATTCACCAACGGGGAAAACTGCCATGATGGACCGTCCCCTCAGTATGGATTCCTATGGCTGGCAACCCTCATGTACACTTGTCAGAGTGACTACCTTTCCAGAACGCACAATCCTGCGCAATTGCGTCCTATGCACACATACACACAAGTTTCGTAGGTAGGTGTATCTGCATACTGCATAAGCTTGTGATGTCAAGAATGTTCCGCCTTTCACAAAAACAACTAACATCATCGGTACTTCCATGGTTTTACGATGCCAACAAAACAGATCTTGTAATATATATATATATATATACCTCTGGTAAACTAACATAGCTATGGAAAATGGCCCATTTACACCATTTACACTTATTTGACCTATTCAAAGTGGTGATTTTAATGTGGATTTTCAGTAGTCATGTTAGTGGATCCAGAGGGATCCAGGTTCCCGGGCGATACTCAGGACCACTCCAAGGCGCCTCAAGATGATTTGTACCAAATGCCAAGGACATCTCTGCAAAAACGGGTGAAAATGGCAATGACAGGGCTAACATCCCACATCTTCTTGTTTGCCGTATATATATATAATATTATATAGCCATAATATATATATATAATATATTTCACCACCATGTATGTCAGAGGCAAAAAAATAAACCAGTCAAGTGCCCAACTAGGCTTTGTCATGCTTTGTCCATCTGTCTGGTGATCATTGGGTACATAAACCACAGTCAGGGGTATGACAAAATGGAGCTCTACCATGCCATATCCTCCTGTCAACATACCTATTTTATGAATTCCCGACTCGGAGCTCAAACAATTGAATCATCTACCGGCGAATATTTCATTGGAAAACATGTGGAACCACTTCTCCATACATCTATTGAGTTTTACCCTCTGATCATCTCCGCGGTTGCAACTAGCTGGAAGTGCTTTGTGGCGGTCCTCCAGTGCCCTTTCTGAAAACCACATCTCCAGAATATTGAGCCATCAGAAAGATGCAGGGACCATCACAATTCTATCCAGCTCCGTGGTCAATGATCCTTCATATAGTCTGGTTGGTGGTTTCAACATTTCAACCCATCTGAAAAATATGAGTTCGTCAGTTGAGATGATTACTCCCAATATATTATGGAAACATCCATTAAAATCCATTAAAATCCATTAAACCACTAATCCATTAATCCCAAGTGTTTCTGGAAAAAAACACCAACCAGTAGTTTAAGATCACAGTATGGGTGGGTGCGCCCCTATGGCGATTTCATCACTCACGTACCGCGACCCGTACCGCGACCCACCAAAACGGGCCATCGTTTACAGTAAGCGTGGCGGTTTCAACCCCCGTCATTGGGGATCATAACACAAATATATATATATGACTATATTTGAAACCTTTTGAAACATGTTGGTTTACCACCAACCACACAATTTGATGATACTTAATTTCTTGACAATTTACCACGTCCTTTGTGGTGAATTGAGGTTTACGTTATCGTTTACCACCAGCACGGTACGCTCTGGGTCTCCCCAACGGCTACGCTGGACACCTCACTCCTGGGCGTTGCCACACCTCGCTTTGGACGATCAAGCCGGGCTGGAGCCGGCTTGAAACCCTTGGTGAAGCCACGTAGTAAACTGGGGTTTATCCCCCCAGAATCCACCAAAGAAAATTGTATTTCAATGTATTTCATAAGTTTTCATCGCCATCTCCAACAAGCTCTCAGTGGGGTACCACATTACCTCGCCTCGGTTTCGATTTTTGAGGGTCAAATGAGTCAAATCAACAGAGCTCGGACGTTTCTATGCGTTTGCCATGGGAGTATCAACATTCATCAGTGGATATATCCAGTGTTATCCAGTTTTCAGGGGATATACGGTTATGGGTCAAAACCCTGGTTACCCTAATATAGCTGGTGAATGAATGATAGCTCCAAAATATGTATAGAATAATAGGTTTTGACCCATCCCCATGTCACTTAACCGAGTTACCAACCACTTCGCAACCTCCGCCCATCTCAATACCCCCATGTTTTCATCATGTCTGCCTGCGCCATCGATGGAGCGCCGCGGTTTCGCCTGGGTGATGTTCAAAGAAACTGGTCCTATATGCTCCATGAAACATTAACCGTTCTTTACCCCAAGAATGACCCAAATTCAGGTAACTATATACCATGCACAGAGTATATGGGTGTCATATAGCTTCAAAACCTCTTCAATCTGATGCGTTCTTCAACTGCTGGATTCTCTTAAAGAAACTAAAAGAAAGGATAGGGCAGGAATCCACTGCCTTGTCCTTCCGGGGCTGCGGGTCACGTCCGCCTTCCGGAATTTCCAACTCCCGATCGCCTGTAACTCCAGCGTGGACAGCTGCATGGTGTTGGCTAAGGTGGGCAAAAAGCAGCGCAATCTGTTGTAAGTGGCTGTCTGCGCCTGCTCAGCCTCAGTGCCGGCCGTCATCAAAGCCCCTCTGAAATATTCAAGGAACCTCGAACGGCTCTCTTGCGGTTGGCCACACAGGGAGGTGCCAACTGAGTGGCCGGGAAGCGGAAGGTGGTGTCCGGAAGTTCGTGATAGTAGAAGTCCCACAAGGTGCTGAGCAAGCTCTGGCCCTACAAAAATCTTATGGGATTCTTATGGGGCGATATGAACTTGAGCCAAAATTGGCACAAGTTCGTCATATGTCCTACCCAAAACTTTCAAATCACATGAAAACCCTTCCCAACCAACCTATTTCCATGTGAGATGAAAACTGAATTGCCCTAAACTGCCCTCAGATCTCTTATGTCCTTGGTTGATCTTGGTTGAGGTGTTCCTCATCAATCAATTATGGGGTGTGCTCTGGGAAGAAGTTGATCGAAACAAACAGATAGCCAGTAAAGTAACAGTAAAAATCAACCGATAAGTGGGACAATCTACCGGATCACCCGGAAACATGTTTAGGTAGTTTTCAAGTTTTTTTTTTGGCCTTAGCTAGTTTCTCTTACTAGTTCCAAAGTTGTGTTTAGATGTTGCTGCTTTCAAACTTTATTGGGTTTCGCAACATGATCATATTTTTTGTTCTTGGATATTTCCGGGGGAAACGCGAAAGAAACATGTAAGAGATTTCACAAACATAGGGCAATTTACAGTACTACTGTAGGAACATATAGGGATTTTAAGCGAGCAAGAATTTCGCTATGATGATGATATGACATGGGTGATAAAAGCCATGGGTTGTGAGGGAGATACACAGTAACTCCGCAACAATTGCGACACAATGAGGAAAATTTAATGATTTGTTTCGCAAAAGGCATGAAGATATCATCAATAAGAACTAGGGGTTGGCAAGTGAGTGAAGCTGGTAGTTACCGTGTAGAGTCCCTTACAATTTGCCTGGGAGATATGAAAACATATGACTCTGGACCCGCGTTGCAACCTTGAGAAGCCAAGCTCAAGTGTGGTTGGCGGTTTGTATGTTCACAAGAATCACAGAGGCATTAAAAAAAACATCAATGATGCTCCCAATCAACAACAAACGGAACATCTCCCATTGATAGCGATCATGTTGATGTTGTCCTTCCAATTTTTGACCCAGAGCCACATGAAGAAGCTACGGCAGGTAAGAATCTAAATTACCCCAAACATAAGCTGCTTTATGCAACTACCTCCCAAAACTCTTAAACATGTTGTCCAAACCATACCCAAAAACCATCCAAAACCAACTCCTAAGTTCGGTAAATCAACTATAAATGAACCATTTTCAATAGCTATGTTAGTTTACCAGCGGGTAAATACCTCCTCTTCCTATCTTTTTCTACAGCCACTTTTTGGGTCAAAACTATAACAACTACCGTCGAAACAAACAAAGAAACTGACGCCAAGGTCACTGGAGGAGAACCAGCACGCAGCGCAGGGAGTTGTGAACTGGGCGAGCGAGCAGATAGCAAGCCCCAAAAGAGATAGAACAACAATTTCGGATGTTGAATTTCTACTATCGATAGTTGAATTCTGATATTGTTTATCTTAAGCTATCACCATCCGATAGAACAGGTAATTTTAATCGGATGTTGAATTTCTACTAGATTGCTGGTTACTATAAAAATTCTATAAATCCAGCCTACCTTTACCTAGTGCCCATTTCTGGCAAAAACTTGAGTCACTGTTGTAATGACAAGGAAGCAGCTTCTTCGCTCACAGCAACAGCAACAGACCACTGGGCCCAACATATAGATCTAAACCCCAAGTAGCCCGTCGGCTTCGGGTCTCAAGCTTTGGAACCCCAAAATCATATGTGTTTTCCGTGTTTTCCCATAGAAATTGCTTGATTCTTTGAGATGTTTAGGCGACATGTATCTAATTTCCCCTCATTCCTATGTCCATGAAATGTTAGGACTCCATCAAGATGTGTACTTGGTGGCTCATCCCACTGACTAAGTAGGTTATCTCGTTATCTCCCTAAGTATAGGCAGGATAGTATGGGTTACCCTCTGGTAAACTAACAAAACTATGGAAAATCACCATGTTCAATGGGTAAATCCACTATAAATGGCCATGTTCAATGGGTAAATCCACTATAAATGGCCATGTTCAATAGCTATGTGAGTCATTACCAGAGGGTAATCCACGAAAAGACCCGACGATTCGTGGGACTTTCACCGAGTGACTCGGGAAGTCCAGGATCCACTGGTCGGTCAGGCCGGGTCACCTGGCGGTCAGCCTAATGGTGGTTAATGGTGGTTAATGGTGGTGAATGGTGGTTAATGGTGGTTAATGGTGGTTAGTGGTGGTTAATGGTGGTTAATGGTGGTTAATGGTGGTTAATGGTGGTTAATGGTGGTTAATGCATATATATCTGGTTGGTGGTTGACCTACCCCTCTGAAAAATGATGGAGTTCGTCAGATTGGATCGTCATCCCAAATAACTCTTGGGAAAAAAGTCATGTTCCAAACCACCAATCAGAATTGTTAGCATATCTCACCAACTACAAAACCACCAAAAATAGGTTATAGCTTATAGTGAATGGTTACCAGCGAAACAATTTTAGATACACAAAACCATGAATTTGTTAGCTGGTGAGTGGATATTCCTTTTTACAACAAACAATTAAAGGATTCAACCACCCATCCAATGTTGACGGAGGGTATCCTTCTGGATAAATCATAAATGGTTATAGAATGTTATAGATAACATCTGGACAAATTGTTATATTATATATATATATATATCCCTAGGGATCTAATGTTGGATCTATATGCTGGCATTTGCGGGAAACCTTGTTTTGGACCGTCCGATAGCAAAATTTGCTATCCGATAGCAAAATTTAACTACATTTGCGAGAAAACAATTTTCAACGTAATTTGACGTAAATCCTTGGACCCTCCTGTGGTATCTAACATCATCAAACTAATGCTCCATCATGCACCATCCACAGCCCAGCTATCCTTTGCGGCTCTTTTCGCCCTATGCAGGTGTCCAAGTCCCCAATCGGAGCAGAAATCTGCAAAGAATTCAGTACTCCATCAATTCCCCCTTGGTCACCTTTTCAGCTAATTTTTTGACAACACCAACGTTGTCCTCATCCTTGAAAGTGTGAACGTATCGAACATTCATCCTTCGAATGGCCATGTCCTCATTGAGATGCCTGTAGGGATGATGCTTAGGAATAAGCTTCCATCGCGCACACTTGTGGATCACCGAGTAGTAGCTCAACTTCTGGTACAGTCTCAGAAAGGTGAATCCGTATCTGGAAATGTCTCTGGATTGAAACTCTGAGAGATACCGTGGATAGCGGGACAAACGGTCGAACCAACAGACCATGGCCCTGGCAGCCAATGATGCCAATTCAATTTCTTCTTCCGCGTGTTGATGGAACAGGTTTGCCACACAAATGTCCAAAAATGCCAGAAGCACCTGGCCATTCCAGGCCTTGCATGTCAATGCTGGAAAACCATCTGTGATGTGTAGCATCCCCACGGTCAAGAATCCTTGCGAATGCCTGCAAGGGGATTTCAGATGCAAATTTCATCATCCCAGTAACTATACCAAATACTGTTTGTATTTGTGGTGCTGTTAATGATGGTGCATGAGTTTGAGGGGTAATGAATAATGTTTTCAACAAGTACTAGTGAAAAAAAAACATGCGTGACCCAAAAAGATATACTCCAGGACCTAAAGCTAGCTAGTTTTATGACCTGGGGTATAGGCATAGGCTACTGATGTTGATTGAAAACCCAGAAATGCAACATATATATTTTTTCGATCGAGGGTTTACGTCGAATTATGTTGAAAATTGGTTTCTGCAGTCCAACAGTCCAAACCAGTTTCCCGCAAATGCCAGCATATAGATCCAATATGATCCCCAGGGTAGTATGCCAAAAGATGCTAACAATATTATCCTAGGAACTCAAGTCCTTGAACACGAGCCCATGCCCTGAAGCGAGTCGAGAGTTCCCTCAGTTGATCTTCTAGCTTGCCACTGCCAAAGAATCCTGGGATGCAGCAGGTTGAGATTTGATTTGCCAAAAAATAATGTGGTTGTCCCTTTGAAAATAATAGGGGAAAAAGCTGCCTATATATAACTGTTGATCAAGTATCCTTTCTCGCAAAGAAGGCTTGTCAGGCTTCCATTCAGGGACTGGATAATTCCAAGATTGCAAATATGCATTGAACAAAAGCGTAGCTGCTGAACTTCGAACCCAGGTATTCCAACAATGGGATGGGGCCACCTTTGACAGGGTTGAAACCTAATTGATGCATAAATAATAGTATGCAGTGTTTTGGCCTTCTTATATATATATATTTATATATATATATGAACATATTATCAACTGAAATCCACACAAATATGCACCTGAAACAGCAAGCCAATGCGTTCATCCTGGATCTTCTGGGGAAGTTCGGTCAAGTTGTGTCCACCTGGTGTGATGGTGTAACCAAGACAATCTACCCCTCATAATCCGTCAAACATTACATCATACCCATTAGTACTCTTCAACAAAAAATAGGCATAGGAATTTAAAAAGTTAATGCTTTAGTCGATAGGGCACCGGTTTCTTCGAATAGGGTCCGCTGGACAACGGGCAGTGCACAGATGGCAACAATCCTTTGCAGACCAGTGGGTTCTAAGAGCGAATGCCTCCCTCAGAAATTTCCAATCCCCTCTGAGCTCCACCAGTGCTGCCTGACCACCTGAGCCATGGCTCAGTCGTATGGTGTGGTGGATGAGGACAGGACCATATGGGGGAAATTGGATTGAAGGCAGATGTATATTAGATAAGGAAACAAATGAGATTCAATCACAATACTAGTAATTACTGAATCCTTTTGGTATTTGAAACTTTTATTGTTTTCAAACCTGGCCTGCGATGGACTTGCCTTTCAATCGATCAAGCCAAGCAGGCAATGGGTTCCCTTCAAAATCTTTGTCCGGATGGCACCCAGAGAGAAGAGCCTGGATGGGGCATTTCAACTGAAACAAAAGATTCCTTTTGTGGGTATGCATATGCATTTGTATATACATATAAAACGTATACACATGTACACATATGTGTATTATATCATGTACATATATATAATATACACAAATCAAAAAGCATAAATGCACACATACATATAGTTTACATATATAATCCATGTGTGTGTGCGTTTTTTTTGAACAACTTTTATGGCAGCCTTGAAGCTCCATACCAGAAGCGAATACACTCTGTTCAGGGAATAGTCAGGAATTGCCCTGCTCACCCTCAATGTGAACACCGGAAACCTGCAAAGATCTAAGCCTCAGATTTTTTGGCTGAAAGTCGCATAGATTTGTGGATCAACAATAATGTAGTACCATAGCACAACAAAATCAAAAAAAACAAGCAGTATTTTGAGATGGGGTGCTCTTAGGTTCTTGAAGGATGCAATTGCAGTTGAGAACTATCAGTTTTTCCCCTGATCGATTGTATCGGCAGTCATCCCCGTAGAGTCCCATAGGAACGGCCCTTGCAGCAAAAGCAGGGTGGTCCCGTGAATGCCACCCAAACTCGGTCGTGTGCTGCCAGTACCGGTCAATAGCAGCCTGATCTCTGACAAATTTGCCACTTGCCTTGGAGGGCACGGGGGGCTAGTATTTTTTTAATACCCAAACATGTTTTTATGTGGGAGGCTTGGTGGTCGAAAATGATGAAGCTAGGCCACATTATGACCAGGATAGTGAAACCACATTCTGATTTCAAATATGTTGGGTCACTAGACTTGTCATATATGGTACCCCAAAGGAACCCATTCCCAAAAACAACAGGGTGTTGTTTAATGAACTAGTTCCTTAAATCAAATCCAACACTGAAATTTAGCTAATGCTCCGCTGTGGGGCATGTAGGTAGTCATAGAGCAAGTGAGGGCAAATCACTGGGAGTTTCTTCAACTCGACATCTTTCCGATTGTGTTCAGATCGGACTGGAATCTCCACCCAAAGAGGTTGGACTGGTATCTCAAGAACTCTGCATAAGTCTCGTTCTATGTTGTTCTTGTACTTACCTCGACATCCAAGTCGTGATATTTTTGTAGTTAGCTCACTCAGGCTTCCACCATGAGCCTCCAGGAACAACAAAGATATGGCCACCGCTTCAGCAGCCATATTCATAAAGATCACTACCCCTTAAGATAGGGGGATGTACCCTAGCTACAGTTTAGACGTACTTTCTAGGAGGGGAACGTACAACATGTATATATATATATATATATATATGTCAAAGCACGTTTTTATTGCACTGTAATTTGAACAATATCAAAAAACACAAAGTATGCAATATATATATATATGGTTGGTATAGTTCCTTCCCCCCTGTTTTGATTTCACCACCGAAGCCTCAGCCTCTTGGACAGAGGCTTCCGCTGCACGCTGAAGTTCGGCACATGAGGTCGCCTCGGCATGGTGGGCAGTAGGCAACAAACACGAATTTGATGGCATATGATGTGTGGTCTGTTAGAGAGGGTCACACATCACCATCAAAAAACAAGTACAATAGTTCTAATTAGTAAGTAGCCTTATTGGGAACATTACAGGTTTAGATAACCCATAGTCAAACTGATTATGTTTGCGTCTCAAGCTTTTTTGGTGGTCCAAAGATTTAGCAAAGGCACACCTCGGCCGAGGGAGGAGATGAGATAGTCTGCATAGCTGTGATTACCTGCGATGGGGTGCAAACGAATCTCCTAAATATAGATATAGATGGGAAACCATAGGCTTTGTGTAGTCAAGAGGATTCTGGTGATATTACAAATATATAATACTTGTTGGTAAACCACATTTAAAAAATATAGATTCAGTTTGGAATAGTCGAGATCATCAAGGTAATATGTTCTTTTCTCTTTCACGCGCGTGGCAGCAAGTCATGACCATGGGATGGTTTCCCGCGGTTCAAATTACCACTGCTACAGGTATAGTATATCACACTGGCTAAGACCACACACATCAGGGATAAACATGTTGGAAACAAAAATTCAACAGGACTCGTGTGGTGTGGCAGTGTGCCCCATGGCTACATATGTGCACACCCTACAGGAAGTGCAGTGAGCCGGCATGTCAGATTTTACAACACTGGCATTTGAGTTGTGTCACTGGTATAAATATATAAATATTTATTATATATACGATGAACACATGGAACGTTGAGAAGATCCACCCTAGAGGCGTTGCCGCAACATGCCGCAGGCTCTTAATAAAAGCAGGGTAAGAGAATCTACGCAGGTTCGTAAGAAATGGCCATGCTGACTTGCAGGCATCGATATCTTTCTAACTTCGCTTCGACACAAAAATCGAAGGCTGCGCTTCGTATGAAATCCTGAAGTAACGCAACAATACTGGTGTAATAATTTTTATATATAATATGCAGCTAGTGTTTCAGTTTGTACGAGTAGTACATTCAACTTTTCGCACAGCCTTCTGGCAGCAATCCACCTAAGCTGCAGCAGCACTTGCCTTTGCCTTGGCTTTGGCCTTTGATTTGGGCTTGGGCTGGGAACAATTTTTTCGGACCTGCATGCTGGCTTCATTGTAAGCTGTGTTGGCAGTATGCAAGTCCTTTGTGACATCTACCAACGATGCCCCTGTACTCAGGGCACCCTCAAGGGCAGTCTTGGCAGCACGTAACTTTGAGGCTTCAGATTCCATTTGGAAAACAAATGCTTCCGCAACGGCCTTTGCCCTTAGTAATGCATGATAGATGAAGCGGACAGCATAATCCCGTTTGATGTTATCCCAAACCAACAAAAACAAAAAAGCAAGTGCATATTATCACAGTACTTGAAACACATCCCAAAAACAAACAATACTATTAATCAATCACAAACCAGTCACATCCCTGCAGACTCAAGTTTGTATCGCCACTGGGAGATTTCCAGCAAGTTCGCATTTGCCTTGACCACAGCCTCATGGTTTGAATATGTATGGAGAATCATGTAGTTTTGAAACACCATTATCATATACTAATAAAACACAACATTATCATACTAAAAACAAACACAATCTGACCAGCTAGAAACTTACAAAGCTTAGGGTTTGTCAAGAGGCTGCACGTGCCAATTGTTCGTCAGTCTTTGCCTTGGGGGCTGGTTTTGGTTTTGGTTTTGGCTTGGGCCTCGCATCACCAGCTCCATTTCCGGGCACAAAAGGATCAGCTGCACTCGAAGCTAATGAATGGTCCCCTTCAGCTTCGCGCACAGTCTCTGTTCCCCTTTGGTTGGCTTCTTGGTGATCGTCATAGGTGGATACCCATACATGATACAAACGAAGATCCTGCATCAAACCAGCAGGTTGAATCATCATCCCCAACACAGACACTAATTTGTTTGGAAAACAACTTTGATTCTGCTACCTGGAGGTTAAAACCAACAGTTAAAATTTTCCTAGATGTTACTCCCCTCCCTGTCAGGAAAAGACCATGTCCTCTCTCCGCGGCAAGTCTGGGTGGTTGCGGTATTTGTTCTGTGCAACCTGTCGCAAGGTGCAGAATTTAAAGTTACCGGCATGTTGATGTGCTTTTTAAAGAAGGAAAACCTATCCCCAGCCTTTTCTGCAATCAGTTCGTCTACCACAGTCGCGTCTTTGTATCGCTCCATGAGATCCTTACTGATTGAACCAAAAATCTGATGAAACCAGAACTTATATAACAAATAAAACAGCACCAAGCCCTTCCGTTACTTGGGGTTGACCAGAAACAAATTAGCATAAACAATACCACAGATTCTGCGCGGCACAACCAAGCATTTCGCCCACCCTCCACATCAGTGGACGTGTGACTGTCCCGTACAATCACTGTCGAGCTCCACCAGTCCTCGTTACTGTCGACATACTGCCTGTAAAGCGCCTTCATGGCATTTCCCGTTTTGTCCTTGGCAAATTTTGGATAAGGGACCTTGAGGTATTCCAAACACACACCTACTACACAGACACACACACAGAGACAAATAGGATATATATATACAATTATATATGTATATATATATCCTATTAAGTATATAAAATATACAGAATGATAATATATATATACATTATAAAAACTAAATCAATTACCTAGACGCATATGTGTTTTGTATCCTACCACATATGTGATGTATCATCCACATGGTACACACTCCAGTTGGCAACAGAAAAATATACGTATTGGTGATAGGATGGTGGTAGGTACCTCCCAAAAGGGTCACCCTAGTGAGATTGAATTTATGTACATATGTTTTTGGGTAAAGGTCCTTATGTACTTGGTGAAGGTCCCATACATATAGTTGAGGTGCCTTTGCGGCTTCACGGAACTTCAACGTAATCTCGGCTGGTGCCTTCTTGGACACCGATCGTCGTGTAAACCTCATGTATCGTGCACGTTCTGCTTCAGGGTCCAACTCAACCTGCTGGGCTCCTGGTGCAATGTTGTTGCTGGGTGTACCAGTTGCCTTTGCTGTGGCTGGTGTGGGAGGAATCGGACCAGATGCTGGGGTGCTTGCTGGCTCAGGTGGGCTCACAGGGGTTGGAGGAGGTGGTGCAGCAAGCTCTGCCAGTGGATGCGGTGTTTCACCAGAGGATCGCATGACAGCCGGGGCTCCTGTGGCGGGGCTTGGTGGCACAGGTGTGGCCACAGCAGGGTGAGGCGAGGTCACAGGTGCTTCAACTGATGGAGGCGCTGGAGGCTCTGGCTGGGGCGGGATGCTAACTGCACTGGGTGCTGTTGCAACATGATCGGCTGCAGTTGCAGGTGTCGTTGGTGGCGTCATGGTCTCCACCAGTACGGGTGACATTGCCATTGGGGGGGCCGGTGAGGGTGTGTCAAGCATCACCACATCAGGCGCATTAGGCGAAGTCACGGGCAGGGGTGCTGCACGTGTGCGATCAGTCTTGAATCTGGACCAAAAAGTTTTCAGCTGCTCAGGTGTCCCAACATCACTAGCACCACCGGCAAGAACTGGTACAGGTACTGCTGATGTCACAGCTGCTGGCTCCACGGGAGGGGAAGCTGTTGGAACAGGTGTTGCTGTCACAGGCACAGGTACTGCTGAGGTCACAGCTGCTGGCTCCACGGGAGGGGAAGTTGCAGTTGCTGTTGCCATAGGCATTGCTGCAGCCACGGGTGTTGGCACCAGGGGAGGGGAAGCTTTTGGAACAGCTGGTGTTGTCACAGGTACTGCTGAGGTCACAGCTGCTGGCTCCACAGGAGGGGAAGCTGTTGGAACAGGTGTCGCTGTCACAGGCACAGGTACTGCTGAGGTCACAGCTGCTGGCTCCACGGGAGGGGAAGCTGTTGGAACAGGTGTTGCTGTCACAGGGGCAGGCACTGCTGTGGTCACTGCTGCTGGCCCCACGGGAGGGGAAGCTGTTGGAACAGTTGTTCTTGTCACAGGCACTGCTGCAGCCACAGGTGATGGCACAGGGGGAGGGACAGCTGCCAATACTGTATCACAGTAGGGAACAGTCGTATCACAGTAGGGAACAGTCTCGGTCATGCGTTCGTCGGGTGAATCCGTAGGGGCAGGTGGGTGTGCTGGTGCATCAGGGCTCCCCATGCCAAGAGACATGTCATCAGTGGACTTTCTGTGCATCAGTGCAATATATGCAGGTGTCAACCCCCCCGCTGGTGACGGCAGCTCCAAGGTATCGTCTACAAGTGTATCCTGAGGTTCAATTTTTGCTGCTGTTGTTGCATGTTGGGGGGTGGCTTGGGTCCGCAATCTGCCCAAATCAAGTTCTCGAGGTTGTTCCTGCAGTTGAGGCCGCATGTAACCAGGGAGAAATGCATATTAAAAGTTAAAACTGTTACATGCATATAATAAATAGATACATAGATATAGATAGATATAGATAGATATAGATAGACATAGATAGACATAGATAGATATAGATAGATATAGATATATATATAGATAGATATAGATAGATATAGATGGATATAGATAGATATAGATATATATAGATAGATATAGAAAGATATAGAAAGATATAGATAGATATAGATAGATATAGATAGATATAGATAGATATAGATAGATATAGATAGATATAGATAGATATAGATAGATATAGATAGATATAGATATAGATAGATATAGATATAGATAGATATAGAGAGATAGAGATAGATATAGATATAGATAGAGATAGATAGAGATAGATAGATAGAGATAGATAGAGATAGATAGAGATAGATAGATAGATAGATAGATATAGATTTATAGATAGTTAATACATCTATACATACATACTTACATGCATGCATACATACATACATATTATTTATTTTTATACACAGCAAGCAGGTGAAAAGGCAATAATAAACACAAACAAATTCAAAATGCAATTATGTTTGAAACTACATGTGCACACCCAGAATCCGAAACTGCACTTCCAGATCCCAAGGGTGCTTCTTGACTTTTCTCAACGGTACCACCTGAAAGGGTGAAGTGGATGGCATTTACATGTAGACATATATAATTATGTAGTAATAATCTGTTAGATGGGTACTTGTGAACCAAAATGATTACATTTTGTGATATATTGTGTGTGGGGGGGATAGGCTTGTAAAAAACACAACATATGTTACTTAGGTAGTCTCCCAATACATTCATGGTTGATGATGATGATAATGATGTTTTTTTCCCGTCTAAGACCCTGGAATGCCTTTACATTCAGGAGGAGACATAGCATCCCCAAAGCTCAATGCACGTGGTGTCACATCCCCTTCGCAGTGCTTCTTTGGAACATCTGGCGTCACATGCGTAGAGGTGGTAACGGTCATCTCTTTCCTGTCCCTTTTGACCCCAGATGAAGTCCCATTAGACACACCAAGCACAGAGCACACGAGCTGCTGGCGACGTTCTCCCTGAGCTATCGCTGCTTGAGCAGCCTGCATTGGCAAACATATAATATATATATATGATCTATGAGGGCTTTAACACATTGAGGATTTGTCTTCTCTTTGATATAATTAAACTCACACATATAATAATATACTAATATATTATAATATTCAAATATATTGGTCTAAATGTGTGATGGACCCACTGGTGGATTGTATTTACCCGTCGGCTTGACTTGCCCGCACATGCCATGGATGCCAGGCCTCCAGCAAATCCAGATCTTCGCCGGGCATCAGGAGACTCTTTGGCTAGGGCAAGGCCGGTGCAACTTCTGAGTTGGAAAAACTCTAAAGGGCATGCCACGAGAAGTCGAAGGATGACAGCATCATACCCCACAATTTGGGGCGCCGTATTGACAGTGATGTTAAAATAGAAACAAGTACAAGACCATTTTTGCGGGTATTTCCTGAAACCCAGCCCAAAGTGAACCATCACGGTCCATCACGATCCATCACGGTTTTTCCGACAAATTCCGACAAATGCTATAGTTTTAAAAGGCAAATTATGTATTCATCACGATTCATCACGATTCATCACGTTTTTTGATTTTGAGAAATTTCTGTAATCTGGCAACTTGGTTCCCACAAATAATATTTTCTGACATTGGTGTACCCTTTTTTCCGTCTAGTGCCAACAGATCCTGAGTCTAAGTTGGAAACCACGTGGCTTGGAAATGTTTGATGGCCCAGATATATATGCAACATATGTGATGTGACCTTTTAAATATAAGGCTACTCTATTATATTTGGGGTCTTCGGATCATATTGCAATCAACTGGCCACAAACTGCTACAAACTCAACGGGAAACCTGAATTATGGTCCAGGCTAGCCTGAAATTAGTGATTAAAATTTGCTACATATGCATGCTCCCTGCAGTTCTTCTGCAGGATGCCAAAACTCTGAATTAGAGCTCGAGGCCTGTTTGTGGCTTGAAGCGCCCTGCATACTGCTCTTGCAGGAGGAAGTCACGTAGTTGGGGAAGATTAGCATGTAGCCACTGCATGGGACCCTCCTCAGAAGTGCAAGATTAACAGCAAAATGTTAAGATCCTTTTCCATTAGTGGTGATGTATATCAGTGAGAAGTCTCGATGATATTCATAAGTTACTATTATTTTTAGACATATTATGTTGATTTACCTATAGGGAAAATAAAATAATATAGATCAAGATTTACGATTTACTTTATAATATAGATTATATATGTTCAGTATAGCGATGGTAATGGACCAAGTTGTTGGGAACTTACTGGGAATCCAACCATCATAATTTTGAAGATATATTGGCTATGCATGAGACCCTGTAACAAGCCTATGCTGTTTAAATTGTTTTGGTTATATATAATTATATGTATATTATATATATATATTATACATATAACATACAGATACATATATATTATATATATAATATATTCATTTTTATGGATGGTATGGGGGAAATCACTTCAGATACAACCGCAGTGCATGTGGGCCCAGTATGTTGTTATAAAATATATATGTTGGTATTGGCCACAAAAATGACGATTGATGAACATTATAAGCTATCAAAAGTTCATCGAGTCTCAGTTTAGATGATTCTTGGGTGGCTAAGTCAAAAGTCCAATCAATCTGAAATCAGTCACCACGATCCCCATAGCTGTTCAAGATAATTCTTTACACCTATTTGTTGGGGGCTGAAAGGACATATTATTTTGAGTCTTCCTTAAAATATATTAGGGAATGGTTACTGACCGAAGACCTTCGCTACTGGACCGATATGGTGCAAAACTGACCCGCGAGCCCCCTCGTCCAATCGACAGTGGGAGACGGCAACGCACAAGTGGAGGGATGAACTCCAGATCTGGACTTGCGGACTGGTAGTTTCCCCGAGGATGCCTGACTATAGAACAATGAGGAATCCCTGGAGATATTGGAAGCCTGGTACTATCAGGGTGCAGGCCCACCTCTCGAAGGACAAATCCAAATGGTGATTGACCGCACAGGATGCACCTCCTGGTCCTGGTTGAACTTTTCTCAACACTAATTATATATATATTATATATAAATAACGTAGTGTCCCATAATTGTATGTTTCAGGAATGTGTCCCTTATATATTTTTTAGATTGGGTGCAATCTTCTTGATGGTTCACGGAAGGTCGGTATGATCCCAATTGGATTTATATCTTTGCAGTATCTGCCTGTCCCATGCCAAACCCAATGGTTTTCCGATATATATATATATATATTGTATTAATGGGATTCTCTTATAATATATATATATATAAATAAATTATTTGTTTCTGTTGCAACCAAACCCAAGCATTCAAGCACCCAAGCGTATCAGCAGGCTGATATGATCCAATATGAACAGAGCATGAAACCCTGCAGATAGATATGAGATGTGGGACAAGGCTCAAATCCGTTGTGTCCTGCTCTAATCAGATCACGTTGCCGGTCGCTTGCCAGGCCAGAAGCCGAAACCTGAAGGCTGCAGCGCAAAGAGCAAGACGTGGCACATATGCCAGGCATCATGGGGTCAAAGGTGGTCAAAGGAGATAATATATCGACAAGTAACACGATATGTGTGTGTATATGTTTTTTTAACCAACATAAATGAGTATGTATTGTTATATCTGAGTATGTCTCCAAATTAGGTGTCCTTTTTTGGTTCCAAAAAGTTTACTTTAAGAGGAAAAAAGGACACCTTATTTTGAGACCTGGACTTCCCCTTTGAAAAACAATAAATATCCATATATGTATATATATAATATATATAATTATATACATATACATCTCAGTAGGAAAAATAAACCTTAAGCAAACCCAAGGGACAGGAAGACCCTTCTTGAAAAGTTTTGCAACCTTTTTTCCGAAATTTGGTGGGTATGCTCCAGAAGACTTCAATCTTTTCCCTCCCGTCACTTGTGTTGAGCCATCAGCCCTTTTTGCCTTGCTATACATGCCACACGAAGTTGATTGCAAGGCTCGCATTTGCTCCTTCGACATTTTAGCAACTAAGTCGCCCAACGACGGCCTCAGCAGGCGTTCAAATTTTGAACATTAATGAAGCGAAACCATGATCCTTGGTGAGAATTATACAGATAGACATTAGTGGTCTGTACTATGTTATTCAGCTGAACTTGAATAGTGCTTGATCTGAAAACAATCGCAAAATTCCTGGCAGAACACAGCCCACACCCAAGTGCCCATAACACATTATTTACAGCCAAACCACCACGACCCAAAAAGCAATGTTGGTTTAGCACACCAGTGTTGAAAAGCACCAAGCCAGGTTCGACAGGAAAACGCAGGCATCATGTTGGTCATGATATGCGCCATATATGGGCATTCAGGGAGAAGACTGGAGCTTGGCTGCTCCACCTCAGATGCATGTGATGATAGCCAAGGTCTCCCCATCTCTCTCTCTCTCTCACACTCACACTCTCACTCTCACTCTGACTCTCACTCTCACTCTCTCTCTCTCTATCTCTCTCTCTCTCTCACACTCTCACTCTCACTCTCTCTCTCTCTCTCTCCCTCTCTCTTGCGCTCTTTCCCCATAGCCATGCTATATATAGTGTTTTCTTAGCAATATTGATTAATGTCATTTTGCCTGGACAGGTTGAAGGCCATGAGAAAGCAGCAGAAAATTGGAAAACAACAGGACTGAAGCTGGAAATGGGTTTGAGTGTGGGTGATGCGCCAAGGGACACACCACCATAATCCTTGAATGACAGCTACCATAGCTATGAGTGCAAATCTGGCCGCAAGGCAATTTGCAATGGCCACTGAAGGAACTGACTCGTCGCCCATCACCCCCATGGAACTCCGTCTCTTCGTAGTATGTGCAGAAATCCAAATCCAACTGGGTTGCTTCAGGCAGTAGCATGTTGGTCAGCCATGTGGTTATGTGCATCACATAAGTTAGTGAATAATGGAGAAACAACGTAAACCTATGGCCCGTAGTGGATATCACCCCTGTTGCAGTTGGAGGTGAGACTTGCAATTTCCCCGAAATTTCCTTTGTTGGGGATTTCTGGGTGGCAAGCTACAAGGAAAATTGCTAGGTGAAACTGTGGAATGGGTTGATCCCTCAAACATTTTTGGAGGTAAAGTTGAACCTGGGAATGTCTCAAACTCTTTCAAGAACATGTTGAAAATAATACTTGCTGGGTTACCTGCAATTGCCCCTCCTCTTACTCTGAGACACAAGACATTCCCATTTGATTCAACTAGCCAAATCTTGGCAAGCCACCTAGAGCAAGGATTACCTCCCCATATCACTCCATTGCGCCGTACCCGAAGGACCTTGGTGAGGGCTATGAAAAAGCCTTGAGGCTCCGTGAGGTCGTGCATAGGGTTCTTCAGGATGTCAAAGCTCCGACAATCAATGCCATAGGTGCCTGAATTTCTCAAAAAATGATTTGTCAAGATGTCAGATCTGACATGCCGACGCAGTATGATTCTCAAGAATATGTCATATGATATATCATTAACCACATCGATATATGTTGTTGAATTTGGTGTTAGAGTGGATCCGGAACCTATCAAAATCCACAGAGATATTCTATCTCCAAGCCGAGCTGCGGCACTGGGAAGTCAAGTGTCCTTCTCCGCTAAAGAGCTCCAGCATGTCTATATCCTGACAGGAACAGTCAGATCAACATGACCTGGGATGTTGGAAAGATGCAGTATTCAAGTTCATGCAGGTGCATATATATATAGTATAATATATATCTATATATTATATAATATGTATATGTATATGTATATGTATATGTATATGTATATGTATTAATTATATATATATATATTACCCAAACGGAAAACGATTCTATATATTTATATATATAAATGACATGAAAGAAATATTGAATGTCACCAAACCAGCATCAGAGACTGCTTAAATCCAAGCAGCGCGCATGGTGCTGCCTGCTCCATGCTCTGCTGCCCAAACTTGCGAACAGAAATCCACTGCATGAATCCTGGGCAACAAAGCAGTAGTCATGTTTTGTAAGACGAAAACATCCAACTGTTAGGCCAATTGACATTTAAAGACTGCATGATGTAATAATATATATATATATAATCTATCTGTAAGAGGGACATCACCCACCATTTTTCCAAGTATCAATAGAATGGGCGCACCCCAATACAAAAGAGCCAGAGCTTTTCGCCGAGACAGGCCAATCGCCATTGCCAAGACAGCTGTGAGGCACTTGTTGGGCAATGGTATGTGGGGCAGAGCGACTTGGAGCTAGATCTTACATACACAAACAGTCGGAAGAATAACAACCATCAGGTACTGAATCAAGATTCAGAAGGATCCAACATATGAGAATATATGATAAGTACTAGTGTCAGCGTGTTTTTTCTTACCCACTCTGCAGGTCCTACGCCGATGGTTCTACACTGTGTGTATCAACACAGTGCAGTTGTTGCCCTTACATGTGCAGGCTGGCCACAGGAAAGCATACAACTTTGTGTCTATCAAATCACATACGGGTTGAAATTTTATTGAAATAACATATTCAAAATAGCCAGACTGTGCTACCCCATATGCTACAACATATCAAATCCAGCCCGCCAAACGACGGGCCAGTTCAAATGACTGAGTCCATCCACGTTTTCTCACGGAAATTGTTCCACCCTCCCTGGCATTCTTCTTCACCGTTGGATCCGAATTGATCATCTTGTTGACGTACACCTGGTCGATGCTCCACCTCGGTTTGGTATTCATGGACATCCCCCGGGGTAAAGGAACCATCAGGCACACTATTGCACCTATAATGTATATATACATATATGTATTTATGTATACATTTACACCATATACTTTTAGTGGTTATTTATGGTCTGTTGTTGGGTCGTAGTGATCAATGTTGCTCGAATACAGTGTATATATATATATATAGATATATAGATAGATATGTATATATATATATATTCAAATAGTCCCTGAGATTATGGGCAGTAGTGGCATCTCGGAACAGGTTGCTTGTGGTGCCATTGGACTTTCGTCTGTACAAGGACAATGGGGTTGGGTGGCAATTTCAAGGCAAGGGGCAGAATACCCAGCGTTCCACAATGCCCTGCAGCTTCCGGGGGCGACAGGGTGAAGGATTTGCGGGTCTTGGGATCAAAGTCGGTCGGAATGCTGATGCCTGCAGTCTTGAACTCCTCAACCTGAATTTTGGCAGTGGGTGGTGCAATGACCAAGAGAAGTAGAATTAGCATGAGTGGGCAAACAACTTGTTTTATGTAATGAAGCATTGCCGAAAAAAAATAATATGTTGCTAACTGGGGACAGGGAACACGTTGCTGCCACATGGCATCTAACTCATCGGGTGTGAACACCTTTCTCTTGTATGTCTTCTTGTCCTTTTTTCCATCATCACCCCCTCCATTCTCTTCATCACTCTTCTCTCCATCGATGGCTTCCCCCGGATGAGAAACATCGATATCATCAGGTACGGGTTTATCACCAGCATTATCATCACGTACTGCTACTTCTTGGGGCTGGTCATCCGAAATCTCTTTGGCTGCCTTTCCCCGGCCCCTCCCCCGGCCCCGACCCTTGCCAGTCTTGACCTGGGTCTTCTTGACTTTGTTGTCACTGTTGGCCTTGCTCACCAATGCCTTTGCCGATTCAACCCTGGTCGCTTTCTGTTGAAGCAACTGTGCCTTGTATGCATCGGTGTCTGTCTCACTCTCCTTCAGCTCCATGGTGTGGTCAGGAACATCTGGCATCTCAGGTGGTGTGACGGAAATTGGCTTCGTTTCCTCTTGGCGTGACTGGATGTGATCAAATTGGTTTTATCCCATCCCTGTTGACTACTTAGAAAACGGATGCATATTGAATATATCTATATGTATTTTTGATATATATATATATATTCATCATTTTTTTAATATAACTACAGTAGATCCTTTATCAAATGACATTAATACTGAAAATCAAAAATTGGGAATCATGGAAAACATAACCCATTGGATATCGATGGTGTTTCAAAACGTCTGTCCTTCAAGGCCTGTCTCTTAGAATCATCCGTCGGTTCGTCCTGTCGTGCTTCCATCATTGCATCCATGGTTGCCTCCAGCTGTGTCTCCAACTCATCCATATTCACCTGGGGAGCCTGAGGCTGTCACAAGTGGCAAACGTGTATTTGCATACGTGCTAGCCATATTGCATACTGATGAGATAGGATCCTGTGTAGTTTGAAGACTCAACAACGGAAAGATAGTTATTCCAAATGTTTGGGAAAGATACTTGCCAATCCTATAGATTGAATCGAGACAGAAAAAAAACATCAATCACAAAGAATAAGGTCTAGATCAAAGCAAGTAGCTTTGCATCGGCGTCGGCGTATGGGAACAACAGGTTTGGCAACTGATGGTGGGGACGCAGAACTAGACGATGGTGTTGAAACTTCATCTGCATCATCCTGCACAAATCTCCACTCCAATCCTCTCTAAATGGAAAGCACACACACATATATATATATATATAAAGTCAGTGCATCAATGACCATATTATCCCACTGTAAATGCTACTGTGGATGGAAGAAATCCTGCACCAGCTGATAGCACCAGCTGATAGGTGGTTAATCCCATTATTTACAGGGTTTCAATCGACCTAAGGTGGTGCAGGATTTCTTCCATCCACTGTATGATTGGTGATTGGTATTTCCACTAATATTAATGAGCAACAAGTTGATTCATGCACAGCATTTTGACTTTGCAACTTTTGTCCTGCTGGGCAGCTGCCTTCAATGCTGCTTCGATACCAACCTCTGGAGCCATTCCTGTCAAGGGTCAGGCTTATAACTTATAACTATAAAATTTATGTAACAATAATACATATATATATATATTATGTTATATATTGAGGAAGGACCAATCAGAATACATTTGCATTACAGTATGTTGGGGAATGCAGATTGTGATAAGAGAACCAACCTGTTGCTTAACCCTCCAACGAACACACGCACATAACTAATATATACACTGTAAATTTATATCTATATCTCTATATATATATATATATAATTTCTATATATATATATATATGGATTTATCTTTTTTAGATTTTACATTAAATATATAAATCTAAATATATGTATATATATGTGTGTGGCTTGTGCACTGTAATGAAGCCCAACCTGATTTGGCCAGGAGCATATGCAACATCTCCTTCAGCATGCGGATCTGAGGCGAGCGGGATGATTTGCTGCGGGTGCACAGAGTCAAGGTGTGCGTCAAGAGGGTTCGGATGTGCGGAGCCTCATGCCGAGCCCAATCCTGAAGGGAACATTACTGTTTGAACTGACTGTTGTAATATGTACACGTAAATACATTTGTAAAGAAAAAACACTGTTGGATCATTGCGCATTGAACCCACTTGTTTTGGGGCACACCAAAAAACGAGATTTGAAAACATAGACATGTGTTTTTTCATTTTTAGTTCTTCAGTCCTTCAACGTGCGACCATAGCCCTTGGCCTTGACAAAGATTCCATACCTCTTTGCACAGCAAATCAGTGACTCCTGGCAGGGCAAATGCAAGAACAAGAAAACGAGTTGTTGTTTTTTTATCTGTATTTAATAGAGCACCACTCCTCAAATTTGGTGTACGTGTATTGTGTGTGTTTGCGTGTTTTCTAATGCAATTTCAAGGGTCTAAATATCTTCAGGGGGGCTTAAGGTATCGATATCATAAATGCAGGCTACTACTAGTCCTGCACCACCTTGAGATTCGGGACAACGCAGCCAGGCGATGAAGCGAAGAATTCCAAAGCCAGGCGCCAATGCTGCTCCACCTCAGGAGCACAAGTGGGCACTTGGTTCATTAAATCCTTGTAGGCATACAGATCCAAGATAGCAATGTCACCATAGTAATTATAACTACGTCTCAGCCAACCTTCAAATTATATATATATATATATATTTTTTAAATGTGTTGGGAACAGTCCCAACAGGGTTCGAAATCAAGAAAATACAAATGCATGTTTCTTCCAACTTATGGTTTTGGTTGCAAACCACCAAACTTGCAAGCTGGGAACCATCTCAGCTGAAAGGGGCCCATCCTTTGGAACATGCAGAACAACATGGTCGGGGTCGTTCCGGATACGCTCGGCATTGGTCAAGAAGTAACCATTTAAGAAATCCTGGCACACAGGGTGCTACAATGGATAGACCGGGCAAAAAATCAGATCCAGATGTCTCCTGTGAAGATTCTCATCAAACGATGTATCTATCAAGATCAAATATATTTTAATAAATTCATCAGCATGTTGGCCAAATCCCTGGAATGTTTGAAGAAAGTTTCAGAACCCGACCCCCAGTTGAAGCCGTCCTCCATGAGAAGCCGTTGTGCTTTGCCAGCATCCATTGTCATCAGGCAAGCAAAGTGGTGGCAACAACCGTGGTGGAGCAAAGAAAAAAATGCTCTGGGAACTGGCTGGTGCATGATCGGCTGGCCAACCCAAAGATTTGTTTCGGTCTTGAAATGGGAGTTGTAAAAGCATAAGTAACATCAGTGGCTCATCTCATATACAGATATACGACATATTCAGATACCATACTGAACATACCATGAGAATCCATATATATAATATATTATATAGGAAAATGTTACTGCAAGTGAAATGCAACATTGAAATTCCTTGGGGGGTTCTTTCAAGGCGATTCTTTTCCCCTGTATATGTAAAGCTTCAAACATCCCTGGACACCCCTGATCAGCAAAGGGGGTAGCGCACCACCCCACTTCTTGAGAGGTCCCCACTTAGAGGAATCCGAAGTGTCCGATGATGGTCGGACACCAGCATGGCTTTGCTGAAGCCGTCGCTGGTTTTCGCGATGGCGTGCCACAGCACGTTTCATCCATCTAGCTAAGCTCAGGAAAAAACATCATAACACCGATCATATTGGAACCATGAGATCTTAATTATTATAATATATATATATGTATCTACTGCAAGGTTTGTCCCCTGACATGTGCTTTAGATGGACATTTGGTCCTGCATATTCATGAACCAAATTGCCTTTGGACTTATATAAACGTCAAAGCTGCTTGATCCAGCGTTCAGGCCACATTTCCGACAAAATGATCATGTTCCCAGCACATTTCCGACAAATGTTATCAAATTTGAAGGTTGATAGAGACGTAGTTATATTTTGATAACATTGCTATTTTGGATCTATTTGCCTACATGGATCCTCAGGGTATTATGGAACTATAATTGACCCCCTTCCTGGATTATGTTTGGATATAGACAATCTCTAAATCATAATTACTCACGAAAACAATATCATTTGCCAAACTGAATACTTGGGCAATTTAGGGGTTTCCGGGCAAACCAATGGTGAAGGGCTGGTGGTGGTCCCAATTGTAGGAACTCATTTTACCCAACAGGATGTAGTGATAATCCCCAGCCATTGGACAGGCTGTTCTGCCACGATTTTTGAGATGCTTCCTGGTCAGTGGACTATCTACCCTGGTGTGGCGGATCACCGCGAACAAGTCAAACCTTGTGGTGCCAGACCGAAGAAAACATCCAACCCGTCTGGTCAGTGTTGCAAAAAATGCAGAATCGGAACCTTCGGGAACGAAAAACCGCTTTGCTCCTTTTTCGCAAGCGATAAGGATGGACAATAAAAAGTTAGCTCAATCTGCAAAACAGTCTTCCAGAAACGATAGTACCTCTGTCTTGCATGGGATGACATGTTGGGGACAACCGTTGTCATACTCATTGATCTACAGTAGATCTGGGAATGCGGACCATGATTGATGCCATGTCTAAATTGATCGCAGTGCCACTGCGTGTGCTCAATGTTGTGCAACAGATAACAGTACCCACACTTTCTTGCCCTTGCTCCGCATATGGTGCTGGGACAAATCGAAACCTCAAAATGGATGTGCAAAGCAAGGTCAGAAACATTGCTTTTCTGCACCATCCTTGAGCCATACCTGCTTGTGCAGGGGTCAAGGTTGGGTAGTTCACCCAAAAACACAACCTTTATTTGTCCCCTATATTCAGCGTGCGATACATTTAACATCATTTAACTACGTACATTTTGGGGCATCTTTATGTATTTTTTGGGGGGAACGCGTGGGTCAATATTCCATTCATGCAACCATTGGGTATGATCAAAGCTTGCAGTCCAGGTGCCTCGTTTCGTGCGTAGCCGGCGTAGCCCAGACTCCTCAGTGTCAGCCCCCTGAACCATCCTGAACCTGGGACTTCCATCGACCACAAATCGTCCAGCTATTGGGTCATTATTTCACTATATCATGACCCTATAAGTTATAGAAAGCTATGGTCTATGGTGTTACTAGAAACCTATGCCCACAGGCTTCTAGAACCTAACTAACATAGAACAATATTAACAATGACAATTGGGTCTATTGTTTGACCCTCACCTCTTGTGTGGGACAGAAAACCCAGACAGAAGACTTGGACAAGAAGCAGCGAAGGGGCTTGGACATCCTCCTGTCATTACCAGCCGTGCGAATGTACAACACCACCATCTTTGTTGGTGAAATAGCCATGTTTATCCATTTATTGAAATTTATATATTGTAATTTGTTATTAAATGTTGATGATTTAGGAACTACACTTGGTGAAGTCGTTCACTAATTGCTTAAAACCTCCACGTCTTGTTGGTTAGTTCTTTAGTTCTGCTTACCGCCGTTTGAATATTTTCCACCCCAAAAAAAAACATCAAATCAGAGTCATCAGAGTTTACATGTGCAGTAGACCCAGAAATATCCGCTGTCAAAGTGAGCTATCCTGCAGGCTCCCTTGGTTTCCTACATCATCCAAGGTCAAACATATCAAATACCTTCCCAGAAACCATCGTTTACTAAGTTTACTATTGGATCTATTCATTCTGAAGCAAAAAAAAATGAATGGAACTTCTGAATTTATATTGACATATATTGACATATATCATCTATATCTCCCCATTTCAGGATACTTTACCCTCTGGTAATTTAACGTAACTATGGAAAGATCCACCATTTATAGTGAAATTTCCCATGAAAAATGGTGGATCTTTCCAGTTCGTTACGTTAAATTACCAGAGGGTAACCATGTTTTTCACCCCCAGTTTGATGGTGAAAACCCCTGGTCTTTTCCGGTTTTCCGACCCAGCAGCGCCTTGGCGCCCTGGGCCTCCGGACTGGCGTCGCGCCGATGGTGGCGAACTCGATAAGGATGGAGCCCTGGTTGGGATTCAAGCTGCCAAAGATCATCAATATAGCTATTATATATATATACTAACATATATTGATCTTTAGATGATACAACATAAATATTAATATGATTATATATATATAATATCATCAATAATTGATTCAATAATTATATTATATATATAACATACATATGTGTGGATATGTGTGAAAATGGTGAAAAAAAACACCATTTCAATTCGCCATTCACAACCAGAAACATTTACAGAAATGCAAGGATCAGCCAGTACAGCGGCAGGATATCAGCATCTTTCAAGCTAGGTCTTCTTCAAGACCAGCAGTGCATTGTTGAAATATGCTGAAATCAATTGTTGTTGGACCACTCATGATGCTTTAATCCAACTCAAACCAAACCTTTTGTGTCAAAACATATCCAGGGTTCATGGAAAAGTTACCTAACTTGTTTACAGCAAAATCCCAAAGTTTCACATCCATAATGTGGTTGGGAAACTCTTAGTTCCTTGCCTTTCCATGCAAAATTGGGAATATGGATATCCAATGATATCCATAACTCCTAACAGCTCAGTCCATTCACCATCAGATGGCACACTTGACTCCTATTTTTCCGAAAACAAAAAAAACTCCAGAGACATTTTCTTTTTTGCAAGGCAAGATCATGTTTTTTTGATGGTCAAAACCATGTTTCCACGTTTTTCATGGCAAAAACAATAATGTTCCCACGGTAGAGCGACCATTCTTCAGCTGAGCCACTGCAGATGGTGCAGCTGCGACCTTGGCTCAATTGTCCAACCGTAGATCTGGTGGTCCGGTGAAGCAAGTGGTTGGTGATTTTAAGTTCGAGTAGTAGAAATACGACCGGGTCTATATGCTCCACCGGCTCTATCCACCAAAACAAAGAAAGTTCTCGGTTTAACAAAGACAATATCGGTTTAACAGTAACATTTAACCAACCAACTTTGAGAATTTATCCCACAAATCAAGCGGTTGCTGGTCAGCCAGAATCATTACATAGGGACTGGAAGTAAACGACATAGACATACATGTTCGAAATCAGCAACACAATTTCTGCTGCTTCTTGAAATTTGGGTATCAAACAGAGCAAAGTGTAGATTTAAGGGCACTTCGGATGGCTCACATCTTGCATCTCCTGGTGATGGCACGTCACATGGCGTCAGATCTTGATCCCAGCCCCAGGGCGCTGTCTGCAGACCATCCGGAAAAGACTCAGCAGCAACAAAATAAACCACACCTGCCAGATTGGGTCCGTGTTAAAAACCAACCCCAGGATATAAATTCTCCACACCTTTGTATGTAGTTTCTATCGACCAATGTTTCTGTTCAATTTTATACTATGCCAACATGAAATCACATCATTTCTATGTATTCTACATTCAATAAATTTCCTCAATGTTTCTATATAATGAAAGTTTTTGCCAAACATGGTTCATATTGTCCTAGAGTCCTAGATCCATGGCTCCAGTACTTGAACTGGGCGCACGAACGCCATGGAGGTAAAATCCCTCGGTGCCTCCGTTCGAGGGCTAAACCTGCGCAGTTTCCAAGCAGTTTCCGACAATGTAGAGGCTTCCATTCTGATAATAGATGATACATTAGATATAATATGATTATGATATAATGGGATTAGGGATTAATCCTCATTAGATATAATATGATATATATATATGGGATATCACGGGATCTAATTTTGATATAATGGGATTTGAACGATCTTTAAATGGGGATTTTCCTCTTCCGGCTGGGCCATGTCGAAGCGCTCCAGCACTGGCCGACTTCATATAGCTTGATATGACCACTTACAATGTGAGGTCCCCAAGTTATTCTAGTTGGTTTGTACCTGACATACCAACAAACTCAAAGATCTATCTATAGTTCAATAAAACATGGTTGGCCAAAACTGGCCAACTTATTTTAACCAACTGACCTATTGTTGAGGGCCCCCCTTGCTACGTCTCACAATGCTACGACTTGAAACAGGGTGTGGAGGGAACTGACAACCCGTAAATGTGGCATGGAATCGGAACACATGCAAGTTGGTGCCCCATAACTTAGCTATGTTGGTTTATAACTGGTCTAAAAATCGGGTTTATGGATGTTTATGGTAAACATCACTGTAGGTAAATGGAATCGATGGACAAACCTACGGCTGGTGCTGTCAAAATTCATCACACATGAACGTCAGAGGCACGTGGATGAGAGCTGGTGAAAACTTGCTGCAATAAATCAATGCATCCTCCATTGGCAAACGTAGATCGTCTGAATAGTGACATATGGCGATGGGTCAAAACCGATTACTACCATATTTGGGGGAATAACCATCCATTAACCAACTATTTTAGGCTACCGAGGGTATCAGGGTTTTGACCCATCACCATATCCCATTATATTTTAAGTAAGTTATTAATTCTTAAATGGTCCCATCTAGTATCTTCAAAATTTCAGACAAACCCAAATAGCATGGACTTGTTAAAACACCTTCCATACTATCCCATAATCTACTATGTCATAATAAATAGAATAAAATATAACAATATAATATCATGAACATATACAATGCCATTGACAATTAGTATCATGGTTAACCTTTGGTAGTCCACAAACCAATAATACTTTGCTAGTTATGGCGATTTTGCAGTTACAGCAGAAAAAAACGGATTAAACTACCTATGAATACCTATGACATTATCCCATATACCATGAACTACACTTGCTATGATATTGTCCCATATGCCATATACCAATAAATGATACATTATCCCATATACCCTATTCATATGTAAAACCATATGTAAATAGGGATAATTAATATCAATATCATGGTATACCTATGATATGTATCTCATATACCATGGTATTCCCATATGCCATATCTCCCATGCTATCTCCAAAAAAAACCGAGAACCGGAGACTCGGTGCCTGGCCGAAGAAGGTGCCTCAGAGGGGTTGGTGCATTTGGTCAACACGTCATGGGAGAACTTTTTTCCATGGGAATAACATGGGGCATTACCCAACTTAGCCGCTTAGCCAACTTGAATCAACTTGATATGGATTTCTTTTATGAGACATTACCCAACTTTGCCAACTTGATATGATGTTTGGGTGTGACTGAAAATGGGACAAAATAGATTGATGTGCCCACAGTGTTCTGCTTGGTTGACTAGGCCATTCAATGCAACGGGGTACCTCATGATCAAAATTCAGAGCTCACAAGAATGGGAGTTGCATAACGTTACCAAAAAAAACCATGGACATGGGGTTCACCAACCCTTCACAAAAGATGCGAAGTTGCAAACAATTGGAACATTAATAGGTATGTAACCTATTACATTGTGGTTGGTGGTAGTTATAACTACATGCCTATTACATTACCAAGATAAAGTTATACCTGGTAATTGTAGTTAAAGTTATAACATTAACAGAATGGTGGCTACTATCAACATAGGCATGTCATAGGCATGTAACAGATCTGGAAAGTTTCCCATCAATCTAGCAGATCCATAGCTTGGGGACCCCTAGCAGTTTCGATTTTGTGTTCCTTTTGACTGGTAAGCATCGTCAAGGGTCTTCAACAAGTCGTTGCGATCATGATTTTCATCTAATTATAGCATGCAGTATCATATTTTATCTAAACACACTATATGTATATATATATATATATATATATATGGTACCCACATATATATATATATATGTATAAAGACACGAAAAAACACTGTGTATATATATATATACACATACATAGCATCAGTTTTTAGCCCATCTAGTGGCCCCGTCCCAAACCTGCGGTCCGTTGTTCAGCCTCTGGGCTTCCACGCCGTCAACGACGCCCGCGGCGTGCCGGTCGTCTGCCGCCGCCGGCCGCAGAGACGGCAGAACTTGGCGTCAGCCGTGAATTCGGCGCCGCACTCGCATCTGTCCTACAGTTGCCCTTAACAGTTGTGGCCACGGGGTTGTAGAGTTGTAGATTAAAACTCCTGCACCTGGCTGGTTATAATATATATATATATAATATTATTCATATATATATATATATTCTATCATATTATATCATGATATATTGTATTATGTTCTATCTTATTATATCATTTCATATTATACTATATTATATCAAACTGTATTATATTATATCGTATTATGTTATATACTATATTATATTATATCATATCATATTATATCATATTATATGTTATTGTATTTCATTATATCATATAATATGTGTTATACATTGTATAATGTGTATATATATATATATATTGTGAATATCATCATATATTATATGTACTATATCACTTAAATGGCGATTATAAACCAATTATAACTGTCAAGGGCTGTAGAAGGCCATGGTTAGTGCATAGCCCCCCCGGATTGACCCCAGAAAAACCAAACGGATGGGATCTAGAATCTGTGCCTCAATTCATGTATCCCATCGTGAATACCATTCTATTCCCATCAATCGTGTGGTTAATGGTGGTTAATGGTGGTTAATGGTGGTTAATGGATATATATCTGGTTGGTGGTATACCTACCCCTCTGAAAAATATGATAGTCAAATGGGGGCATTATTCCCAATATCTGGAAAAAAAAGGTTCCAAACCACCAACCAGCTTAGTAATAATCATAATAGATTCAGATAATAATTCAGATACCCCTAAGCTAATAATCTCATAATAGATCCCTCAATCATCATAAAAGATTCAGATAATATCACAGCTATGGCAATATACAGTCTTTTGGTGGATATTTGGCTACCCCTGAGACTACCAAAAAAAATAGGCACCAGAAAATAGATCTCCACATCCATTGAGTTTCAATCTCATTTCAGTCCTCAGGCGCGTCGTGGCCTGGCGGTGTGTACTAACCATGAATCTCTGCAATGGGATGTGTTAGATATGGTGGAATAAGGTGTACATGTACATATATATATAATTATATATATATATGTAGTACGTATATATACATTATCTATGTACATCTAATGTGTATTCATGTTTATGTAAACTATCCCAGAAATATGAACGGATCATGTTTTCAGATAGGATGACAATCCAGACATACTTAGAAAGCACCAAATAGTATTGAACGCCTGGCTCGGCTTTGGATTAACATTAGATCACGCCAAAGTTGCCAGATCGTTGGCCAACTTGGTTGAGTTCACTGGGGTAAGTTATGGAATTTGGTAATTATATAATGGTGATTAAAATTATTGTTTGAAGGAAATAAACTTAAACAACGAAACTTATAACTAGGGGGCACCACCTTGTACTAAACACGTAATTACTGTACCTTCAACTTGATCCGATTCCGAGATTGTACTAGTAAAGATTCCCCAACATCGATGTCGTAGCACCAAGAGAGTATCACCTGCTTCGAGTACCACCCATACCATCGGAGAATGCATAAAGCTGCATTGCCATGGATTAATTTGCATTACTGTTGCTTTCAACAAACATGTTCCTTCTCCCCATCACATCAATGCGGGTCAATCCCTATGATTGCTGGTCACACAATCGTTGATTGGTGACAAGGTAAGTGGTCAAACTACATGGTATATCGGGTATGGTGATCTATCCTATACTGGGAATCCTTACAATGGGTAAATGAATCCTTATTGATGAGGTGATAACCAGCCCCTTCCAGGGGAAACAATCCGTGTTTTGACTATCGCACATATGATTGATAGGTCAGTAATCTATATCTCCGCTATCTTAGTTACTGAGCGCAAAAAACACTGCTAGTGCTTCGCTGGGCCTCACATATTCCCACATGTATTTCAAACACATGACTTGTTTTCACCAAACAAACACCAGTCACTTTACTCAGCTATCGCCAACAATGTATAATAATCCTCTACTGGCTTGCGGTCTCAGACTGCTTCATGTTTATTGGTCAACCGCCATGGCTGGTAACATCACCAGCTCTCATGGAAATCAAGGGTTTTCCCCACAGGTATCTACCTCCCAATCATTTTGTTTTTTTCATGTACCCTCTGGTAATTTACCGTAGCTATTGAAAATGGCCATTTATAGTTGATTTAGCCATTTAAAATTGTGTTGTTTTATAGTTATGCTAGTTTACCAGAGGGTTTATAGCACAGATTTGGGAGTTGGAAGAACTCAAATCTGAGATTAGTTGGATGACCCGAACATTTCTTGGTGAACTTTTTTTCATCCCTGCACTTCTCGCCACGCTCCTTCTGGTGATCCCCAGAGTCTCTGGCGGGGTAGATCAGGGTTTAAGACTCGGGAGGTTTCGGGTCATGAACCCGACTTCAAACATGATTGAGCCAAACAAATGCGAAAAAGTGAGTTTTAGGATTCTTTGATTGGAGTAAATGACTCATTTCTGTAATAGCTATTTCATGATTTACCCAATAAATGGTTTGCCAAAGCCCATGGGTTCCTTGCATGTCCACTGCTCGGCCTGGCATCAAAGAACTGAACTGCTGCTGCAGCCTCCAACGCTGCAATTCTGGTGGAATGTGTTGGGACCAAATGTGGGGTGAAAAACGCCCTACACTTAAAACCCTTTACGAATGAATTCTAAATGGTTCTCAAATGGGGTCATACATTCCATAAGTGGTTGGTGGATGTTGGTGGTATACCTACCCCTCTGAAAAATATGAAAGTCAGTTGGGATGGATTATTCCCAATATATGGAAAATTAATGTTCCAAACCACCAACCAGATAAAGTTATCATTGAATTAAAACTAGTAAATGCGGTAAATGGCCAGAACTGTAAATCTAAGATGGAACCCAAAAAACATGTGTTTGGTGTATACAGTATACATATCAAATTTAGGGGTATTAGATATTGGGGCATTGGCAGGTTTCTGACCTGTCGCGGGGATGGGTTTCTTTTTGTTCCAACGTCTGATTTCACATGGCAAATCGCCAATGTCAACAGCATTACGGGTGGCTTTGCTGGCCACCCTTCGGTTTGGGGGGCATCGATTTTTGGGAGCCTCATTGGTGTTTTTGGTGACCCTTCAGTTAATGTTGTCAGTTAATGAGGGTTAATGAGGGTTAATGAGGGCTATTTTTGACAAAGACAACATTGCACCCTCACTGAAGGGTCACCGAACCTTCGAGTTCTCATGTCTGTCTTTGTGTTACAAATTGGAGCACCCGTTGATCAGCCAGTTTATAATCTGTAGATACATCCACCATGAAACAATACCTACCCTCTGGTAAACATCCAAAAAGCTATTGAACATGGCCCAGTCGAAATAGTGGATTTGCCCATTAAACAACGGTGATTTTCCAGTTCGCAAACTGTAAAGGTTTACCAGGCCGGGTTGTCCCCACCGGTCGATGGCTCGCATCTGAGGCATCAAATAGTCGGAACCTCGCGGGCGCGAAACGCAACGCGTGGTTGGTCCACCAAATCTCTACGGAAAGCGACTCTTAAAATGCTAGGACAACAATAAGTCAAAGAATCCGGTCATTTTGTTTACAATACTTTGGCAAACAAAAAAACATACAAATATATACATGGATAACTATATATGTAATAGATATGTAGCAATATGTGCACCAAATATGTGTGTTGTATTGTTTTGTACAATATACAGTGGTATTCACTATTTAAAGATACTATAACCTGCATTTAAAGATACATGATCTTCAAAGGATCGGCCAAGTTTGCTGCAAAGTTGTAACGGATTGAGGGCGTGCACCAATTCTAGGAATCTTGGGCCGGGCCTCTGTCATGTTTGGTATCACTTGGGGCCTCAAGCCTCCAAAATAAGCTCTGGTCCTCCATCCCTGAACATCCGAAAAAAAGGTGGGGGTCATCAATTCCCCAGTGACCGTCCCCCAGGGGTATCCAACTTTTAGGACCTAAACAAAAACCATAGCACACCGTAGATCTGTGAGCTGAAGCTTTAGTCAGAAAGGGGTCCAACCATCGAAGGCTGACTTGACCAATGAGTTTCCGGTGACATTGTCTAGCCAGTTTGTTTCGTTGATGTGTTCTCTACCATTTCACGACGATTCAGAGTTTAAAGCCCATTGACGTGATACATATTTGGAGAGCATTTCAAACCCGTGAACGAAAAAACTCCTGGATCTTTGGACACATCTCAACACGAAGAACGACCAAAAACCATACAAATAAATATGTATATATTACATTGTATATACTCAAAGTTAAATACTGAATGTAACCTACTATATACGACCGTAGTATCGATTCTGATTATCCGAATATATATCCTCATCATGTAATTGGTCTTTGCTGATGCTATCCCACCGCTGTGCCACCGCACGGTCAACACCCAGCTGCTTCTCCTGGCGTTGATACACTGATGGGTTCTACCGGTCTACCGTTCTACCCTTCAAAATACCTCTACTCTGCAATAACTGGTTGGTGGTTGACCTACCCCTCTGAAAAATATGACAACTCGTCAGTTGGGATCATGACATTCCCAATATATTATGGAAAGTCATAATCCAGCCATGTTCCAAACCACCAACCAGTGTTTGTTGGTTTATAAACCATTATAATCCCCATTAATTATAGTTCTATCTACCATATAAACCATAGTTAATCAATGGTTCCAAACCACAAACCAGATAATGTGTACAATATAACTGGGGTTCCAAACCGCTACCATTTCACTAGCTTTAACTTGTGTAGTTGACTCCCAAAAAAAAACAGCGAGAAGGTGTGACAAAACCAGAATAAAAAAGCCCAAATGTCGTATCAAAAGGTGTTTGGAACCGTAGCGATACTGGCAGTTTAACATCTTCAGAAAACTCAACTGGACAATGAATGACACCAAAGTCACACGAGAAAGTAGGAGTAGTTTAGGATCCTTACGGTAGAACCCTGATTTCATTGAAGATTCCTCAAATCATCCCATAGTGGAACGTGAAACGAAAAAACACTTCGACAGTCAAAGATGCAAATACAGGGATGGATAGTCAACAGTTTGAATGGACATTATTTATCACATGATCAATCCAAAATTAAGAAGCCCGTATTTGCTCGTATTTGCTTATCATCCAAGTGCCGCTCTTTTTTTCTCGGCATTTCATGAAAACAAAACTTCTTCCTGACAAGCCTGACAACCGATTCTAGGATTTTGAGGGCTTTGGGGATTAAATATATATGGGTCTGTCTGAAAATGGTGTATACCCCCCAAAAAGGTACTTTTAATAGGGGAAATGATGATTAAGCAATGGATTTAGAGGTACCATATTTTCAGACAAATCCATATTTTTGTGATGGTTCGTGACAACTTTGCAATTTTGTTCAGAGACATAAACTAAGGTTTTCCAGTATCCAAGAGACTATACGTGAATATTATCTGAATTATCTGGGATAAAACATGCGCATCTTGAGGGATACCCGTTGGTAATCACAAATTGCACTAAACCAATGAACAATGGCACTGACCAATGAACAATGGCACTGAACATCAGCACGCTAGATTCCAACAACATACTTCGGAGAAGAGATGAGAGCAGTAACATTCCACTATCTTCCTGTTGAAATTCATGTCTATAGACCTACATACCCTCTGGTGAACTAACATTTTGCTATGGAAAGGTCCACCATTTTTAATGGGAAAATCCACTATTTCTATGGCCATTTTCAATAGCAAATTGTTAGTTCACCAGAGGGTAACCGACTACAAGATTCATTCCCAGCCAGCTATGACTTCGATAGAAACGAACCCATTCAGCAGCCGTCTTCCATGGCTTTCGTCCTCAGTGTAGGCTTTCAGCTTGCTGCGATTCGCCTCATGTCACCAGGCTACAGCTTAGTCGATACGGTCTCCTCTGGCTGCCTGGTATAGTAAGTGGTTGAAAAGGGCAAATTCTCATTAAGAAGTGATCATCCAAAATCGATTGGAACATATTGGAATCAAGTCAGGAGTAGACCCCTATGAAACATGATGAAAGATGGCTAATTTCAGATATACCAGAAGACCCTGGTTTCAATTTTGGTTGGTCAATCCAGATTCCAAGTTCAAACATGCCCTACAGATCCCTACAGTAAGTATCCCTAAGTTTTGAAAACCAAGGTCAGGCCAGCTTTACCCAATTACAATGGATTCTCACACGTCTTTTCTCATTCAATGGCCATTTCAGGGTGCCCCGTTCCCCCTGCCCCTTGCCTCGCAAACAGCTTTCGCGGCCTTTTTTATGCCAGACATGGCCAGACATGGCCAGAGACATGACGACTGTCTGGTGGTTGACCTACCCCAATGGTGGTTAATGGTGGTTAATGGTGGTTAATGGTGGTTAATGGATATATATATATCTGGTTGGTGGGGGCCACCTACCCCTCTGAAACATGATGGAGTGAAAGTCAGTCGGGATCATGACATTCCCAATAAATATGGAAAACTAATCCAGCCATGTTCCAAACCACCAAGCAGTTGTCTACTAATTTGCAATGATGAAAAACTGCCTGTTCTAATCTTTTCTACCTTTTTGGGGTTGCAATAACTCCAAATTTGTTCTGGAAATCGGCACAGGGGCCAACAAAATAGGAAGGGTTTGTAGTGCCTTCTCGTTGGTGAAGTTGCGCTGATTTGGGATCCCCATGTTGGTTGCCCATCTGTTTGTGGAAATGTTGAGTCTATGCTGTTTATCTTTGTGACAAAAGCAATGCTTTTAGGGTTCAAGGCTAATCTTATCTAATCTTGATTGATAAACTACTGAATTTCAATCGTTAAGTTCCCCACTTTGGTCCAGATTTCACCCTTCAACTACAGTACTCCCATCTTAGTAGAATCAACAAATTTTGTCTAACAAATATTTCCTAAGATAAGGGTATGCCATTTCAGCATTTCCAAAAAATGATCTTCAATATATATATATATATAAACAGTATATACAAATATGTATGTATATATCATAGTTGTATAGCATTTGTATTAACTCCCCGTTTTTGCTGCTACTTCCCCATTGGGAAAACACCATTTTTGTTGCACCTGCAACACCTGCAGCATCCGCGGAGCAAGCCTCAGAAATCCGCGGATCAAGCCGGCACGGGTGGCGTGTACCGGCAACACATCACCCATAGATATGGAAAATCCACAAAATTCCACAAACAAATCCTGGAAAATCAGGAAAATCCCCAAACAATCCTGGAAAATCCATGAAAAATCCGCGAAAATCATAAAACATCCACAAACAAATCCAACATGTGTAGATCAATGTAGATCACTTTACTGGGGATTTTTTTTTATTGATATACCATGATATACCATGATATATCCATATCTAAGTCAGAATACTGGAGGGTAAAATCCATGGAAAAGATTGAAAGGTGGGTTGAAAGGTCCAGAGCTGGTTTTTGCCAACCAAAGTTGCCATGCGACCAAGCCAAATCCGTCAGTCGCAGAGTCTTAAAGTGACAAACATTGGGTGTGTCTGTAGCCATTCTAATCGGGAACATGATTGTCAACCACGGAATGTAGGGTTTTCATTGCAATATCAGGACTTATTGGCAACCATGGATGAGAAGCACCCCAGTCCTCCAACATGATCTGCCTGCCCCCAAATTTCAGCCGAAATCTCAAGTGAGCTGGGCCTAGCTATGGAGTCAACAAGAAGAGGTGGCTCAACAATCATATGATTGTTACATAACTCAACAAATTTCCCACAAAAAACATCCCATTTGGATTCCATTTGGATGTACAAAAAGAAAGAAAAGAGTAGAAAACAACATGGAGATACTGGCTGATCATCCCATTTGGAGCAGGAATCCCTACTGGGATCAGCTGGTGTTGAGGATATCTGTATGGCTGCTTTCTCATTGATGAGCACATGGTACTGAAAACTAATGATGGAAAAAACAAAATGGAATGGGAACCGGAATCAATGTCGATCCAGTTTGGTTGGTTTGTTTTGTGCTGCGACACACTGCAAATGTTCCAATAGCAACTGCAGAGTTGCAAAGCAAATCAAGCAGTGCTCAAGAAAATTGATCCGCCAGAAATACTGCGAAGAGAGCACAGCAAAGTAACTTGGTCCAAGCTTTGGTTGAAGCCATCGCCAAATGTCAAGCTTTGTAGACTGCTTGGGAAATTCGCTCTATCCAAGCTTTGGTTGAATCTATGGCCAAAGGTCAAACTTTGCAGACTGCTTGGAAAAGTCACTTGATCCAAGCTTTGGTTAAAGTCATTGCCAAAGTTCAAGCTTTGCAGACTGCTTGGGAAATTCACTCTATCCAAGCTTTGGTTGAATCTATGGCCCAAGGTCAAACTTTGCAGACTGCTTGGAAAAGTCACTTGATCTAAGCTTTGGTTGAAAGCACAGCCAAATTTCAAGCTTTGCAGACTCCTTGGGAGTGTCACTCCATCCAAGCTTTGGTTGAAATGAACGCAAAAGGTCAAGCTTTGCAGACTGCTTGGGAAAGTCACTCCGTCCAAGCTTTGCTTGAAGTCATCGCCAAATTTCAAGCTTTGCAGACTGCTTGGGAGTGTCACTCGATCCAATCTTTGGTTGAAGTCAAGGCCGAAGGTCAAGCTTTGCAGACTGCTTGGGAAAGTCACTCGATCCAAGCTTTGGTTGAATCTATTTCTAAAGGTCAAACTTTGTAGACTGCTTGGAAAAGTCACTCTGTCCAAGCTTTGGTTGAAGTCAACGCCAAAGGTCAAGCTTTTAAGGCTGCTTGGAAACGTCACCCTGTCCAAGCTTTGGTGAAATCCATCGCCAAATTTCAAGTTTTGTAGATTGCTTGCAAAAGTCACCCTGTCCAAGCTTTGGTTGAAGTCAACGCCAAAGGTCAAGCTTTGTAGACTGCTTGGAAAAGTCACTCGGTCCAAACTCTGATTGAACTCATGCCCAAAGAACAAGCTTTGCAGACTGCTTGGAAAAGTCACTTGGTCCAAGCTTTGGTTGAATGTATGGCCAAAGGTCAAACTTTGTAGACTGCTTGGGAAAGTCACTCTGTCCAAGCTTTGGTTGAATAGATTGCCAAAGTTCAAGCTTTGCAGACTGCTTGGGAAAATCACTCTATCCAAGCTTTGGTTGAACGCAAAGACAAATTTCAAGCTTTGCAGACTGCTTGGGAGAGTCACTCGATCCAAACTCTGGTTGAATCTCTGGCCAAAGGTCAAACTTTGTAGACTGCTTGGGAACGTCACTCTGTCCAAGCTTTGGTTGAATAGATTGCCAAAGTTCAAGCTTTGCAGACTGCTTGGGAAATTCACTCTATCCAAGCTTTGGTTGAATCTATGGCCAAAGGTCAAACTTTGCAGACTGCTTGGAAAAGTCACTTGGTCCAAACTCTGATTGAACTGATGCCCCAAATACAAGCTTTGCAGACTGCTTGGAAACGTCACTTGGTCCAAACTCTGATTGAACTCATGCCCAAAGTTCAAGCTTTGCAGACTGCTTGGGAAAGTCACTTGATACAAGCTTTGGTTGAAGTCAACGCCAAAGGTCAAGCTTTGCAGACTGCTTGGGAAAGTCACTCGATCCAAGCTTTGGTTGAATCTATGTCTAAAGGTCAAACTTTGTAGACTGCTTGGAAAAGTCACTCTGTCCAAGCTTTGGTTGAAGTCAACGCCAAAGGTCAAGCTTTGTAGACTGCTTGGAAAAGTCACTTGATCCAAGCTTGGGTTGAAGTCATCCCCAAATGTCAAAATGTCAAGGCTTTCGGGGAGGCGGCACAAGCTTTCAGTGGTAATAGTGCCTACTATCTGCGTCACTCCTTCGAGTGCAAACTCTTCCTCGGAGATTGGGAACCCTTTGACATAGCTCCATGCAGCACACAAACTCGTTGGAACATACGTGCAGCTCAATGTCGCAGCCTTTCCTGCAATTTCCTGTTCTTGCAATGTTTTATGGAGGAGCAGTGGTGAAGCAAGGTGGTGGAGCACAAGTCTTGACCCTCTCTTTGACGGCAGCTGCTGGGAAACTAAGCGGTGCACTTCGCGTCCAAGGGTGGAATCATCGAGGCTCAGCATGCAACCTTCACCATTCAGACATCTCATGTGAAGCTCAATCTGCTCAGACCCACCAGCTGGTAGCACATAGCCAGACATAGCCATAGATAGCCTCTTTGGGCTTTGGGATTACTGCCACTGCGGAGCTGTGACCCCAGGAGCTACAGGGCTGCAAGGGTGAAAATCCTAGCAGCGCAACGCTGCCACATGACCACATCATGCCACATCCAGGGGTCCCGTGTTCTGATTTCGATCACGGATTCAAAGATGAGTTTCCACAACAAATGGAAAAAATCAGAATTTCAGGGTCTCTGTTTGTTTTTCCAAATCGATCTATATCTTCATCTATGATAAGGTGATATTTTCAATGGATGACCATATCATATCTCTGGATCAATTTGGAGTCATGTTTAATTGGTTGGTGGTGTACCTACCCCTCTGAAAAATGATGGGCTTCGTCAGTTGGGATGATGATTATTCCATTCCCAACTGAATGGAAAGTCAAAATCCAGCCATGTTCCAGTCACCACCAACCAGTGTATAGATCTATTAAGTCCATATTAAGATATATTAAGTGCCAATAACCCAAGTATTAAGTCCCATATTAAGTCCTGTTCCAGTCACCACCAACCAGATATTATATCATATTCCCATCAAGTTGTTGGTTTATAGCCTATGAAAACCACTATTAACCACTATTAACTATCACTGTTTGGTTGGTCTTTTTTTATGAGTCATCTAGTCATCTATGATCAGGTCATCCATATCTCCACATCTCGGTTGCTCTTCACCCAGGTCACCCAGGTCACCCCTGCCCTGCTGTGGCGTCCGCCAGCGCAGCTTGGGGCGCCTCAACCTGAGACAATGCTGGCGAAAAAAACAACGATTTGCAATGGATACTTCAAATGGATTAAACATGATTAAACCCATTGGTCAATTGGTCAATCATGAATATATATATATGTAATGTTTCTGTTGTTTATAAAGGCTTGTGGTCAATACCTTAGTGGTTATGTGTTTCTGCTGTACAGTATCATAAGGGTTGCTAAACAATGGCTAATGGTGGTTTCTCACGTCGTGAGGCCCCACGAATTCATCCCCGCAATTGGTCGTAGGCCCCTAGGGGAAACCACTGGTCAGTGGTTGGTACCCCATCTTAAGACACGTCAAAATATACCAACAAACACCCCAAATGGCGCTTAAACCCTAAAGTGAAGAGAACAATAAGTCGGACCTAAGTGGGATTGGTTTACAAAAAGACCAACCATACCAGAGACTTCATCATTGGAATCAATTTAGATATTGTTTAGCGTTTGCCATGCAGATTTTGCAGATTTTCGGAGTATAGCAACCACCCAAAAAGATGAAACACACCTAAGATGCCACTCAAAAGAACTGGGGTAATACACATATATATATACACATACATACATACATATAGATATATACACATAGACATACGTATGTAATATTTCTATATATATATATATATATAAGTAATATGTCTATTAATATGACCATGTCTGAATCGATTCTCCTGGGGGTGAAAGACCCCCCAGTGACTCCTCCAGGTGATGGTCAAGCATCCCACTACATCCCACATCCCCATTGTTCCTGATTTCATACCAAAATCATATATACCAACAATTTTGTTGCTTTATAAATCACAAGGAGTATCCCGTTGTCCCCATGATATTCCGAAAAAAAAACGCAGGATTTCTTCTTGATGAAATCCCATGGTGAAATCACCATTTTTGTCGCCCTTATAATATATATATATATACATATCAATATTCATATTTACATACATATATATATATATATGTAAATATATACATATATCTACATATATACATATATATATGTATGTATACATATATATATATATACATACATATATAAATATATATATATATATGTATATGTATATGTATATATATATACATATATATAAATATATACATATATATAAATATATACATATATATATATATACATATGTATATATATATATATACATATATGGAGATGTCCTAAAATGGGGGTAACCCAATCATTCATCCATTTTTCATAGGATTGTCCACTATAAACCAACCAGCTCTTGGGGCACCCATGGGTACCAGGAAAACCCGCTCCAAAGGCTCACCTGCCCTGCCAGCTCTTTATGCAGCACCAGCAAACGCAGCACCGCCTCCTGGTGCAAAGCGAAAGTACGGACGTGCGAAAAATGGGACATTCATGGGATGAATATGGACAAGTAGCTGGTTGATCTGGTTGGTGGTTGAGCCAGCCCTGTGAAAAAATATTATATATATAGTCAGTTGGGACTATTATTCCCAATATATGGAAAAATAATCCAAATGTTCCAAACCACCAACCAGGTAGTATCAATGTTCATGGAGATATTCATGGAACTGATTTCTCAGAATTTCATGAGAATAATGTAAAATAATGATATTCGATATTATGCGGAGGAGTACAGTCAGGGGTTCTAGCTACCAGGATTGAATCATGGACATCAATAATGATGGTTGATGTAGTAAGCCCAACACAATGAACCTACAGCTTTACAGTTTGGGGATGGTTTTGATCCCTCGGGTGAAATTGGGGTGCATTGGTTTTACCATTTGTACTTTTCTTTCATGTCAAATATAGTTATATGTGTATATATATATAGAGAGAGAGAGACCGGTGAAACTGAACCAACTAAAATAACTGTGTGGCCTACATTGCCATAGATCTTAGTTGTTCCTCTAATTTACCCTTTAGAAACTAATACCCTTTAGAAACCAAGGAAGCTATGGAGAAAACATTATGGAGGAAACACTCTTTCACCAAGGTTTACCCCATGGATGTGTCATCAAGAACTGTGGATCAAGAGCTTGGGAAGCTTTACGAGAACATGGAAACCCTGTCTTATACATTGACTGTGTATTTTTCCCGAATGCGTAGCAAGGGTTCCCGTTTCACTGGGGTCTGGGGGCTGAGGGTGTGTTCGCTCGACGTCGCGTTTACGTTCGCAACCGTTCGCAACCGTTCGCAACCGTCCGCGCGATTGCTATATGGCCGTGCCTATGTTAAGCTTTACAGCGGGGGGTCCTTTTTGGAGGTTTCAAACGTCTCGTTGCTTCGTTTCGCATGGCAGGCGTGGCAGTTCGTGACATTCAGACGTGTTTTGTAACGTGTTGAAAGTCGTTTTGTGTCGCAGGCGCAATACTCTAGCGACGTTTTCAGAAGATGCGTTGCAGTTTTCGTGGCAGGCGCAGCACTTTGGACGTGTCCATCGTCATTTTTCGTGGCAGGCGCAGCACTTTAGACGTGTCGTGTTGCGTGCTTTTGCGAATCGCATTGGCAGGGCCGCGTCAAGTGGCGACAAGGTGCAGGTTCCGTGGTAAGCGTAGCGTGGCATTTTGTGAGATGTGCTGAAAATTGACGGAAGCCTCGCACGAAACGTCGATTTTGAAATAGCAAATTTTCAGGTTCCTAAGAAAACTCGCAGGAAAACTTCGATTTTGAGGCTACATAAGTGTCAAAGTTGGAGGAAGTCTCGCACGAAATGCTCGTTTTTCTGCGCCCACCTGACTGGTCTCGAGTCTCTGGTTTTCCTGTGGCGTCGCCGTGTCTATGGGGGAAGCTGCAAAACCTCTCCTTCCAAGGTTTCCGAGCAGGTTGTCATGTCATTTTGCGTGGCAGGCATGGCACTTTGTGACATTCCAACCTGTTTTATACCCTGTCGAAAGTTCTTTTGTGTGGCTGGCACAACAATGCACTCTACACTTTACACTCTACACTCTACACTTTAAACTCCACACTCTACACTCCACACTCTACACTCTACACTCCACACTCCACGCTCTACACTCCACACTCCACCGCACTCTACACTCCACACTTTACACTCCACACTCCTCACTCCACACTTTACACTCCACACTCCTCACTCCACACTTTACACTCCACACTCCTCACTTTACACTCCACACTCCGCACTCCACACTCTACACTTTACACTCCACACGCCACACTCCACAATTTACACTTTAGACTCCTCACTCCGCACTCTACACTTTACACTCCACACTTTACACTCTGCACTGTACACTCCTCACTCCACACTTTACAATCCACACTCCACACTTTACACTCCACACTCTACACTTTACACTCCACACGCCACACTCCACAATTCACACTTTAGACTCCTCACTCCACACTCTACACTTTACACTCCACACTTTACACTCTGCACTGTACACTCCTCACTCCACACTTTACAATCCACACTCCACACTTTACACTCCACACTCTACACTTTACACTTTAAACTCTACACTCCACACTTCACATATTGCACTCCACACTTTACACTTTACACTGCTCACTTTACACTCCACACTCTACACTTTACACTCCACACTCTACACTTTACACTCTACACTTTACACTCTACACTCCACACTCCACACTCTACACTTTACACTCCATACTCCACAGTTCACACTTTACACTCTACACTTTACACACTCCACACTCCTCACCCCACACTCCACACACTACACTCCACACTCCACACTTTACACTCCACACTTTACATTCCACACTCCTTACATTACACTCCGCACTCCACACTCCAAACTCTACACTTTCCACTTCACACTCCACACTCTACACTTTACACTCCGCACTCTACACTTTACACTCTACACTTTACACTCTACACTCCACACTCTACACTTTACACACTGTACACTCCACACTTTACATTTTACACTCCACACTTTACAGTTTACACTCCTCACTCCACACTCCACACTTTACACTTTACACTCCACACTCTACACTTTACACTCCACACTGCAGACTGGTAACAGAGGAAATATGTACAAGACTGTTCCAATAAACTACTGCAGAAAAGTGTTCTGCGTGACTTCATATCCATGTGTTTGGACATCTGTACCATCAACATATGGTGAGCATTCGGGTTCGTGGGCGGCATCTTGTTTTTCTGATTAGTGCCTTCCATTCATCCAATTCTATGACTACGGATACAAAAAGAGAAACGATTGACCAAAGGGACCACATATTGAGCAGACAATCTTGAGAGATTGACACAAACCAAAGGCAACAACAACAACAACACCACCAACAACAACAGAGACAACAGAGACAACAGAGACAACAGAGATGAAATGAGAATCAGTGTGTGCGGCCTGGCTTCCAGGACATATATGATGTTCATGTTCAGCGTAGGAGAAAAAGAAGACCAAACAATGACAGGAGACAAGGCAATCCTGGATCCCAGCAGCAACAGCCACTGTCAAAACGCAAGTATGAATGTGAATGGCAAGCTTCACTTCTCCCTTGTCACCGAGAAGGCAGATGATCGCAACGTCTCGCGAATGCGGAAAGTGCTCCCAGTCGGGAAGGCCAGACAGCCACATTTGCTGCGGGATGATCGGAGTCCTGAGATTCAGTGATGGAAAGCTACCTTGTGAATGGCAAGCTTCGTTTCTCGCTTGTCCCCCAGCAGATGACCGCGACCTTCTTCTCGAGACGTTGAAACTCCGGAAGGCCGCTCAGGACGACTCCCGGCATGATCGAATGTCTACAGGAGCACTGCAGTTTCCAAATCCGTTGTGGAGTGGTTCCATTGGTGTCCAGAACCCACGGTTTCCTGCAACATTTTCATGAACTCAACTCAGTGACAGGTGCAAGAATCCACTGCTTAGCAGGGAGTTGGAAAATCATCCAACTGTTCAGTGGCACCGGTTCATGTCTCTAAACACCCACCACAGGAACCTCCATTTCAACTAATTCATATAAATCATCCAGAATCATCCAATATCATTAATCTTTCTGCTTAAAACCATGTTTTTCACATCCCCATGGTTTCTGCCAGCAAAATCTCCTCCATCTGAGCCACTGAGCCGCTCAACCCGAAATTGCTTCCTGGGATTTCCGGCTTTCTTTCCGGCGATGGTGAAAGCCCCATGGTTAGGCCATAAAAAAACTGAGAAAAATGCGGGACAATTGGATCTGAGCTGAGACATGTTTTTTCGAAGCTCTGGATGTTACGGGGATTCCCGTTCTCTGTGGAAAATCGCACATTTCTACGAGTGAAAAAGGGCGCGATAGCACGGACAATCTGATCCCGCTTAAAGAATTGTTTCATTGAAGCTGGGAACTCAAAAGTCTCTTTTCCCATAGGAATGGGGAAAGAAGTAAACCGTTAACTTCCACAACCAAGGCCCAGAACTTTTGGAACATGGGAGGTAAAGAATCATCCCGCAATGGGACAGCACCATTTCTGTATGGAAGACCAATGGACCCACAAAGGGCCGATTCTATGAGAAAAGGTGTCTGAAGCGAATAGGAACAGGTGGATCCGAAGTACACCTTGTTCTCACCTACCAGCAACTACGAATGCAAAACTCCTGCGCCGAGCAGCTAAGTTGCTTGAAATCACTATATATAGGTTTCCTTTGGTTTATAGTGGAACATCGTGGATATGTCTACCGATGGGTGAAACCACCTAAACATTTCACCTGTAGCAGGGCCCTGCCATCTTCATCCATGGGGATATTTATGTCAAACCAACTCACCCAGAAAATGGACGTCCACAGCGATTGAATGGTAACAAATTTGGGGGTTTCCGAAAATGGTTGTGTATCCCCAAATCATCCAGTCATTAGACCATTTTAGTACTGAAACAACCAACCGGTGACGACTGGGGATCCCCCAAGACTTTTCAAATAGCTCCAAAAATATGGTCATGAAAGCTCAACGCACTCCAAACGTGAACCCCATTGATACAATCCTAACATTTCGCAAAATGAAAGAAACATGGGAACTGATTGAGAATTGGATTTCTCAATAACCCAGCACAAGCAAGTCAAAACAAACACCAAACTGGGCTGGCGAGGGACCGATCATCCGATCTGGCAGATTCTTTGGTACTTTTTGATGTATTGAAATACACGTATTTAACATCATTGAACCATCAATGGCGGTGAAAACAAAAAGCAATATTAGCAATATGTCTATTTTCGTCAGAAGCCTGGGACCCAAATGGTACCCTAAGTCATCGCTGGTATGGCTGGATATTGGTTCCCCCAGTCATATGGTAAGTTCTTTGGCATTGACCGTTTTAAACCATCCCCATATCATACAAGATCCAGATTCCAGCCGCATCTTGCAGGACAGCACTGAGCACCTTGCGGACGAGCGAGGGGGAGCTCCATGTGTAGGGACTCAACAGCTAAGAATCCTGGATATCAAACTTAGATCCTTGAAATTGCATGAAACGATGTGTTTCTTTTTTTCTGGAAACCATGGAGGATTTGAATCCCAGAAAAAAAAAGGATGTTCATGATGTTTCTTCTCTTGTTTCTCTTATTATATATAGGCTTTCAACAAAGATGTACCGTGCAAACATGGATGTCAACACGAAGCTGTAAATCTGTGCGATTGTGTTACCATTGTTAGCAGTCTTATTACCATATCATTGTCATTCATATATGTATATATATATGGGAAACCAAAGGTGATCGATAAAAAAACAAACTTGTCATCCGTGGTGTTCATAGGGTCATTTGTCTTGTGGCTTTTCCCCACATGCATCGAGTTGGCTACGAGCTTCAGCCAGCAGCACCGTGCATATCCCCAAATGGCCATTAATATTAGGGTAAATATAGTCAAAAACTATGATTAATATCCCCAATATAAGGACAATCCCCAATTGATCAATTGTGTATTAATCACCAAATATAGGGAAAATCCCCAATTGATCAATTGTGTATTAATCACCAAATATAGGGAAAATCATGATGGATTTCGCTGGTTTTCCCTCCAATTTTTCCGCCGCTTCGCCAGGCGTGAACATGTCCAGGCCCATCCAGGCCCCCGGACAGCATTGGCCTTTCTGCCCTGCGCGGGTAGAGCGTTTGATCCCACCGATGTTAAAGATGTCGTATTAGGGGGTTTCCGAAAATGGTTGGTTATCCCCAAATAAATCATCCAGTCATTCGACCATATTTAGTCTTGCACCGTTCTCTATGGTTTTGGGGATTCCCTATTTTAGGAAACCTCCATATAGCTTCATTTATCCAAGGACAACCGCAGGAAATCTGATCCCAATTTTGGGGCTCAGGGGCTAGCTGCACGTCCATTTCTGTGGGGTTTTCGCCACCTGGCGTGGGACCAAAGGGTCGTTGACTGGACGGATTTCTGAAGTCTGCAGATTTGTATCAGTTAGTAGTGTAATTCGTTACCATCACATTGAAACAGACATCTACGTAAATATGCACCGAAGTATCATGTATCGAGGCAGTATCCATTTATATCCTGGATCACAAGCATCATACCATTGGTGTGTCTCAAAATGGGGGATTCACCAAATTGGCACCTTGACTGGGGACAATTATGAGAAACTGACAAAGAACCTATGTTTTTTTCCTGCTTGAGGGCTTCAGCCCCCCCCAAAAATAAGGTACTTATTACTATCTTATACTAAGATATTTGAAGACTTTTAGATAATTCTGAGTAACTTACTGTAATTCTTTGTTTGCCAGCCACTAAAATGTGTTAAACAATTGGGAAATCCATGGAAATTCACCATTTTGGGACAAAGCCATGGTTGAAACCACCAGTCGCATTCCAAACTCCAAAAATCTAAACCCTGAGCTTTGGGAATCCGGTTTCATCAAACATGGCTGGACAATCCTCTTGGAAGTGCATCACTGGAAAATCTCTGTGCAGATCATCTGGGGGGATTGTTCCATACATATCCCTGTGCAAAAATATACCCTCCAGTATAATCAAAGGTGGAAATGGAAAATCAATGAAAATCCATCCATTTCTTCGATCATGTTCCCATGAAAACATACATTGAAAAAGGGGGTTTTCATGGAATTTCCCACTTGTCACGCTTGATTGCCAGCTGCCATGCAAAATGTTTTTCGGCTCCGCTGTCTCCTGGGCCTGGCTCCTTCAGAGCTCCTCCCTGGAACCGGGGGATTTCAGTGAAACATCGAACCATCGAAACATCACTCTACAAGTACACACAATTACGAGACTCTAAAAGTAAACATAGAAGTACAGTACACAACTAATGTACACGCCGCACCAAAAAGCTTGGCGGTCGATTCTGAACCCATCTGACATTCGAAGGAGTTGTGGACCTGACTCGGGATGCCAAAAAATCTGGACAGATCTGGACCATCTTTTGGGAGATATGTAAGGTCTACCAAACAGTGAGTAAACACATGGTAAACACACAGCGTAAATCCCAGGACTCCCACTGAGTGCCCATAGCTGGGCAGACAACTGTCGTTTTGTTGGTGAATTAATGTTTGTTTCACTGGGGAAAAGTGTGTTTTTCTTGGGATGTGTTGGTTCCAGGCACATGTCGAAAGGCCAAGTTGTCCTCATGGAATTTCGAAATGGCGCAAACTATCTGGCAAGTTTCAGGGACTCAAGCGAAAGAAAATGAGCGACTCCCATGGTGCTGGCTGGCTATGTCTCAAGTGTTTGTTGGTCGAAACCCATTGTTTTCAAATTTGAATCACGTTAGTATATCAAGACTGGTTTCAAATTTTGAGGCCCTCAAATGGTTTGTCTCAGGAAGAGGTATACCTCAAGTAGGCTACATATGTTCAATTATTTTAAAGAACATGATGATCAAATTTGATCGAACTTATATATCTTATAAAATTTGGAGGTCACCTGTTCAATTTTCAGACCCAAATAGGCGAAGATAATCCCCCATTCAACCAATCAGGATGAGAATCTAGATTATTCTAGATTCCTAATGCGGATGGTCCAATGTCATATTCCATATTGTTCGATCTTACCCTCTGAACTTAGCAGCTTGCAAAGGAACGTCATCCAATTTACAATAAATTCATTTGCCAATAATGTTGGTAAAACAATAAGAACCGTCCCATATGTTTGTGGTAAAATTGGGAATGGTTTCCAATTTAACATTAAACATCCAGGTTTCCAATTGCCATGTATTATCGTCTGCAGCAGAGCCCGGACCCCCTATCTATCAAACCCAAGATGGGGCTTCATGCAGTACCCTGTTCACGCGCTGCACAAAAAAAACAAACTAGTGGTTGGTTGACAAGAATTCTAAAAACCAATTAGTGAAATTAGATTTCTGGTTGGTGGTTTTAACCATCTTGAAAAATATGAGTTCGTCAATGGGAAGGATTATTCCATATATTATATGGAAAATAAAACATGTTTGAAACCACCAACCAGATTTTAAGTAGTGCACCAGTAGGGACTAGTAAACCACCAATTATGGAAGCAGATGGGTTGAATTCATCTCTCCATTACAACATATCCAGCAAAAACCAGAAACAACTCGACTCGCTAAGGAAGAGGACATTGGTGGTCCGACGCTGCTTGAGGTGTTGGCATGGGATAGGATGGGGTTGGGTTTATATCCTCCTTAAATTATAATATAATCTCACGATCAGCAACCAGGGATTTTTGCTTTGCTCAATTTACTAAACCATGCAGGGACCCAGATTCCCTACAATAAGCCATAGGACTCAAGCTAATTGAGGGAGAACATGGATTTCATTGTCTTGTTCCAAATTGTTGGTCATGTCCAGTTCTGTCTCCTGTTCTCATGTGATTCTTTCAAGGTCTTTAACCTCTATGAATCATCTATTCTGGCCGAAATTCCAAAAGAACTAATCATGCTGAGGTGATTTTGTGTAAGTCACCTAAATAAGACACACATACCATTCATTCACCTTAGATCCATGGAAAATCATCACCATAGATTCACCCTTTAAAATCACCATAGGTGGCACAAGTGGGGAGATCTTTCGAACCATGTTTTTGGTCGGTGGCGCCAAGTATCTGTTCCCCTGAGTGAAACTCTGTTGTTGGTTGATTAATCTCGCATTCATCCAAACATGATCCTCGCAAATTGAATTTGAATTCATGTTTCAATATTTCTTTTTCAGTATTTGTACTACATATAATAAGGGAATGAATAATGATTCCCAATAGAATCGAATCATCTCTCAACATCTCAACATTTGGCCAAGCAGCGCATGCTCAGATCGGGCTTCCCACCACTTGTGCCGTGGCTCCCGGCGCATCCTCCGCCGGCCGCACCGTGCTTAAGACAGCGGAGAGCACCGAACTGCGCACGACCAGCAGCAGTGGCACCACCCAAGCCTCACGCGGTTCACGCGCTTCCGGTGGGGTCGGGATGCCCCCAACAAAAAGTGGCGAAAATATCCATTCTTAGAGCTTAATACTAGTGGTAAATAGCTGGATAATAGTTGGATAATTGATAATCAGTTGATAATCCATGAAAGGTCACTAACAAACCTATAACAATGGTGATTTAATGGGATATGAATGGGGATATTCATTGTTTATAACTATCTATAATATTAATCCCTTCACCCTATTACTAAACACCCCACAGAAACCATGTTTTTTTTTGTTTGGGTGAAACCCCATATTTGGAACCATACAATGGGGGTGGTTAAAATTAAGGAGGGGGGATTATATTTAAAACAACAATTTGAACATTTATGGGTATACAGTATACAAAAGGATTTTTGATGGGACGTGTCACGAAGAATTTGGAAAAGATGAGGAGGCCGGCCTGTCTTTGAAAAATGTGATGCCCCAGTAAGTCGTTGAAATCATCATCGTTTTATGGCATGCTCGAGATACCCAAAAGCATGTTTTGTCCTAAAACAGCTGGCTTGGCTGAAAAACATAAGTTGGGAGTGTCTCTAGACTTTTACATTATTCCCTATGGATCCAAACATTGTCTGAGAAGGTACGGCTAACTTAACCCCTTAAATTCCTTAAATCATACCTCAAGTAGTACCTTAATGTCCCTTAGAAGGTACTTGGATCCATAGGGATTTAGGTTTGCAAATGTGTCATCGATCAAGGGATGGGATCAAAAAAATGGACAGTTACCAGTACTGATGATGTCCATGGCAATGATACCAATACGACGAAACCATGGCAGCATATGGCAGCCCAATCTTGTAGCTGTTGCTTCACAAGCCTTTCTGGATATGAATGGATTATGGCATGATATGGCTCCGAAACGCCATAACTTCAGGCAGTCTTGCCAGTCCCAACCGAGTTTCAAAGAACCTGCAAAAAAGACATCTTTTTTGTGCCATCCCCATGCTTTTTTTTCGACTGCAACACCACTAAACCTTGATGTTTGCTGGTGAAACTCCTCCCAAACCTGATGCCCTAGGATGTTATATGTAGCGACTTCCCAGGTTTGGATCGACAGTTTTGATCCCTTACAGCCGCTAGTGGTTGTTCCAAATTAGCGAGTGTCTTTTTCTTTTGCCAGGCATTCAGTCGCAGACAATCGCAACTCAAGAGAATGCTTCGGTGCTTGGCATGGTCTCATACTACTCTTTGTCTCGCTGCCTGTAGAATGTTATTGTTTTGAAAAGGGTCCCCATCATGGTCTGTGTGGCTGGTCCGATTGTGGATGATTTCGTTAGACCTAAACAACCACTGCTGTCTGGGGCGTCCAACTCGACGCTTGCAATATTGATGGGTTCAGCGCTATCTGGCTGGTAAGAGACTTGTCTGAGAGGGTCAGAATTTGGCGCACGTAAAATGTGTCCAGCCAACCTTGCTCGCCTCTCATCTAATTCTTGTGAAACAAGTTTTACTTTCTTGATGGGATTGAGGAATTAGCGAGTGTCTGCGGCAATGAATTGTGATCTAAGCTGGCACTAGGTCCCACGGTTGCCAAGCACAGTTTCTCAGCATGCCTTGAACCTTGAAATGCATCATGTTCCCATTCTGGTCTTTCGTTTCCGCTGTTTGTTTTAGACAAGTCACTCCTTTAGAGGTAAAAAGGACGTGCATAGCATTTTTGGGTATTTCAGATATGATCCATGCCGCCCTACAAACATTTTGGATCCCTGTAACACTGCATAGATCCAAAACTCCGATTGATGGCAACTCAAGGCCTGATTTGTCAGCCAAAACTAGGATCAAATCCTTGAATTTTGGGAGATTGTGGTTAGCTTTACGACACATATCGTCCCTTTTTTTTTTGCTTGGTGAATAGGATTTCAGAGGATTTCTCATCATGGATGAGTATCCCAGATATATTGCTTGGAACCCCCCTACCAGATTCAACCAGAGGTTTGAACAATGCTCTCCATTGACTCATCGATAGTTCACATGCAAATCTGAGATACCCTCAAAAGAGCAAATTGTAGCTGGTCCGTCTCTATTCTCATTTAAAGCAAACGATTAGCTAGTACCAGTTTTTTTGCCCACTGATATCCAATATTTCCTGGTCAAGTCATGTTAAATCCCTATTCTTAGTAGAAATATCTCCTGATATCTCCAGCTAAATCCTTCAATGAAGGTGATGCACCCGATTCTTCAAGGTGATTCTATGATTCCCGCCAATTTTGATGCTACTTCAGGTATTTTTGATGCTCAAATTCCCCTGTAATCCATTATAATCATGACAAACAGAAACTAGATAGCAAAGTTCAAGAATTACCTGGAAATTATCAAAAAAAAACATCATCTTAAATCCAGTTATATCCTGTTCACATATGCAACAAATTTAACCATCCTGCCCATCCGGGGCCAACGACGATCAGGCAGATTCCGCCGAGAGACCAGATGGCCCGTGGCGGTCGTGACGCAGGCAAGAAATTCTTGCGCAGCGCCCATGGGATAGTATTCCTCGGAGAGCCGAGGGTCGTAGCCCGTGAATAGATTCATTAGTACATATTATATATATATATCATGGTATAATATAATATAATATGATATTATTTAATATAATATAATATAATATAATAATATATAATGTAATATAATATAATAAAACATAATATAACATAATATAATAAAATATAATATAATATAACATAATACAATTTAATATAATATAATATAATTTAATATAGTATAATAAAATACAATATAACATAATATAATATAACATAATATAACATAACATAATTTAGTATAATATAATTTAATATAATATAACATAATATAATATACCATCATGTAATTTAATATAACATAGTATAATTTAATATAATGTAATAGAATATAATATGATACCATATAATATAATATAATATAATATAATTTAGTTTAATATAATATATTACAATATAATATAATATAATATAATATAACATAATATAACATAATATAACATAATATAACATAATATAACATAATATAATATAATTTAATATAATATAATACAATATATTATTGTAATATTCATATGCAGAACTACATGGGTTAGGTATGGATCGTTCCGCGATGATACGGACGTATGGAAGGAGTAAGTTACGATAGGTTTGATCCAGGGCTCCTGATCCTGTGTACTAAAGTGGCTTGGTAACAACTTGTCATTGGGTATGGATCGGTATCAATGGTGCTGAAGGTCGGAACATGAAAACAATGTGAGTTTGTACCATTGTTTGGCTGGTTGCTGGTTTCAACCCCTCTGAAAAAGATTAGTCATTTGGGATGATTATTCCCAATATATGGGAAAATAACAAATGTTCCAAACCACCAACCAGTTGGGGCTTGGCCCACAAGTCACATTGCATGAGATGCAGGAAACCTGCCGGTTTTCCCTCTGAACATTGCCTTTTTTTGGCAAAAACTTCATCCCTTTCAACTTTCGCCAAGCTTCCCCATATGCACGGCCATGGTAGCTCATCCAGGTGTAGTAGAGGATATTTCCATATCCCCAATCTCAGCCGCGGCATCTTCTCAGGTGGGCTTTGACTAGAACAATTTTTGTTTGTATGAACATTTAAGGGGAAAACTTGAATACATCAGTGATTGATCACCACATATATCACGATGCCTATTAAAGTTGCAATAGAATTTCGGCGAAATTTACCAATTTTGGGACTCAGACACACCTATTGGATTGGTGATAGTGTACGCCAGTGTCATCCCAAAACAGTGGTGCTGCACTTTGCAGGTGTTAGAAACCAGTTGCCACCTGGGATGCACATCCAAGAACAGCTAAGTGTGGTTAATTTGTTGCGATCATCCCAGAGTAATGTGGTAAACCCAAGTGAACCATCCCAAATGAGACTAATATGACCATTAACAGCTCGTTTACCTCAGCCGGAGAAACTTTCCTCAGCTTCAGCCGCTGCAGTGTTCAAGCCGCTCACAATCCTCGGCCCGTCCAGTCATCGAGGGGATTGGGTCCATGGAGCCGCGACATGGTCACATGATACATCATGATAGCAAACTTACCATCTGGTTATGACTAACAGTTCGCCATGGAAAGATCCACCATTTTTAAGTTCGGTAAACCATCTATTTCTATGGGCCACCTATACCATGGCTATGTTAGTCATAACCAGAGGGTAAGTGTAAACTATGGGATTTGACAACCCCAAATGCTGCCACAAAAATGATGCACCAATGTATGAGAAAGTGGAGAATCTCCAAGCTACAACAGCCATAGGGAATCTCAAGTTCTTTTTGGGTCAGGCTGTAGCTAAATCCGATTGCGAGGCCGAGTGAGACTTACCTACATGCTGCATCCGTATTATCATCTATGGTATATATGGTATATAAATGCATCCATATGCGGCATATGTAAAATCGCATTACTGGGTCACTGTTGGATTGTTGAGGTACATGATTTTAGACTGAAAATACATGAAAATACGGTATGTTAGCCTGTACCCCTAGACATGATGCTTTCGAAAACCAGATTCCCAGAACTTGTCCCTGGGTGTGATCCAATCCGAATCTGGGATGACCAGTTGCGTCGATTCAGAGCACCCTGAGATCAAACATAGAACAGAAGAAAAATAAACATGTTGCACACGATGATCACCAAAAACATGACTCGGAGAAGTCAGAAATATCATGAAATATCATCATTTGCTGACATCTTCGATTGATGTCCTTTTATGTCAACCAAGTCAATGAGCCAATGATCAACACATGCGGACTTGAAGTGTGCCAGTGTGCGGGATTTCTGCTTCAATGATAATTGCTTTGGAAAAATAACAATGTATGTAACGATGTATAAGGACCCTAATAGGACATGGGGCCCCGGTCAGTCACCCAATCAGGCTTGTGTGCAATTCATGCTCGCAAAGCAAATCACTGTTCAGAAACCCGAAAACAAAAACCAATTCCACACATCATATGGGTATGGATCAATACCTATAGATACATTTTAGTGGGATGAACATCCATTTACCAGCTATTTTGGGGTTCACTAGGTACCAGGGTTTTGACACACTGCCATACAGACTCCTAAACAGCCGAAAAACACCGAGCACCGCAAGATTCCATGATTCAGTGTGCTTCCCTTCCCGAGGGCCCGAGGGCTTCTGAAGACACCCGTCCAAGTCATCCAGGTCTCAAATTTCCAAGAACTGCAAACAAGAAGTATGTCACAAGCAATGCCTGGAGGAAATCATATCCAGAAATATCATCCAGAAAGGACCATAAATTCCCGTAAAGGCTGGAATATTTTGGAAGAGAGGGTCACAAAGGCGTTCTCGATGCAACAGTTATGGCTATATGTAGTTCGCACCCCCAGGAATCGTTTTGATGCTTACCTCCACATGGGAATGTCGTTTGCAGATGGCCCGAGATCATGGCCAACCGTACACAGCAAAGCTCTTCATTTTCAGCGCCGATGTTCCCATAAAGAAATCACCCACTAAGTTGCCCAACCCCAAGGTTTACCCATTCACCATTTAAAGTAACAATATCATGGGTGAATCTCCACTTTTTCAGCTGACCACCCAGGGTTACCGGACCAGGAATTCATCCAAAACGGGTCCCGGATTCCCTGCCTTGGCATATTTCCGAGCAATCTGATGCTGGTCGATCTGAAGCAACAGCAGCAACAACACCACTTGCCGCCACAAATATCCCATGCTGGCAACAACACCTGAGGCCAGTGACTAATCCTCCCAACAATGGGAGGCGTTTCCCCACTTGACCTGACTAAACGTTGCTAGATTGACTAGTTTGAAACTGGCCAAAAAAGAGATGAGAGATGGGTCTGTTGCGAGTACTGACAGTTGGAGTTTGACATGTCAGAAACATATTTTTGGGTTGTTCCTTTAGATAAAAGGTATTTTCCATGCTATTGATAGTGCAGCTGTTTGTTATTGTTTGGTATCCAGAAGCTGCTTGCTTGCCAAATGCCAAGATTTAAGGGAGGTTGGATTTGCTCTCTATAAGTCTATAAATGCTAAACCACACCCAGGACCTATCTAGTTTGCAGTTTGCAGCAACACAGGCATGTTTGTTTCCATAAAAGGTTTGTTCCTCGAAAGGGGCAATTTCTTCAAAAAGGCAACATTGCTGCACAACATTCTTTACGCCTCATTTCTATTCCAGCCACTCTACACTTTGACTTTTTCAAAACCGTTATTTACTGGAATGTGGGCCACCCATGGCCACCCCACTTATAAGTTGGCCTAGTTTCAGCCATCTGACTAATTATAGATATATCTAGGCTAGGAAAAAAAGAACAAACGGCAAACCGCATAACATACAATATGTAGCTACATGTTAAGACCAAACTAAGGAACGGGCACTATGTGAACCACTTCAAGGCAATACAGTACCTCTTTCACCAACAAGGATGCGTCTGGATTTTTTCAAGTAACCGTGCAAATGCTTCATTTTTACAAGCACAGTTTTCCTCAAACATGTTAATCTTCCTTGAATAGTACTGCATCCCATGTACAAAAGGAATGCTCTTGCACAACTCCGTCATGCGGACGAAAACATGTATCTCCTACAAAGATGTAGGACCTATAGGATGCCCAGCTTTTAAAGAATCATGTTTCATTCCAGAGCTGCAATATACCTTTGAGACAGTAATGTGGTTGGTTCAAGAAGCAGTATTCTTGCAAAGTATGAAGTACCCCGACCCCTCTACAGCTAGTTGTGTTCTCTTGAAGAAGTGCAGTCTTCATTTCAAGTATTTCAAATGGTCAGTCTTCCTTAAGTTGTACAGTATCCCTTCAAGAAGGCTATATTCCCGCACAATATACAATATGTTGGGAAACAAAAACATACATACTGCATTCCTGCATAGTGTTCCTTGAAAGATGAAAAGGTTGCTTACACACCACAATATTCCTTCAAAACAAGATATACGTGGATCTACAATATTCCTGAAACATGAAAAAACGGTCAATACTTTCTTTTGAAAGATGTAGTGTTCCTTTGGAATAAGTTAATCTTTCCTTTACTCTTTCTGTTGGTAGTACATCTGTTTTGTAAAGGACAACAGTTTCTTTCCACGACTTCACTTCTTTAAAGGGATATTGTTCAGGGAATAGCTGGCGTGAAAATCAAGACATGAAAGGGGTCGATTTTGCACAATGCGCAGTCTGGTTTTAACATACAGCATTCATATACAGATAAAACTAAATGTAGCATTCCTGACAAGCGATAGAGCATTCCAGGGACAAACATATGCGCAAATAAGACTGTTATGATTGTTTTGGTTATATTATCATGTTTCTTTTGTTTTGTTTGCTTCAGACAAATATATAATAACACGCACAAAAACAATATCTTGAAGACTAGTCTGAGCACGGCCCTAATCCAGATAATCTCCAAAAACAAGCAGAGACTCAATGAATAAACAATTCTTGTGAGCACCAAGCAGCATTGTGCCTTTTGAACCCCAACATAAGTTACAGTTTATCTCGACCTAGGCTTTTAAACAAGGGGTTTTTATACAGCCTTTCTCAACGAGCGAAACCATTTTCAGCCAGGCACATGCCAGAAACTGCTCGAAAGGCCAGCGGGGATACAAATGCCCCCAGGTTGCACCATGAAATGCGGACAGCAGCACGTGGAAAACGTTGCCAAAGTCGCAATCGATGCATGCTGCATCGTAGCATCCACCAGAGCACATGGCGGCCCAAAGAACGGCAAACAGCATAATGATTCCGAAGCAAATCCTGGAGTAGGAGAGGTGCTGGAAACTTCAGTATCTTCAGTCTTCATGTTCCATGCCAGAAATAGTTCCGATATGTTCCGATGTTGGTAATGCCACGATAAGTTCACACACGTGGACAGGTGAAAACATGCGTCAATCGCTAATCGGGGCGGACTTCCATTTATATACTTGGTACCATGTATTTTTTGGCATTTTGGTACGTTTGGCATGTTGTTTTGGCGTGATTCATGGTGGCTTTGTTTGTCTTTAAGATGAATCTCTAAGACGTTTTGTCATCCATGGTTTTTGCGGATTTTTGCTGGCTGGGTGATTCGGGAAAAAAGTTGATACCACATCATACAATGTGGCGCCCCCAAACGCTATAAGTTGCTTCATAACCCCATCTAATTCTAGTTATAACTACATATGCTACCAACAAAAATCTAGTTATCGTAGCAATAAACCAACAATTATATACATTATACATATATATATATACACAGTATAGGAATTCAACATCCCATGGACTGTCATCATGTTCCATGCAGGACCCCCCAGCTGGAGTCAGGTGCTGGCGTAATTGAGACATACAATCGGCTCAGGGAATGGAGACGGATATGTGTTTTAAAATTTGCATTGATTCAAAGTTGAATTCCACTTGGTTTGATTTGTGTTGATGTGAATTTGAATTGAGTTTGTTTTTGAATATGAAATGGATTTTGACATATCCTAAGCTGGTTTCAATTTAAACTTTCTAGTTGACATTGAATTAAACTTGAAGTTGACTTTGAATTTGAAATGAACCTAAATTGAACTGACTTACTTGAAGTGAAATTAGTTGACTCTAAATTACTGGAATTGACTTTAAATGAGAACTGGCTCTAAGCACTTCCACTTGACTTTGACATCGAATGTAAACTACTTTGAAACTGGATTAGAATTGACTGTCCTCTGGATTTCTGGGAAGGTCGAAAACATTGGGAGACTTAGTATAAGGGGGTCAAACAATGCATGTTATTTTGGTGTCGGTTTGTTTCTAGACTACCCCTTTTGCGATTTTTGAAACACGTTGAACCTGCAGGACTTGGACTTTTTGAGGTCAGGTCAGATTGAACAAAAAACAGACATGAGGGAAACCAACGGGGGTTTTTTCCAAGAAAAATACATCCCTTTTTGTGGACATCGCGTCAATCGCGTTCCTTTTTGTGGTGGGTTTACTACTCTGTCCCGAAATTTGGCTGAGACTCAGGTAAGGCAGCACGACTGCCTTAAATGCTTTGCAACACCAGGGCCGGAAAGTCCCTTCAGGGCCAGCAGAGAACCTGAAGGTCAGTCGATCCCAAAAATGGACTTGGGTACCCCTTAAGCTCCACTGATTCATCAGTTTATCCATTCAAGGGCAACTTTGGGTTTCTACCCTCTGGTAAACTAACATAACTTAACTATGGAAAATCACCATTTTCAATGGGTAAATCCACTATAAATGGCCATTTTCAATAGCTATGTTAGTTTACCACAGGGTACCCAACTGGGAAAAATGGTGGTTTAATCCACAAGAGTGGACTTTTAAGCGCAGATAGATGTGGCTAACCATTTTGTTGAGCCAAGAAAGATGGCAGAACATATACAATATCATCCAACTAACAGGTGTAGTTTAACAAACAAACATGGAAAATCATGTAAGTGTACTTAATCAAAATAACGCTTTGATCAAGCTGGTGTCTAACAAGCCAAAATGGAGACTAAATGAATCAAAACAAAAACTTAACCAACCCAAATGGGGCTTAGCCACAACCACTGAGGTCAATCATCGACCAAATAAAGGTTTAGCAAACATGCGCAAACAACCAAACACGCAGTTACTTTTGATTGATGTTGGATATGTAGCTCTTCAAAAATCCCTAGATTGCGTGAAATTGTCAAGCCAAGACAAGGAAACTTCGGACCAAAGGCCTGAGATCGGTGATGATTCTGGTGATGTATCACTGGACAAAAAGGTGCCACATGTTGTTTTACGACGTACCAAAGATCATCTTCTGACGTGCATCGCACTTCGGTGGTGCAGAAATCACGTATAGCATATGTATGTATATATATATTTATGTAATTATCTCTGTGTGTGTGCGTTGGGAACTGATCCCACATTTCACAGGTAGCCCTAACCCCCTTCCCCAGATCCATCCCAGCCACAGTCGCGCCCCCGGATCCAACAGCGTTTTCCTGGCCACGGTGAAGAGTGGCACCACCCAGCAGAGGCTGCCGAACATCACGATGACCAAACTGATGAAATTCGACCCAGGCCCGGTGGGCGCCACCTCTCCTTGGATTCGACACGTGTCAAAATTGGTCATCAAGAAATATATAGGTGACATTTGGAAATAGTGGATGTACATGACGCATATTTCATCAACATCGTGTGGCATAAACATCGTATGTACTTAATATTTGGATGAACCATGATGGTAACCACACCCATGGGCCGATAGCGGTGGTTGATGTTCCAACCTGATGATGGCCAGACTCAAACGTGGACCAACTCCGCTGCCAACTTGCATTGAACAAAAAAACTGATGGGGCCAGGTATCCCATGTCCACACAAGCTATATGTCATGTACATATGTGTATATATATATATATATAAACAATATCATTATGTGTATATATTGTATATATATATATTATATAATTATGTATACATATATATTATATTATTTTGTATATATATATTATATTATGTTATATTATATATTATCATGTATATCTATGATTATCTATGTATATATTATATTATCATTTGTACCAGGAAATCAATCCGCCTTTGTGGCTAGCTTAGGAACCTTTCACATCTGTCTTGGAAGATAGTTTTCTATACTTGCAGATTGCTCTCATTGAATTCCAGATTTTAAAATTTGGGGGTGTGAAGTGTGAATTCCGTTTTTGGTACTACAATGGATTGAAAAGGCGTATGATTCCAGTTGATAAACCCTTTTTCTGATATTTTTTGTCTGATTCGTGAAACCAACACAAATCGCCACATCTCATGGATTCTGAAGTCGGACCCCAACTTCGCCAACCACCGGTGGCTAGTGACATAACGCCAGGTTTCCATATGCTCGGAGATGGAAGGTCATCCAAGCAAAGTACAGCTGACTTCCGTAATCACCTTCGACAGGTGACACTCACGCAGTGACGCGATTCTGGCAGCTTGGAGGGTTTGACCAGCAGAAATTGATACATTTATATACACTCATCATTTTGACATACAAATTGGAGGAATAATGAAATATACATCGAAATATGTCAAATGTCATGGTTTGGGATGATTGAAGTGGCATGAATGAAATCGTGGCAAAACCGCAAATCGTTGTCGATTCCCCAAGACCCTCCCAAACTCAGAGGTTTTTCCAAAGGCCCCAAAAAATGGCACTGTCGAAAGCACCACGGCACATTTTTCCGACATCCATGACTCTTCGGCCGCAAGGCAGTCCGCCGACAGTCCGGCCGCCAAGGTGAAATTTGCCAGCAGCGCGGTGCAAAAATACGCTAGCCAGAAAGCCTTCGCCTGAGCTTCCAACATGTCGGCCCCGTTGTGTGCCCAAAAAAAGCAAAACTATGAAGGGACTCCTACGACAGGATTGGATGATGGTAAATTTTGACAGGAAACCCCGAAGGCCCATATTTTAATGATAAAAAACCATGGGTTGCCTGTAGATTGTCTCTTAAATCAACTGAGGGGAGGGACTTGATGTGTTTCTTGGTGCTTTCCAGGCTTCCAGAGCGGTCTCGAGCAAGCAATTGGACATTTCACAACATGCATAAGCAGTTTGGAATGCATAAAAGATTAGTCTCAAAACGGACATTTACAACCAACCATAATAGGAATATACTAACCAGAACAGAAGTGAAATGGAACATATGATAATCCAATGGTCGCTTTGGAGGCCCAGAAACCAAGTCGTTTTGGAGGCCCAGAAACCAGTCGTGAAAAGGCCGTTTTAATATGTTTTAATAGGGTATCCTGTATCCTCCATTGTGCCGTCTAGCCTTCTTTTTTTTGTTCAACCGGACCGGAATACATGAAGGTTTTCTTGGTAGCAGCCCATTGCAAACATACACTTATCAATTCTCACACCCCAAAGCACGAAAGATGAATCGCCTCGATTTTTTCCAAATGCTGTACCTGTGGCAAACGCCACAATTTGTCATACCTCATGACTTACCAGATCCCCAATCGCGGTTTATTATTGGGTTTACCACACTGGATGATATAGCAGCTGCACCATTACATGATGAAACTGCATATCATTCATAGGTAATGGTAGCTAGAATCCATTCAAAATCCCCATCAAATCCCCATGATATAAGTCATCGACCCATGGTTTTTTCGGATGTTGCTTCGGATGTCGCCGGGCTAAGGTGCCGCCATGAAGGCCAAAGAATCTTGACTCATGCAAACGAACATGAAGAAGGCCGCTACCAACCTGGGTTCGCCGTTTGGGGCCAACCAAAAATAGCCATGGCTACGGCAATTGATCATCATCTCACGGGTCTGTTTCAATCTCAAACCTCTCGCATGAAATCCTAGCAAAATCGGGCTATAGCCGCTGTGGGATAACTGTTCGACTGTTCGATCTTTCACTATCAATAGCTGCATGAGCTTGGGACTTTGACATGCAATCATTAAAAAAACCCTTCCTGGCGTTGGAATTCTGGTGCCAACCATTCCAGGTATGCCATCCACTTCCAGTGCTCCCCATCCCCTGAACTGCTGAGCAACGGGCACATGTATCCCAGCATGGCTGTCAGAGAACATACCGCCCGCCCCACCTCAAAGTTCGGAGTGATGTGGCCCCAACTTCCTGGTGCAGCTGGTAGTTGTTTGGATGAGATTTACCGAACTGGTGGATCACCCAAAGAATTGGTGGCTTTACTATCTTTACCAAAAAGAAGGGATCACCGGAGCCAGAGAATTGGGACTGGATAGACCTGGTCCCATCCCTCCTTGATATTGAAAACATCAGAAACGCCATGGGTTTAGCCATGGATTTACACATGTTTTGAACCACATACCATGGGGAACGAACCCAGCCAGCCATATTAGATGGTGATGGGTTATGGGAAGCCCGTGGTCCTTCAAACAAATACGGGTGCTGACCAACAAAGGTTCGGATATGTTTTTGTTGGTCTTCCCAATCCATCAACATAATCTATAGGCTGATGCGGATGTTCCACTTGTTTTGATGACCGGACCGGAGGTATATATATATAATTCCATGTACCATCAACATGAAGTCTCTTGGATATAAGCTTTGTGGCAAATAACCCCTCAACGAAACAGCTCGTTTTCACCCACATCTGCAGTGCATCTTTTGAGCTTCTGGGGGCTCCAGTTGGCGTTCCAACCTGCACGTCTTTTCAGGCCCATTCCAATCAACTGCTAAGCGGCCCTAATTATTTGATATTATTTGAAGCTGACCCGATCAGAATTGCTGGCCACCATTTGTTGACAGGATTAAACCATATAATAACCAAATGGTTGATCAGAAAACAAAAAAGGATCCAAAAGGAAGGGTCTGAATATCGTTAAACCATATAATCATATAGACATATTGTTGTGGATATTGGTCATTGTCAACAATGGGTTGGACCACTTTTCATACCCCACTTTTTTGTTGATAGAAGTTCCAAGCTTTCGTGCCTATATCAACCGTCCTTGCTGGCAAGTTCTGTTGAATCGACAAACCCGCGCAATCCCATGTCATCCCATTTCAATCCACAACCTGCAATTATCATCGATTTTCCAATGGAAGGACTAACTGACTAACTCATCGTTTATGACTCTGCGGGTCCATGTTCCATATGATGTTCCCATCCAAGACTCCGGCGAAGAAAGTGGTAAAGATCAGAAACAAGGCAGACGCATAGTCGGACTTCTCTTCCGAGGAAAGGGTAAGAGCAAGGAAGAGGATCACGACAAAAAAGAATCCATAGGTCCTGAAGCTGAAATTGGGATCCCCGATGTCGATCCCCTTGGGAAATATCTTACTTCACACTTCGCACTTCACACTGAAAACACTCCACACTTCACATTCCACCCTCCACATTTTACACTCGAAACTCTTCACTCCACACTCTACACTCCACATTTTACACTCCGCCCTCCACACTTTACACTTTACACTACACCTTACACTCCACACTTCACACTTTGCACTACACACTTTACACTTTACACCTTTCACTCCACACTTTACACTTTACACTCCACACTTTACCATACTCTACACTCCACACTTTACACTCCGCACTCCACACTTTTCACTGGACACTCCACACTTTACACTTTACACTTTGCACTCCACACTCTACACTTCACACCCCACACGCCACACTTTACACTCCACAGTGTACACTCCACACTTTACACTCCACACTTTACACTCCACACTTTACACGTCACACTCTACACTCCGCACTTTACACTTTACACTCCACGCTCCACACTTTACACTTAACACTCCACACTCTACACTTTACACTCCACACGCCACACTCCAGACTTTGCACTTTACACTCCACACTTTACACTTTACACTCCACAGTCTACACTTCACACACCACATGCCGAAGTTTACACTTTACAATCCACACTCTACACTTTACACTGCGCACTCCACAACCCCCACTTCGCACTCTACACACTACATTCCGCACTCAACACTCCACTTTCTTCACACCCCACGCTTTGCACTCGACCCTCTTCCGCGTTCCACAGTCTACAGTGCACTGGCACAGTAACAGGGGAAAAATGTACAAGACTGTTCCATAACTTGTTTCACAAAAGTGTTTTACGTGACTGCATTCGGGTTCGTGGGCTGCATCTTGTTTCTTTACTTGGGGTGAAGGTAGATACAACCATAGTCAATGGGAAGGAATTCTCAACCCACAAATATATTGGTAGATACTGACCATAGTCAATGGCTAGATACAAACCATAAAACTGGGGGGCACCACATTGATAGATCTCTGTTGCATGCCGAACATATTGGATACCTTTGCTGTCGTCCCGGGTATTGGGAAGAGCGGCTCAGAGGTTTCCATGCGGGTGCCCCTAAATTGTCTATTTCAAAATGTATTTTCTTAGGACTTTCCGTTATAAAACATACAGCTCTTGGGGTACCCCCATTTATGGAACCCCCCCCAATGATTGGATATTGAATTGCAACAATTAGAGTGTTCGATGGTGTGGCTCAACTTGGAGGGAGCCAAGTACCCAAACAGCTCTGCGATTCCTCCCACCCACTGGCAGAACAAGCGGCGCAAGCGACACCAAAGTGACCACTTTGCAGTCGTTCATGATGCCCGCGGCGTATATCGATGTTCAAATCCGACACAAGCTGTGGTTTGGTTCTTGGACTGAACATTTTGCTTTGAAACCACAGGTTGCAAATTTTGCAAATCAGATTTTGGGTGTGGTTAGCCTCCAATTATGCAATTTTGGCTTGAGGCCAACCCAACTGTTGCTGCTGACATGCTGTCATTGTTGCTGGCTCCGCTGCCATGGCTTCTTTGGCCAGGGCACAGCTGCAAATTAGCGGTTTCGTAAGGACCTGTACTCATACATGTCTGTTCACATAACTTGCACACTATATGTTTTTAAACTTACAAATTAATTTAATTTATCTAATTTACTTATACGCTATATGGGCTATATGCTGTTGCATTCTGATACGCATATAATTTTATATTCATATCCTCATATACCTATGTACTTGAATATATTTATACTTACATATATAATATTGTACTTACATACTTCTTTACTTCTATTCTTATATACTTATATAATCTTATATACATATGATTCGAAGACACGCTGGGCCCAGATTTTCTTCCCCGCAGCCAACAGCGACGGCATGACAGGACAGGCTGCTGGTAGAGCAACACCTCCAACCATAAGTTGACAGAAAGAATGGAAACATATGCCAGAAGAAATGAAGACATTTATGTTGAAGAATGCCTGCACTAGTTAGACAGAATGTGTTGGGAGTTGCAAGCCAAAACATGTTCAATCTATTGTAGTCTATTTATATACAATGTTGATCAATTTTGAACTAAGTATATGTACAATGTAGATGCATTGTATACATATAGTGATATGTGGGATATATATTGGCCCTTTAGCTGATTGAGACCCACATATCCGCATGATACATAGCTGTTTCTGAATGCAGAAATGTTGGATCCAAATGAGAAATAGCCAATCTATGTGGGTCTGTCTGAAAATAGGGTACCTCAAAATTTGATTCGTTTGATCATCATCGTCATCGTCCATGTGAAATGGACGCGATCTTCAGACAACCTAAAAGGTGAATCACCAGTCATGTCATGCAGTCCCACTGAAATTGAGGTGTTTTTTCACACCTGCCGAAAACGTGTACTGTTCGGAGTTCTCGCTCACATGGTCTCCCTGTTGCCACTCCAAAAAATTGGATGCCTCACATCCACCATGGTTTCTGGCTTTCCATTGGTCACTGTAAAACCACCTTTAGATTTTTCGATGGGTCTGTTTCTGGCCATTTTCGATGATTCAATCGCAAGTTTCGGAGACCAGCTGTGACCAGCAGAAAAAAACAGACCCCGGGCTTATGAAAAGACTTCCGCAGGTCCGCAATGTGGAGCGAGCCTGGGCCGCGCGCTGGCTGTGCGCGTACATCGGAGCACGCTGGGGGACGTTGGGAGGTGGCAAGAAAGAGGGGAAAAAATATGGAACCAATATGAAAAAAATCACGTACCGCATGCATGTACCGCCTGAAAATTCTTGGTGATTTTGTTGGTCTTCTACGTCTTTTTCACATTCTTGAACTACGAAATGAGATGAAATCTGAAATAAGTTGCTACTGACTTGATACCATATGGATCAAATGATGTGTGGGGATTGGATAGGAGATCCCACCCATGGGCTATGGTTCCGCCCACGGCGACTCAAAGAAAAATATGTTGAAGATTGTTTAAACTGCTTGGTCGACAAGAAACATCCAAATAGAGAAAACACTTACATTAAGCATCATTAAGCATCATTAAGCATCATTAAGCATCATTAAGCATCATTAAGCATCATTAAGCATCATTAAGCACCATTAAGCATCATTAAGCATCATTAAGCATCATTAAGCTATATAATAGGCTATAGACCATTCACCAAAGCTGACCCGGTCAAATTCCAGATAGTGAAACCACAAAATCTCATTCGTTAAAACACTGGCGCCCCCTGTGAGCTGGGAAAACCCGACCCTGGACGCTGCTTCAGCTTGGCTGGGCAGAAGTCACAGGGCAATTCCTGGCTTTCGATTCGTGGGAATTCTATCGGTTTATCTGCGTAAACCATGTGATAAACCACATGTCCACTGGTCACATGGATTTCATATGATTTAATATCCTATGTTGGTTCAATTTGGCAATTTTGGGGCTCCCAAAGAACGGGACAAAACCAGATCAACCAGATCTTTCTCGCTTCGTTGCAGATGTTAAAAGCAAGCACTGGGAAGTTTGTGGGGAATAACCCGAGGGTCATTCAACAAAAATCCGGAAAGCCGGCTGATCCAAAAACTGATGGCCACGATAATTCACAAATAGTGAATCCCTGTTCCAAGAAACCCGGGAGATACAAGCTTGAAACCCACCCCCCGCGGGAGATTCAGTATCCCAAAAGATTGGTTTTTGTTCGTTTAAAACATTGAAAAATACATATTTCCATAGACATCCAGCAAATACCACGAAATAGCTGCTGAGCATTAATATCCCATTTGTCGCAAGGGATCAAAAGATACGATCACCTGAAAAGATAAGTAATGTGTCACTATTTTTGAAGGACGTCTAAGTTACATGTCTATCTTTTTGAGGGTCACAGAACAAATGGCCAAAACAACTCAACAGTTGGCTAGGATTAATATTCCCATTTATGGCAAACGGTTGAAGTACCACACAACCTCACCAAAATAGACAAGTACTTCATGCTAACGTATCATTTTTTAGGATTTGACTTTACCAAATTCTATCTTAACTTCGGGGTTGCTATAATATGGCTATCCGCCAGATTTGGATACCAAATTGGAAAGTAAATCAGGATTCAAAATACCTGAATTATAACAATTCACCGCCTGAATAATGCTGCCTGTTATGGCATAAAACAAGCTCTGCTATTCCCATCAGACTTTCATACCCGAGGTCTCAACATAATTCACCCACATATACTGAGCTGTATGTCGTATGTATCCAAATACTTACAGTTATTATATATATATACCTATCCTATCCAATTTACCCAGTAATGTTCAATGGATTCCCATTCAATCCCATTGAATCACCATGAAAAATGCCCTGGACGATTTTTTGCTTGGTGAACTTTTTCAACATTCATCGATATTCCAAAGTATATATATACTATATCATATATACTATCTGTCATTATATTCTATGGTTATATTCATCTATACTCTCCATTTCATCTGGTTGGTGGTTGACCTACCCATCTTGAAAAATATGAGTTCGTCAATGGTTGGAGGATGACATCCCATATATGAAATGGAAAATAATCCAGCCATAATCCAGCCATGTTCCAAACCACCAACCAGTTATGGTATGTACCCATTACAATATACCAACATTGAAAAAAGGCAAAAACAATGGGACACCATCCCGAAATTGACCGTAACAATTGCTGGTATCAACCCTGAAAATATGGGTGCTTTATTATTCCTTTACTAACATTACTGAGGAACATCTATAAGTGGTATACCATGGTATGCCATATACGTAATATCTCACCATTTTTCTGAGATTTAAATATGTTATTAATTATACTATACCTAAATGGGTGGAAAATGCAGTATTGCCATCCCGGGTCATATCTATGTATCATTTCTCGATCGCCCTGTCCCGCCCAAAACTGGTCAGGAGCCACCCGCGGCGTCGGCTGCGCCTCACCGTTGGTTTTTGAGTGGAGCCTATAACTGAGCCTTAAAATATGTGATATTAAACAAAAAAAACTGATTTTGACGAAGAAGAGATTGGATTCCAACCTTTAGATTGCACCACCGTAGACCGCAAACAGTGGGTAGATTCAAGAAGTGTTTTGAAGAACAGGGTCAACACATCAGAAATCATTAAGAACCCCTAACAGTACACTGTTTGAGGAAAAAACATATATAATTCGAACCAACAAAAAGGGATAAAAAGGGTGAGTTTGAGCAAGAGCAAACTGGTCTCTGTTTCGACCAAAGATGGGACTTTCAGCAACAAGTCCATGGCGTTAGCCATCCGCGGAGATTGTGGTGATCCGTTTTACTACCCCGCGGAAAAACGTGATCCATGTGATCCACAAAAAATCATGTCCAACAAATTGTATCAGGTATCCCCAAAAGTCACACACTATTATTGTTGGACATTAATGTTGGGGCAAATGGCAATAATGCTATTCTTCTTGATGCGGGAACTGAATTATTGCTGCTTTATCTTGATTCTCATCTTGAAATGACCATTTATTGGAAGCACATTCCCCCTGGTCCCTGGTAGGATCAATCAACCCAAAGTGTACTAAGAGGGTACCCATTTGGAGGTTTTCAAAAGAATAAGGCTATCCCAACATGGATGGTTTATAATGGAAGGACATCCTACTAAAATGGAGTTGGGGTACCCCTATGACTTCGGAACCCTCCGTTGGTGCTACCACCCACGCCTGGTCCCACGGTGCTTCCCTGCCTGGTCTCCACAGGTATCGAAGAGCTCGCAGACGCTGTTAAAAATTCGGTGGCACCTCGGAGCGGAGCTGTCCATGCCGAATGGTCAGGAGATGTACATCACCATTCATATTCAATATATTCAATAATATCTTTATACCAACCATTCTATATCACTACATGTCTTTATATATATATATATATCATTGTATACAACTATATACACCATGATTTGTATACGAGTATATGCCATTGCCCAAGCTGAATGTGACATATATTAATGTATGATGGTGTATACATCAATACGCATCAATATGCGCATTGATATGACTATGCAAATCCACACCAGGTGACATCCCGATGTTATCCCATGTTTAGCTAGCCCAGCAGTATATACGTACTTCGAACATCTTTGCAGAGAGGAACCCTTAGCTTTGTCACAGGTTCTCCTTGTTAACTGCCCACTTGCCAATGATTCCCCAGGTTTCAATGCTTTAGTCCTGCCATTGTCAATCTTTTGGCTGGCAAATGCACCATCTTGATCTTCATCTACAAGTTCATCAATGGTGGTGCCGGTGGTGCCAGGGATGTAATGGTGCGGTGCAAACCGAGGGTTTCAAAACCCTCAGTTTGACGCATCTTTTTGCCCGTGTTGACAATTCTTTGTTGGGGATACCAGAAACGTGATCTTGTAATCATGGTCCCAGGAAAATCACGATAAGCGTGATTATAGCACCGGAATTCTGATGATCATTTGCATATAAATAAATGTGATCATCATAATAACGGAAATGTGACCATTTGTTAGATCATTGTAATCATAATAAATACCGGAAATCTGATCTAGCAAATGATAATCATAGAAATATGATCGTAAAAAATACAGAATATTTGATCAGTTGCTAAATCATGAAATACATAGCAAAACTGGAAATGTGATCTGCAACTGGTAATGATAATAACAACAATAATAATAATGTTGATCACAAAACAGAAACTGTGATCTTCCAAAACAATTACGGTGAATGATAATAGTGTTTTCCATATTTAGCTGTTTTATCTAAAATAATAACATCACAATATGGGATATCATCAGCAATGATGACCACTGATGCATGGATTTAAATGATTTCACCATCAACTATGATTTAACCATCAGCAAATAGATTACCAAAATATATCTATCATAATATCATATCTTTCATGTCATTGTGGGAATATATCTAATAATACATATCATACAGTAATACATAGTAATATATAGTAATATATATCATAATATCATAATAAATATCATAATATCATAATACATATCATAATATCAATATATCTATCATAATATCATATCTATCTATCATAGTAATACATAGTAATAAATAGTAATATATAATTAAATCCCGTTAACTCCCATTAAACCACCATTAAACCACCATTAAACCATCATTAAACCACCATTAAACCTACGTGACCAGATCTCCAAGCCTCGGCCAATGATCAGCACAGGCGATGGGCAGCTGCACTGTGCCGTGATTGCCCGTCCTGGACGCCGCGAAAAATGGGGGACGAAAATTGAAAGAGAAGGAATTACATAATTCTTGGTGGAAAATAAATATGTATGTATGTGCATTATACATATACATATATATATATAAATAAATGTAATATATATAAATATATATAAATGTCATATATATATATGTATCAATGTAATATATATATATATTGACATATATAAAGGTTTATATATGTATGTATATATATATATGTACAATTTGACATATATATATATATATGTATATTATGTGTATGTGTATGGTGGATCCCAGTCATCTACTGTATTTATGGTTCATCACTTGCATAGATATGTGGATATATATAAAGATATATACTGGTTGGTTGTTTTTAACCATCTTGAACTGAATCTTGAAAATATGAAAGTCAATGGTTGGCGGATTATCCCATATATATATATTATGGAAAATGAAAAATGTTTGAAACCACCAACCAGTATATATATATGTCTATGGATCAATACCTATAAATACAATTTTTAGGGGGATGAACATCCATTTGAACCCAGCTATTATATAATTTTGATGTGAACATCAAACGGGGTACAACTTTCAGACCCATCCCCATGGATCTATTGACTGGGACATCCAAGATCAGCCAAAAGGGTTTGTGCCAATAAACACAGAGTCAATCATATTCAATCATCAAGAAACCAACAAGGGAATACTATTATTCAATCATATTCAATCATCAGTGGGTTAAGTTCCCTTGTTGGTTGGTTAGCAATCATATTGTTTAAATCATTTGGTACACCAACAAGGGAACTCAGTTCCAACAAAGAGACTTGGACACTTGGAGAACTTCTGGGATCATCAAGGGGAATTGGTGACCAGTCACAAATGTGCAATTCCACCATCATGTTTTCCATCTTGGGAAAGCTTTGTATTTTCTCAAAATCTAGTTGCCAACCATTTACATATGAATCATATTGAATCATGATAAATATATGTGTCAATTGTCCATTCAATACTAGAATCTTTCGCTACCATATTAGTTGTTGATCTCTGTAATTCTTCAGCCCGCCGTCGACTTCGGGAATGCCATGAGGGGCCCCCGAAGGGCCAGCTCCACCGGCAGAGAACTTCCAGAGTCACCCGCAGTGGAGATTGTTTGAGGGAAGTGACAAGCACCATTGTATCTGATCCTGCTGATCGAGACGAAACATATGTTTTTTTTTGAAAAGGGCAGTGAGTGACACGTCTCAATCTATGATTTGAACGGTATACTGTAGAAATGTCCAGACTCTTTGAGGATGCTGTAAATTCTGTGGATGAAGTGGCTCAGCAAGAACCAGAACATGTGGATACGATTGAAATAGTTTGTGAATTCACCATGAACCGATACCATTTTTGTTGGTCTACAAATAGCCCAACATTTCATGGTTGGTGGTTTCAACCCTCTGAAACATATTCGTCAGATTGGATCATCATCCCAACTATGGGGGAAAATAAAAAATGTTTCAAACCACCAATCAGATTTGATGGTTTATCATCATTTTCCATCATTTTCACCATGTTTTCATAGGACATCCTGGTATCCCCCCCGGGAAGACCCATTGACCTCTCCTGACCACAGGGTCTCCATCGGGAATCACATCCAACGCCAAGGCCTCCGCGGAGAATGTCACGGTGCCATCGGTGTTTCAAAGTGTTTTTGGTGTTGACAAAAATGTCTGTAACGTGAGATTCTATGTGTATATAAATAGATGTGTAAATATATACATTGCATTACATTACATCACATCACATCACATTATGTATATATACACATGTAGTACTTTAGATGGCTGGATCATGCTTCTTTAGGCTTTCTTCAGAGGTGAGGCCAGTGAGGTGGCTCAGAACGCCAGAAGCCACATGCGGGGCCACAAACAAATGTTGAAATGGCTTGAAATATGTGGAACATTGTTGAACTAACTTAGAATAAGTATGGTTTATATGTTTTATGAATGTTTATGACAGATATACGATATTATTCCTCGCTGCAGAGAGTCCATGATTGGCCCCTACACTCAACTCCTCAGCCCCTGTTGGGCAGAGAAACAGATATACGATACTATATATACATTGTGAGCCCCCCCCAGTTATATCTTACCTCTAGAAAGTGACCAAAATCAACCTTTCAAACATGGATTCAGCCGAAATCATCCCAAACATTGATCGAACATGATACGAAAACACCTTGTAACAAGCGATGCCAACTGAGCTTCTAAACCGCACCTGCAATCGCACAGGATCGATCTCCAATAGCTCCGCCTTGGATCAAACAAACACTTTTTTTCTCCGGTGGAAGCCCAACATTTTTGGTTGGTTAAATCTATTGAAGCCGCGAAGCCTAGTCGTGGTCAAAGCCCAATGTTCCTTGATTGAATGAGTTAAAAATGCCAGTGTTCACTGGTTGCCGTTTAACGCGGCTTCAATGTACAATTTGTCATTCTAATGTGTTTGGAATTATAGGGGCTTCTCAATTCTTGGCGTACCCAGAACCCAAAACGGTTTCCCCGTAGAAATGATGATCTTTGGACGATCTGACAGGACAATTTTTCGTGCTGTGACCGGGTCCTCCTTTACTGCGGCGAAGTGACAGGACGTTGTTGGACTAATCGCCAGCCACGATTGGTTAATCATATGCGAAGAATGCTAGAACGTGTTTAGCAATTCAGAGTTCGATTCTTTAGAATCTTAGAACTTAATGATCATCATTTAGATTCATTTTTCAATGATGCTCCCCCGCTGAATCATATTTAGAACACCCGTCGTACAACTTGACCCCACTTGGCCCCAGGGCTGTAGAATGGACCTTGGGTCGGCACCATTGGCAACGAAGCAGACCAAAATCTGTGGTCCAAATGGGCGGAAAAAAATGATAAGCAAACTTAATCAAACCATGCTATTTTCAGGTGTGGGATAGAATGATTTACCCTCTGGTGAACGTTTACATAACTATGGAAAGATCCACCATTTTTCATGGGACAATTCACTATAAATTGGGTATGTTCAATAGCATTATCTGTAAACGTTTACCAGAGGGTAATGAGATAGACAACCAACCAGAGTTCCAAAACCTGGCTTTATTAGGCAAATCATCAACTCCCTGGGACTACTTGGCAACCAGCTGCATGATAAGAGGTGATTCCGAACAGGGAGTAACTGTAAAAAGTCACGAAAAGGATGTGGAAGTAATTTTATCCAATCTGAACAAATAGCTCCAAGTAATAACCAAATAGCTTGGCACATATTTAGCCTCTTCTCCATTCTTGGGACTTACTCTAAAACTGGTTGGTGGTTTTAACCATCTTGAAAAATACGAGTTCGTCAATGGGAAGGTTCCAGTCACCACCAACCAGTAACTATATGGTTTATGGTATAGATATAACTATAGTATATATATATATATATATCTATGGTTTATGGATATAACTATAGTTAATGGGTCTTCATGGGCTTTATAAACCAACTTATACCTCCGGCGGCAGCATCTTGAGATGACCCACGCCAGGAGGTGAGAAGGCGATGGATGGGAGGCCGAACTCAGCGCCTGGGTCTGACCAAAAAAAAGCAGGCAATGGTGATTTCATGGTGATTTCATGGTGATTTCATGGTGATTTAGGGTGATTTCATGGTGATTTTGGGGTGATTTAGGGTGATTTAATGGTGATTCAATGGGATTTAATGGTGATTTGATGGCATTTAATGGAAAATAATGGTTAGTAATGGTGAATCATTGATAATCGTTGATGATCATGTATACGAATGGAATATTGAATGGGATATACCCTCCGGTGTCCTCAAACGTGGCTTGCTGGAAAATCCACCAGCTCACGGATTTGCCAGAACTGATGGCACCGGAGCGGCGGAGGGTAGTGGGATGCCATCATTTTGTGATGGGATAAATAAATATAAATAGCATGGTGATAGATAATCTAATGATAGGATAATCATTACAGTAATGGGATAATCATGAATGGGATAATGGTGAATTATAATCATGTATGGGATAATCATGATGAATCACCTTAGATCATTCACTACTGGTTGGTGGTTTCAACCATCCTGAAAAATATGAGTCAGTTGGGAAGGATTATTCCCATATATGAAATGGAAAATAAAAGCCAGGTTTGAAACCACCAACAAGTATATATATATATATACAATATATATGTTGGTTTACCAGTTGATTTACCCATTAAAAATGATGATTTTCCATAGTTATAGATCATTCACTATCATCATGTTCCCCATTCAATGGCTGTGGCTACATCCCACCAGCCCGCCTAGCAAGTTCGCAATGCCACCTCCAAGCGAGTGCCTACGCGGTGGACATTCCATCCCCCATGGATGTCTTTTTGTGGTACAGCCGCTAAATGGGATATAGTAGGATATTCATAAGCCTAGGAGATAATATATATATATACATATATATATATATATGTATGGATTAATATAGAATAACAGTGGGATACTCATGGAAATATCATGAAGAATTCTAGGATTCACCGTCATTCTCGCCATCCCCAAGGGCATGATTTACATTCAAAGCGCACATTTTCTGGGCTGTGGGAACTTCGGAATTCACCATCTACTCACAACCTGAGTACATGTGGTAACGTGTGTTACCCTCTGGTAATCTAACAGTTTGCTATTGAAAATGGCCATAGAAATAGTGGATTTCCCATTAAAAATTGTGATTTTCTATAGTTATGTAAAACGTTTACCAGAGGGTAATCAATCTTTTTATATCCCTCAGAGCAAAACAAGTAAGAAGCCACCTAAGAACCCATGTGCATGTGAAACAGCTGACTTAAACGGGAGACACCGTCTGTCCGCACTAACACTAGGTCCTTATCAACGCCATCTGCTATGCATCAAGAGATGCAGCACGCATGATCACATCATATGAATCATGTCGCATCTCTGCAAAACTAGGGTCAATGACCCACTAGCCAATAATCCAATAAGCCTCCTGGGCTGTTTACTTCAGCATTTTCCATCTCAGCCGTTTGTTAGTCATTTACAAATCCTATACAATTCCTAATTTCTTTACACCTCCTGCATAATTCCTACGAAACATACATTAAAAAACATATTTATAATTATATAAAACATATGAATGTATGATACAAAATCCAAAGTATATAAATCCTGAGAAACATATACCTTAGTTCCCATATAGATTTCCCATTAAAAAAAGTCTTTTAAAAAACTCCCTGCGCACCCGGTGATGTACATCAGCTTCTCGGGGTGGTGCCGAAGGTGCCGATCTCGGACCGACCGCGGTAACGGCCCCAGGTCTGGATGTTTCTACTCCAAGTAGTGACCAAATACAGTGAATATGACATATATGTCATATTTCTACATAGGAACCAAATAGAAGATATAATTAGTTACCAAATACTACCTGATTATTATATATATATGCATACTATTGTACATATGTACCATAGTATTGATATTTATTGTATGTTAATTAATGTTTTTGCTGCGTATCTTCCTGCGACGTTGCTGCTTTGGAGGCTAAGCTCCCAACGGTGCAGGTATTCCCAGACAGACGCATAGTGGACCTTCTTGCCTTTGAACCACTGCCGAGCCTGGCACGAAGTTCCAAAGATATCCAAAGATATCTGCAACATGTATGGCAATACAATGGCGAAACTCTTTATACGCAGCCTTAGCTACCCTGTTGAACAAGTGAGTGAATGTATACTGACAGATTGTACTTATGTGTTTTTTGGGGGAGAACATAGATCTATTTGTCAACCTGGCAGTACCTGCCAATCCAAGGTTTACTCACTGCAGTCATTATAGTAAACTATGAAGATGTACATAGTTGGGATTGGATGTATATATATATATAATTATATATTAAAATATGTATTTTACTATGTCCATAAATATACATATGTATATATATATATATGAATTTATCTATATACATATATATATATACATATAAACATATGCATATGTCTGTATACATATAGTCAATTTCTACCAGATAGAATATTCAAAATTTTGAACTAAACACCAAATCCTCACAGATAGAATTCTGTCATACCTTTAAAGACAGATAGAATATTCCACGGACCCGGTAAAACAACCAGCCGTACCTATGTAAAGTGCTTCAAAAAAGTGGGTATAGATAGCCATAAATAGCCACAATGCCTATGTAAAGTGCTTCCACTGAGGGTACAAATATGTCATGAATATTGCACCATACCTATGTAAAGTGAGGTTGACAATGTAGCAACTGTAACATCAGCCAAAGGATGATTGCTTTCAGTTCCTTTCATTGTCCTTGTGTTTTCCTTTCATGTTCCCAGCCTATGGTTCCAAATGTTTTTCTATTTCCTTGTATCTATGCTCCTTTCATGTACCTTTCACTTCCTTTCATGTTCATTTCATGTGCCTTTGATTTTTATGTCCTGTCATTAAAAAAAACAAAACGTTTCCGTCAACCATATCTTTGTTTTACGGTCCTTCTGATGTTCCTCTGATTTCTCTTTTTCCGTTCGTCTCCTTTTCTTTCTGATCTTCCTTTCATGTCCCTTTCATTTTACTCTCTTAGCACTTCAGTTTCCTTCCCTTTTTCCTTCAAGTCATTCCATTTTTCTTGTATGTCCTGTCATTTTTCAAAATCATATCGAATTTCCGTGCATATTTGTTTCAAATTATGTTCATGGTCCTTGGTTCTTTTCATGATCTTCCTTGCTCGTTTATGCATCGGGGTGCCAATTCATTATGTGATAATGTGCAGCAGTTTTAAAGCGGTCTAGCTTTTGTGCATAGGGCCTCATGCTTTAAAATGCACAAAAACAATGAGAACTGGTTCTGCTATAAAATGCGGTTCCAGCAAATTCACGCCGAATTGGCATCCAAGTTCATCCAAATTCGAAGACCTTCAGAAATGCCTCTTTAAAAAGGGGTCAGGAAATTCTTTTTAGATAGAGGTATTTTAGAGTCAAGGTGCTCAAATATTTACTGGTTTTCTTCTCTTTATAGCATTCTGTAGCAACAAAATACGGTGGCATTCTTTCGTAGCAATTCCTTAAAATTCCTTAAAAATCCTTTGTATTCCTTAAAATTCCAAAAAACTCATGAAAATTCATGAAATAACATCATTTAAAATTATTAAAATCCGTAAACATATTTCAAATTCCGTCAGATTCCTTTAAGATTCTTGAAATTTCCTTAAACTTCCTTGAAATTCCTCTAAGATTCTTGAAAATTCCTTTAAGCTTCCTGAATATTCCTTTAAGATTCCTTTAAGTTCAAAAAAAGACCTTAAAATTCCTTTAACATCCTTTAGAATCATTCGAAATCCTTGACAATCTTTCAAATTCCTTCAAATTCCTTTAAAATTCTTTCAACTTCCTTTAAGCTTCCTTCAAAGTCCTTAAAACTCCCTAAATTCCTTGAATTTCCTTATAATTCCTTTCAAATTCCTTTAAATTTCCTGAACATTCCTTAAAATTCCTTAGGATTCCTTCAAATTCCTTTAAGATTCCTTAAGATTCCTTTATATTCCTTTAAGATTCCTTAAAATTCCTTTGGCAACCTTTAGAATCATCCGAAATCCTTGAAAATCTTTCAAATTCCTTCAAATTCCTTTAAAATTCCTTCAACTTCCTTTAAGCTTCCTTCAAAGTCCTTAAAACTCCCTAAATTCCTTGAAATTCCTTATAATTCCTTTCAAATTCCTTTAAATTTCCTTAACATCCCTTAAAATTCCTTAGGATTCCTTCAAATTCCTTAAAATTCGCAGATCTAAAATGACATGCCCAATAAAATTGATATAAAGAGATCCTCGAAAAGCCTTGGTTCCATTCTGCAATAAAATGCTCCAAACACTCAATTTGTTGCAATAAAAATAGAATGGAATTTTAACATGTTAAAAATCATCAGGATTTCCCTGGCCAATAAAATGCTCAGACCAACCCCTTAACAATAAAATGACAAACCTGACTCCAATTTTGAAATTCCAATACATTACGGATCTCGCTTAGACTATGCACAAGTCATCCATTTCCAGTGTGGAAATTGCCACGGGGATGTTTATGCTTCTTTTCAATTCTTTATTTCTTCCGATGTTCTGCTATCTTCCTTTCATTTTACGTTACTTTATGTGTGTTTATTTCATGTCCTTCCACTTTCCTTTCATGCGCGTTACTTCCATGTCCTTCCATTATCTGTTCATATCCTTTCATTGTCCCTGCATGCCATGTCCAAATCCTCACAGATAGAATATTCGGAATGCATGACCTTGGTCACCATGGTGGTCACAATTTATATGTGTGAATATTGGGGAAAAAAAAACAAATATACACTCATACAAAAGCATTTTCTTTCGTGTTCACATTCCTTTCATGCCTTTCATTCTCCTGTCAGTTTCCTGTCAGTTTCCTTTCACTTCCTTCCATGTTCCTTCTATTTCCGTCAATCATATCTTTGTTTTACGTTCACCTTATTTAATTTCCCTCCTTTCCTTTTGTTCTTTCATGTCCTTCTGATGTTCCTCTGGTTTCCCTTTCCGTTCGTCTCATTTTCCTTCTCATCTTCCTTCTCATGTTCCTTCTCATTTTCCTTTCATGTCCCTTTCATTTTACTCTCTTGTCACTTCAGTTTCCTTCCTTTTTCCTTCAAGTCATTCCATTTTTCTTGTATGTCCTGTCATTTTTCAAAATCATATCGAATTTCCGTGCATATTCGTTTCAAATTATGTTCATGGTCCTTGGTTCTTTTCATGATCTTCCTTGCTCGTTTATGCATCGGGGTGCCAATTCATTATGTGATATTGTGCAGCAGTTTTAAAGCGGTCTAGCTTTTGTGCATAGGGCCTCATGCTTTAAAATGCACAAAAACAATGAGAACTGGTTCTGCTATAAAATGCGGTTCCAGCAAATTCACGCCGAATTGGCATCCAAGTTCATCCAAATTCGAAGACCTTCAGAAATGCCTCTTTAAAAAGGGGTCAGGAAATTCTTTTTAGATAGAGGTATTTTAGAGTCAAGGTGCTCAAATATTTACTGGTTTTCTTCTGTTTATAGCATTCTGTAGCAACAAAATACGGTGGCATTCTTTCGTAGCAATTCCTTAAAATTCCTTAAAAATCCTTTAAAGTCCTTAAAATTCCAAAAAACTCATGAAAATTCCTTAAAAATCATTTAAAATCATTAAAATCCGTAAAAATCTTTCAAATTCCGTCAGATTCCTTTAAGATTCTTGAAATTTCCTTAAACTTCCTTGAAATTCCTTTAAGATTCCTTAAAATTCCTTTAAGATTCCTTGAAATTCCTTTAAGATTCCTTGAAATTCCTTTAAGATTCCTTTAAATTCCTTTAAGATTCCTTAAGATTCCTTTATATTCCTTTAAGATTCCTTAAAATTTCTTTGACAACCTTTAGAATCATCCGAAATCCTTGAAAATCTTTCAATTTCCTTCAAATTCCTTTAAAATTCCTTTAACTTCCTCTAAGATTCCTTCAAAGTCCTTAAAACTCCCTAAATTCCTTGAATTTCCTTATAATTCCTTTCAATTTCCTTTAAAATCCCTTAACATTCCTTTAAGATATGGTTGACGGAAATGTTTTGTTTTTTTAATGACAGGACATAAAAATCAAAGGCACATGAAATGAACATGAAAGGAAGTGAAAGGTACATGAAAGGAGCATAGATACAAGGAAATAGAAAAACATTTGGAACCATAGGCTGGGAACATGAAAGGAAAACACAAGGACAATGAAAGGAACTGAAAGCAATCATCCTTTTGTTGATGTTACAGTTGCTACGTTGTCAACCTCACTTTACATAGGTATGGTGCAATATTCATGACATATTTGTACCCTCAGTGGAAGCACTTTACATAGGCATTGTGGCTATTTATGGCTATCTATACCCACTTTTTTGAAGCATTTTACATAGGTACGGCTTGTTGTTTTACCGGGTCCGTGGAATATTCTATCTGTCTATAGCTATCTTAAGTTAAGCAATTTTTTTATTTTTAAAACAAGTTTGAACTAAACCTATTTTTCCAACTTTTTTTTTGATGTGATTTAGTTCAAATCACCTAGTAAAATGCAAGTTTTTGGATGATTTTCTCCGGTATCTTTTGAATATTCTATCTGTGAAAGCATTCTATCTGCTAGAAATGCGTTTAGTTCAAGCAAAAAAAATATTTTTTTGAACTAAAATATTCTATCTGGTAGAAATTGACTATATCATTACCTGGAACCCCAAAATACCAGAAATAGGCATGATGGCCAACCAGTTGTTTTGTAGGGATTCGTCACTACCATAGGGTTTCACAACCATGGCTATGTTTGTTTGTTGGGGTTCCAAGTGGGCAACTCGTAGTCCTTATTTAAAATTGTTAGTAGGAATAAACACCATATATGACCATATCATATAGAGTCATTAAACATATGAATAATGATGAATGTTCATCAATAATACGACATGGCCATATATGATATATGACGAACTATTAACATCATATATGGCAATTAATAGCCATTCATATCTATGTATATATATATATTTATATATGAGCTATATCACACATAGTCTTGTTATATGTGTGTGTATATAAATATAGAACATATCCATATTATACAAATAACATTTACAACTATGGTCATATCTAAATCATATAAAATAAATATCGTATCCTACTAAATATATATACATAACATTATATAACCTGAATAGTATTAATATACCATGTATATACATAACTAATAACATATTATATATATATGTACCTGAATATTACTATAGGTTGGTTATACATCCAATCAAACTATCATAGCTTTGTAACCCATCCCCATCATCCCCGCCATCTCCGAGCCCAGGAAGGCGCTCACCGGTGGACCGGTCCTAGCGAGCCAACGGCATCAATATAGGATGTATATATGGATTTACAACACATAATCGTATATATATATATATATCTATATATGTGTGTCATTGATCTGATTGATTTTTTTTAATAAATATATATATATATATAATGATATACACATAGTCATTGTGTATCTGTTTGTTGCAATGGCCCTTTGGGACCACAGTCACTACAAATGGATGGATAGCGATGTCGGAAAGTTGATGCCATATCACATCTGGATCATCTGGCTGAGCCACCCCTTGAAACAAATATGTTTGTCAGTTCGGATTGTTCTGCCAAGAAGTATTGAACATAACATACGATTGTGAAAACAAACGCAAATAGACGTACTATCAGATTATGTACTATAACTCATTTTGTGTATGCGTATTTTGTATGCATAATGTACAGTATGTAAACATGTATTATTTAGAACACTATATTCCGAATGTAAAGGATTTGCTGCATCTTCCGGTGAGATATGGAATGAACCCCTGCTCACCCACCCAAGCAGGAAGCACAAAAAAAAGGATCCCTTGGTCGAAAACTGCATGATGCATCTATTACAAACCGCAACCCATCATGGTTAGCTGAGTTCAAAAAACAACTTATCTATCTAGGGGACCCGTCCTATCTACACACCGTCACTTTGCTCACTAAAAAGGTGGATTTTACTTTGAGTTCACCAGGAAATTCGCCTGAAGAATCCTACCATGAATGAAGATCTCCAGGAAATCCGTCAGATCATCAGCCCACTGGGGATCCCAGACAGCAACAGATTGGAAAAGACCTGTTGCATTAGGGCTCCAGACCTTGGTAGACAGCATGCGATTTCCAAGACAAATTCCATCATTTTGGGTTTCCGTTTCCCTTTGGTCGGTACACCAAATCATCCAAGGTCCTGCAAAGTCCATATTGGGGTCCCTGCAAGTCACCATAGATGCTGGTGCTTATTGTTGCTTTTTTGCCCCCAAGTTTGTCCTGACTTCCTGACTTTGAAGAAAGAGGAAGTAAAACAAAACCCATGGTGACTTAGGGATCCTGCAGATCCACCATTTCAAGAAACTCCTCGAGATCGACTACCGTAGTGGTTGCTGGTTTGACTCACCATGGAAGTCGCCGGCGTTTTTTGTCTCAGCAGTAACTGGACTCGGCGGTGTCTGTCAGCGCTGTGCTGCAGAGGCCGACTGCGGGCGGCTTAGCCGCATGGACCTAGGCCCCGAGGGGAGGTCGTGACCCGTCTCGAGTGAGAACGTGGTTCATAAACCCATCAAAGTCACAAAAATATGGAGACATACACATACTATAGCTAACTACTAGCAATTTCATCTTGGACCGGCAATCTGATATGGCTTTCCGGGGGGAAATCAATATGCCGTTTAGATGTCATGCTGTCTTTAGGCATTGGACCATGATCAAAGCATCTGGGAAACTGGGCTGGTTTCTCAAGGTCACCAATGTTGTTGTGAGGCCAGTTGTCTTCGCTTCATCGGGATTCAGGAATAAAGAGTGTCAAAGACATTCACAAATCCACTGCCCTTGGCCATAGCCGCATATCCAACCAAGTTCTGAAAATTCGCCAGCGTATTGGATGAACGTTCAATGCCTAGCAGTATATTTGCAATAACCTCCAGGACTCTTAACACATGGCTACTCTCTCATACCTCTTATACCCTGTAAAACGAGAATAATACAGCAAAAGTCATTGTATTATATTATTGTATATATAATGATTATAATTAAATATATAAATATAATGGATCATTAAGGTTGATTATGTACAGTTCCACCATTTTGCGACTAGATATCACCATATATCACCCTCTTCACCTTTACGTATTCCGTTGGCTAAGCCAGAGCTCCCCACGCGATTGAAAGAGAACGGCTTAATTCGCCTTGCCCAAGCTGGAGGGAGCTGGTGCAGCTGGTGCAACTCCCACCCGTGGAATCGTCATGATGGAGGTTCTTTCCAATTTCCATAGGGAAAATATGTAGCTTTCCGACATCATCATAATGCGCATGCAAACTCCAAATAACTCCAAGGAGTGCTGAAAGAATTGCACTTCATTCATTGTGTGTATCACACATCGTGAGAACATCAAACTTCATTGCACTCAAGCTTACATATATGTATATATGGTTGTTGATCAAAATTCCTTTATCCCGGAACGGCCATTCTTCGCGAATAAAAATTTTACTTTCGCGAAACTTTCGCGAACTCCATGTTTATCTTTCGCGGGGCCCATGTTGGCCAACAACACCTCTTATGAAGATTCATTCACCACCTGCCAAATTGCGCCAGAGAATCACGGATCACTTCTTGGTAGCCTTTTAACCATGCAGCTAGCATCACGGAATCCCTTCTCAGGACAGATTTTTTTTGCAAAGTTTACTGGCCCACCCCCTTCAACATGCACTTTGACTTTCGCCCGCTCTTTCGCATAACTTTCGCGGAACTTTCGCGAAAATATCCCTTTTCACAGACCGCGGCCATCAGCAGGGGGTGCACTGAAGGAAAAGCGAAGACCAGGGGCCTTGGTGTTTGACACTCGCAAAGCCTCACTTTTGGAAACTTGGCTACTGCTACTCGCATTTTCTGGTGCCCTTCTCCTGCCAGACCCCGGGCGGCAGTGGGTGGCAGCCCTTTACATATAATGATTATAAATGATTATAATGCCCAACTTTCGCGAAACTTTCGCGAAATAAAATTTTACTTTCGCGAGCTCGAAAAAAAAACTTTCGCGAGGGTTTCCAACATAACATGCACGGCTTTCGCAATTAAAACTCCTTACCAGGACCTTTAGATCGATCACCATATATATATATATATATGTCAGTGCCTCACAAGCCCTTGCCACATATTCACGCCACAAAGCGATTCCAAATTGCCTGACTCAATCGCCAATTGCTTGCCTGAAAGCAAGGCAAAGGCGTTAAGTCCCTTTGGTTCAAAGATGTTAGGAATTGCCTAATTGTATGCAGGGTTGTACCCCCCCAACTATCAATGTTGTTTATAAACCAACAAGTTTGATATAAAATGAAAAAAAACCCTGATCAAGCCCATATATTGGAGTTATAAACAAACTCGCACCAAACTAGCGTTCACGAACTGGGCACGACCCTGTGCCATTTGCGAACCAATGGTTGTTCAGTGGGTGCCATCACGGAATGGAACCCATGGTTGTTCCACTACTCGTCATGACTTGTTATGTTCATGAATTACGAGCGGGGGATAGGCATATGGGATCCATAGAAACTCAGAAACTCACTTTTTCTGATCATTTGGGTTATTAAAGTTATGGCCATTCTAAATCATTCTAATTGGGATACGGTATAGACGACTAATCCCGTGAAATTGGGGTACCCTCCCGAGGCTTCGCCATTGGCAAAATCTGAGCTTTGACCTGGCTTTAATTATGGAGCTGCGGTAGGGAACCCTACCCTACCCCGCATGGGGAAGCGCATCGCAAAACGAGGGAAAAGAAACCTGTGAAACACTTCTGAAACCTGTGCAACTGATTGTTTAGCTGCAATCAATTGATGCTTTCACAATTTTTGTGTTCACATCAGAATAATGAAATACTGCAATTATTGTGAATGAAAATAAGTCAATCCTTCATAGGGTCGATTTCACACTCCTTGGAGTTGTGAAATCGACAGAATCCAACTGGGATGATTCCTGCCAAACCCCTGAGGACCTGTAGATGCACATACAAGGGCCCCCAAAATGATCGCCAAGTTGCTATAATTTATAACCTGCTTATTGTTTAGGTTTATGCGATACAATGCATGATAACGAGTGGACTATAGCTACCTGCTTTATAAACAGACTTACATACTAAACACAGCTTAGGCGATATAATCGCCAGTCCCTCCGGCCGCCCGGAAAGGCTGTGCCTTCCAAAGAAAAGCTGGTCGCGAAACCCCGATGCAGCACAGGCTGTCTTGCCTGACGCGTTTTAGAACATCGATCACGCAAGGATGGGACATATCTATGAATCTATGAACATACTATACATCAATATTGCATTTATATACATATGAGATGTATGTAAATATGTAATATTATATATATATACACCTTGTTAAGGGTATTGACATATATTCAATCCAACCAAACATATTATGATATATGTGGAACAAGAATGGCATCCAAAATATGGGTCAGCTGCCATCATCCATCGATGTAGCAGCCGTTCTCGAACTGCGAATTCGTTGGATCCATGTTTCATCAACCGTTGGCACAGTTTCACCCAGCATACGCCATGAGAAAACAAACATATAAATATTTCATGGTATTTCACTAATCGACATTGGATGGTATGGATGGTATGCAAGCAACAAACCAATATGTAACAAATTGCTAACTTTAGATATCTCTCAAGACTCAAAACAGTCACTTCTTGCGTGATATACATCACATCATCATATTTCTCCAGGTACAGCTCGAACGTTGTCCAACCAGTCTATTTTCAGTTTACCGCAGCTCACATGCAGCGCTTTATAACGCAGACATCTGGGCAAGTTAAAATCATCCCTTAAACTCCTAAACACATCCCAGGCCCAGTTTTAGTTGGTTCACCTATGTTTACCTAAACATCCATGAACATCCTAAATGCGCCCATTGTGATTTGGTTTACCATAGGAAAACAAAAACAACAATTTTCATTGTTTGCGCTTGGTCAGCCGGGGAGATTGCTATGTAATTATTGCTCAGAAACAGGAGATCACAACATCGTCACTTCATGGCACTTGTCCAAGGGAACATTTGAAGGGTTTTACGGTTTTATTCCCACATGTTTGACTAGAAAATACCATGATTTCGATTGAACGTTCCATGGTTTCTCCCCTAAATCCATACTGGTTGGTTGTTTTACCCATCTTGAACAATATTAGTCAATGGTTGGCGGATTATCCCATATATGAAATGGAAAATAAAAGCCATGTTCCAAACCA